TCTATATTATAAAATACACCCCCACTATCTGTGTTAATATATATCTCCCTCTCTGTCGATAGAGTGTCTTATCAAAAAATATATAGTCTATTATACATTCTGTTATATAGGTGAGATATAGAAGAGAATATCTGAGAGTGCGTGAGAGGTCTATCTCCCGGATTAAAAAAAAACCGCGAAAAATTGTGCGCTATGGGGGGGGTGTATATACACATAGGTGGGGGGGGTTTTGTATATACGCCTATATGCAGGAAAAAAAAAAAAAATATATATATATATATATATATATATATATATATATATATATATATATATATATATATATATATATATATATATATATATATATATATAATGTATTTTCCTTCCTGATTATTATTTTATTTTATTAATTATATGAAAGCACTGGCAATGCTTGAGGATATAATAAAAGTGGCAAGAGAGAGATTGTTCGACGAAATGGACGACGACGATGATATGAGAGATTACAGTCCGCCGGCGGGGAGTGCATTTGGGAAAGCTTTATCGGAATCTTACTCCGATAGCACGGCCTCAGTTTCTTCTTCCCCGGCGACGCCAACTTCCGTCCTGCCGGAAGCATGGAAATCCGATAAAACGACGTCGTCTTACTCGCCGCCGCTTCTCCTTCCGCTGAGAGTTCAGGCCGTCGGAAAACTGAACCCCATCGACGTGAAGCGGCTTTCCTTTCACATGTTCCCGCACGCGGTTTCTATTGTGCAGGATCCTAAATACGCTGTGCAAACCAAAACCCTGGAACAGAAAATTCCGGCGCAGGTTGAGAAAACTGATCGTGATGACGATTATTGCGATGACGTCATCAAGGCTGCTGGTGATGATAAAGAAGATGACGATGAGGATGATGATATGCTTGAGGATATGGAGATAGTCAACGAGGTCGTTGACCGGGAGATGAAAACCCAGGTTTTGGATATTGGGCCACGTGTTTCGGTAGGGATGATAGACGACGATTCAGAAATACGTGAAACAGTAAAGAATGATATTATCCCAAATGAAGTACTGCCGCTCCCGTTCTCTCCACCGCCGCCGCGCCTGTCTCCAGTTACCTCACCGCCGCCACCTCCTCCTCCTCCACCGTCGTCGCCAGCACCTATTCCTATTACACCGATAATTTCGGCACCGCCACCGCCTCCGCCTCCGCCTCCGCCACCACCTGGAAATACAACACATGCGCCGCCGCCACCTGGAAATACAGCACCCGCTCCACCCCCACCTCCACCGACGGCGGCGTTGAGGGGTAGTTCCGCACCACCGCCGCCTCCTCCACCGATGATGAGAGGAGGTGCTGCTGCTGCTCCGCCACCTCCTCCTCCGCCTATGGGAGCGTCGAGAGGAGGTGCTGCTGCTGCTCCGCCGCCGCCACCACCACCTACGAACGGGGCTGCCGCACCACCGCCGCCTCCAGGCTTCGCCTGCCTCCGCCCGAAAAAATCAACTACCAAATTGAAGAGATCTGCACAGATGGGAAATCTGTACAGACTTCTCAAAGGGAAAGTAGAAGGATCGAGCCTAGACGGCAGATCATCCGGAGGCCGAAAGGGTAAAATCGGAACAACCTCCGCCGGCGGAAAACAAGGCATGGCTGATGCATTAGCCGAGATGACCAAAAGGCACGTAGTACATATAATAATACATATACACACACATGTATATTACTAAAATAAACTATTTATTTAAACTTTAAAATCCAGGTCAGCATACTTCATACAAATTGAAGAAGATGTGAAGAATTATGCTGCAGCAATCAAGGAAGTGAAAATTGCAATCGGTTCTTTTCAAACATCTGACATGGCTGAACTCATTAAATTCCATAAATACGTCGAATCTCACCTCGAGAAACTCACTGATGAAACTCAGGTTTTATTTAATTTAATTTCTTCATTATTAGTTTCTTTAAATAAAATTCAATTAACTTAATTCAATGTGATAATAATTAATTAGGTTCTAGCGAGATTTGAGGATTTTCCCGGCAAAAAATTGGAAGCTTTGAGAATGGCATCAGCCTTGTACTCAAAGTTAGATACAATTGCCAATACTTTAAAGAATTGGCCGATAGCTCTCCCCGTCGGCCAACTTCTCGACAAAGCCGAGGCTTATTTCAACAAGGTACGTAAACGTAATTTATCGTTCTTGAAACATAATTAATCATGGAAATTAATTAATTAATTAATTATGATATATATACACACACACGCACGCACGCACATCCAGATTAAGGTGGAACTCGACGCACTGGAGAGGACTAAAGACGAAGAAGCCAAGAGATTTCTAGCTCAGAAGATCACTTTCGACTTCGGCATACTTATTCGTATCAAAGAATTAATGGTCGATGTCTCGTCCAATTGCATGGAGTTGGCACTTAAGGTAATTTGTTCTTAATTATATATATAAAAAATATATATAATTATATAAAATTGGCATTTAATTTAAAATAAAAAAAAATGCAGGAGAAGAGAGAAGCAAATGCTAAAGAAAACAGAACAGAAATATTGAAAGGTGATCAAGGGAAAAAGAATGGGACAGCAAAAATGTTGTGGAGGGCATTCCAATTCGCGTTCCGGGTTTACACTTTTGCGGGCGGGCACGATGACCGCGCGGATAAGCTGACGAGAGAATTAGCCCATGAAATTGAGACGGAGAATTAATCAATTAATCTGCAGATCACAATATTATTTCATTGCATGAATGTAATATAAAAGGGGTTTAATTATAATTAATTATTCAAAAAAATATAAAAAAATAAAAAGGGAAAAATGCGGGAAAAAAAAAGAGTTAGAGATACATGAGACATTCAATTTATTGTTGTTATGTACACTGCAGCACTTATTGGGTTTTTGTCCTGTTGGATGCTTCGGTAATTTTTACATATATGTATACATATTTATATATATATTACAGGTAGAGGAGTAGGATAAGGTTGTGTGGGGAAGATTATAAGCTAATTAAACTCTAGCTTTTATTTTCTTTAACCACTATTTGGTTTAGCAAATTAAATTAAATTAAATTACATTGTTTGTTGTTGTATTTGTGCAAGTGATTGGTTTTTGAACATTATGCATATATATGTTTATTTTAGAATATGTGTGAAGGATTTATTAGCTAGCTTTTCTTCATGGCCCTTTAATTTTTTTTATTTTTTTTTTTAATCTTCTATCACAACTTCTTATGCTATCTAAATATGGAAAATTGTAGTTTCGGTCCTTATATGTTTGACATCTTCATGATTTAGTCCTAAAAAATGTATTTAATTTGATTTTTACAAGTAATGATTATGCAAAATTAGCATTTCTCGTCTTATTTCATTCGAACTTTGAATTGAGCACGCTGTTTAATGCTTCTTAAAATTACATAGATCATCTATAAATTAGTCAACTCGCATTATCAAAGACCGATCAAAAGGTAAGCTAAATGTCGAATTTATAATTTTCAAACATCCACATAAGTAAAAGTCGTGTCGTAAAATTAAAAAAATCATGCAAAACAGATCAAAAACATCAATATCAGTTCTTCTGATCAGTACTTCAAACAATCTATATATACACACATTACAATTTAACCTTCCCTAGTAGAAATTGTCATTAGCACATCAAACATCAGACTAATTCAACATACACGTACTAATTACGTGTGTTTACTTTAATAATCACCAGTTGAGTTAATTAATTAGCGTGTCTGAAAACATATATATCTTTCTTGATGCATACTCAATTAAATTTCTTCGTAAATATCAATACATTTTCCGTCCGAAACAAAATAAATTTAGTGCTTCATCAAAATCGAACCGATATATAAAATGGAGGGCGTCGATCATAAACGGGCGGCTGCACCACCGCCGCCTCCGGGTTTGGGCTTTCGGCCCAAGAAACCATCAGCTGTTGCTACCAAATTGAAGAGATCTTCTCACATGTCTAATCTTTACACACGTGTCAAAGGCAAAGTTGAAGGCTCCTCTAAACCCTCTCGCCCCGAACGAAAGCCTAGATTTGGAGCAGCCGCCGCCGCCGCCGGCGGTGGCAAACAGGGGATGGCCGATGCATTAGCTGAGATATCAAAAAGGTCGTATGTATATATTAATATATATAGCTTACATATACATACATACATACATATAAATATATACTTAATTTGTACTGGTTAAGAATTGATCAGATCGGTGTACTTTCAACAAATTGAGGAGGATGTGAAGAAATATGCTGGAGCGGTTAAGGAAGTGAAAATTGCAATCAGCTCCTTTAAAACATCTGATAAGGCTGAGCTCATTAAATTCAATAAATATGTAGAATCTCACCTTGAGAAACTCACAGATGAAAATCAGGTTTGTTTGTTCGATTCATACTTTTGTTTATTGCAAATGGTACCCTTGTGTTATATCAAATTGTCAAAAATACCCCTCTTATTTAATTTTTTTGAAGAAGTTAGTAGTACCTGTTTTGGGGGCATGTGTGCTAAAAAGAAGTGTTGCATAGGGGGTTGTTGTTTATAGAGTGTATAGATGGGGTAGCTTTTAGAAATTCGATATAATATAGGGGTAGTAATTACAATAAACTCAATTAATATTGGAGTTATAACTTCAATATATATGTAGGCGCTAAGAGTTATTATTATTACTAGTATTTAAATTTTCCCTGCAAATTTACGAAATTAGTAACATTTTAAAAGTGAAAATTAGAGAATTAGTAGAGAAAAACAAAATAATAATTATTATAAAGATGGTAGATAGGTGATGAAAAAAATATTTAATATATCCCTTTTGGTTTTGATATAGTCATAAATTGTTTAATGAACAATAAATAGGTTCTAGTAAGATTTGAGGATTTTCCTCATAAGAAGTTGGAAGCTTTGAGGATGGCTGCAGCATTGTACACCAAGTTAGATACAATTGCCAATACTTTAAAGAACTGGCCGATAGTTTCACCGGTTGCCCAACTTCTCGACAAAGCCGACCAGTATTTAAGCAAGGTAAAAATCTTACGTACATATTATGTAATAAACTAAATAATTAATTCTTAGTCGATCAAAAAAATGCGTTCTTGTTTAATATCTTTGTTTCAGTAACGAAAACCTAGCTTATAGCGTACATATCCAGATCAAGTTGCAACTCGACGCACTGGAGCGGACCAAAGACCAAGACACGAAGGAGTTGCTATCTCAAAATATCACTTTCGATTTCTCCGTTCTTACACGCATCAAAGAGCTGATGGTGGATCTCTCTTCCAACTGCATGGACTTGGCACTTAAGGTAATTATATTTTGTTCTTAATTAATTATTAAATAAATTAAATGATAAATATATAATGGGATTTTAAATAATAATAATTAATTCAGGAGAAGAGAGAAAATAGAGATGGAAAAAAGAAGAATAATAATGGATCTGCAAAAATGCTGTGGAGGGCATTCCAATTTGGATTCCGGGTTTATAAATTTGCAGGTGGGCATGATGACAGGGCAGATAAGCTTATAAGAGAAGTAGCACAAGAAATTGAGACTGAGAATTAATTAATTAATTAATTTGCAGACAATATTATTCCATTACATGAATGTAATTAACAAAACTAGAAAGCAAGAAAAAATGTTTGTAATAAATGTGTAAATAGCACTTCACAGTTTGCATCTCTATGTTTGAGCATTTTGATTATATATAATATATATAACTTCTTCCAATCAAGAAAATGAAATTTAAGTTACTTTAACTTAGTCAATGTATTCGTGTTTAAAACGTATTTTGTGTCCGACGCTCGAGGACAGATGACGGACACCTTTATGGGCCATTTTGCGATTTCTGAAAAGTTGAAAACATGTTTGAATAGTAAATTTTAAAATATTTTTTGTTGCTTCCATAATTATTCATTTATTTGCATGATTTATTGATGAATTGCAAATTCATAGTTGATAATAATATTGATTTTATGGAAATATATAAAAATAATTTATATATATTTATATAGCATAGTTATATCTATACTCCTATATTTTTAATATTTTTAACCCCCATTTTGGGTCATTTGATTTCCCTCGTCCGTTTTTTCATTTTTTCGTATCCGTGCTACATAGTTAGCACCCAATAATACTAGGAAAAAGTTTAATATATGTAATGATTTTTTTTAGGCAACTTGGCCATGTGAACGACACAGAGCAGGTCTTAACATAACATTATTTTTTCAAGAAAGCAGTTTTTTTTGTATTAATATTCGGTGGGTTTTCATTAAATTAAGTAGAAGACAACCACATAACATTGGGGTTTACAAATTCATTATCCAAAAGTACTTAATTTATTTAATTAGTCGGATTAATTAACGTAATCTCTAACTTTTCGTAGCTGTCAAAATTTGACTAATCATTTGCAACTCAAAAATACTGTCGTACCCAAAATACCCTCACATGCCACATACAACATTACAACAATTTCAATACTTTCTCAAAAAAAACCAAAACACACCAAATAGTTCATTACAACAATTATTACACCAAATGGTTAATTTCCAGCACAAAGGAAATTAATATTAAAAAAAATATATGATTAAAATTGATTATTCGTAAAAATCGGACGTACGATTATTAGTCGTCAAGCTCAATCTTGACACCGTGAATAGTAATGGAATCTCCGGCGTTCGTCGGAACCAAAGTCACCAACACATGCTCGTCGTCCTCGGCGTCCAAATCTTCGAGAATATCGGTAATCGACAGCCTCAACTGCGTCTTAATCTTCTTCCCATGCTTATGCTTATGCGGCACGTTCACAAAACTTCCGGCGAACTCCGTGTTCTCCTCCGTGCTCGTCTCGTCGTCCTCGTCGTTGATATAAACGTCGAACTTCGCGTAAACATCTCTCTCAAGTTCAATCCCCTGGATAATGAGAATCTCCTCCAGCTCATCTTTCTCCTTCTTGCTCCTCTTCTTCTTCGGCCGTTTCACCATGATTTTCAGAACCTTGTCGAGTTTCGCCGGAAGCACCTCCTTCGGCGGTCGGTGTGTCTCTGCCGCGGCGGCTTTCGCTTTTCCGAGCTTCTTCAGCTTTTTCAGCACGGAGGAAACTTTCGGCGTCGGCCGGCTCTTCAGCCATGGAATCTCCACGTCTTGGTAAGTGTACCCGAGTTTGGTGTTGTCCAGACAATCCCGGGTTTTGACCCGAACCATTTGCCCGTTTTCGTCGTAGAAGAGGAAGGAGGCGTCGAGAAAATCCGGGTCGGTTATATCCTGGCGGCGCCCGCCGAGGCCTTTCCAGAGGCTCCACAGTCTGTCGATGTTGGAATGGTGGGCGTAGAAAATCGGGTCTCTTCCGGCGGAGTAGAAGTTCCCCATGTTCTCGCCGTTGGGCTGGGTCGGGTCGCCGGTCCAGACGTGAACCGGTCCGTGGGGAATATTCTCGACCGACCCGCTTCCCGGGTTCGGATCCTCGCCGCGGCGGTAGGCGCTGCCGAAGAAGAGACGTGGGGTTTTGGAGTTGGACACCATTTGCCTGTACATGACGGTGAGGTTTCTCTTTACTTGCTGTTCGGCGGTGATGGTGCCGGAGCCACTGAAGTTCAAGTCGATCAGCGCCGGCGGCTGGTGGCCCTGGTTTCGGAGCTTGTCGTACAGAGGGGAGCTGGGGTTAGTGTACATGGCCGGAATCGTCATTCCGGCGGGGGAATCGTAGTTCCAGTACGGCATCGCGAAAGTTGGGTCGTCGATTAGCTTACCCAAGATTCTCTCGAAGAAGAAAAGATAGTATCTGTGGAAGGGGAAGAACAGCCATGAATTGTGTACTTGAAGCTCAAGATTCGGGAATCCAGCTTGGTCGTACGCGCCGTCGCAGTAGGCGCAGTGGACGGCGGCCTGCTGCTTGAAGCTCCGGGGATCGTCGTCGGGGAGGGCCCGCATGAGTTCCATTGCCCGGTTGAATTTCGCCACGTAGGCTTTGTCGGCTAAATGAGCCGCGGGGCGGACCCGCATGGTGGTGGACGGCGGAGGGAATTTGTAGTCCACGATCGTGGCCGTGGGCGGGGGGCAGCAGTTCGTCGGGGCGGCGCCCTGTGGAAGATCGGCCGGGCCGCATTTTGTTACGTCCGGGGCGGATATAGGGGCGGCGAAAGCGAACGGGGAGGCGGATAAAGTTGTGGCGCCGTACAGCCCTCCGAGGCCGATTAGTACGTCTCTCCTGTCAAACTTTCCGGCCGGTTCTTGATCGTGGTTGTTTGTGGATTTGCATGATATTATGTGGCGGTGGCTAGGTTTTCTGATCGTCGGAATGTGCGTCGGTTTAACGAGAAGCGGACTGGAGGCGGCGCCGCCGGCGCCGGTGGTGGCGATGTGTGGGGTATTTTTAATGGAACAAGCCATGTTTTGAATAGTGAATATTACTATGAGTATGGAGATACATTGTACATGAGTTAGGTTTATATAGAGAAAATTTTGAAAAAAAATGTTTTAGATATTAGACTATTCTTTAACGATGACGTGGCACGATTGGACTGAAAAACTTGTTTATTAAGGTTGGAGAAATTTATTACGTTTGTTCTGGCGAGGTAGATCTGGTGCCAATATAGTCAAATTATAATTAATTTGGTAAAGTATATTAGTCAATGTGATTAGGGTTTCAAATTAAACGACATTCATGCATGCGAAGAAAAATCAAAGTAATTATGTGTTTTAATTACTGTTTAAATAAATTTGACAGTGATTGTTTTTGTTAATCTGTGTGCGGAGATGGAATATTTAACAACTTTATGAAGCAATTAACTAAGGGAATATACATCAAAAAAGAAAAATAAAGGAAAAAGAGAATATAATAATAATATATCCTTGCTTTTATAATGTGGTGGACTGCACGGAGGCAGGTAAGAATATTAAAAAGGGAAATACTTTTGTGACAGCTAGTTTGACACACACTTAAAACTAATTTATTAATTTGGGGTTTTTTCGCAGCCAAATATTTTTATTATTCTAGATTTATGGGCTATATATCTCTCACCAATAACCTAATTCCTTTAATATTTATTATAAATAAAGAAATCATTCATATATATGCCAATATTACCCCAGTCCTTTATACCCAACTCTTAATTGTAGTCCCAATTTAATCAATTTTCTTCACAAAAATCCAATTTTGACCACAAAAATTCAATTTTGACTTTTTTTTCAAATTTCTTTTTTGCCGGTGGATCCCGGCGTTGACCGTCGGTCTTTCGATTTATATTTTTTATAAATAAAAAAATTTTGGGTCAAAATTAAATAATTTGAGGTCAAATTGCGGTTAAATTAAGTTAAAGATGAAATTGAAGCATATTAAAATATGAGAGCCTATTTTAGTCTTTTATAAAAATCTGGACCATGTGTTGACTTATTGGTAGTAGTTTTTTGTTTGAATATCTTTATGAATAAAGACTCATTGATGGATTTATTTGTAATTACCCCTATTAATTATATTAAGAATTGTTGGAAAAGCTAATCTTATCCTAAACCAATTAATTAATTAATTGTAGTATAATAGAATAGAGGCGGCTAAGAGCTATATTTGCACCTCCATCCAATAATTAAATTCATTTTTCATATTGATAACTGAAAACATTATAATATAAACACAATAATTCAAAAAGGTTGATGCAGTGGGACAAGATTTAGGAAATAGTTGCGTTTAAAGAAGTTAATAGAAATTTGATATTCCAATATATATTTTTTGGATGTATCTTATATATATATATATATATATATATATATATATATATATATATATATATATATATATATATGATGTACATGGGCCAAAAATATGATGAGGCCCAAAAATTATAACTATAATATTTGGGCCCAATTATCAATTAAAAGCCCGAGGTTACATTCCAGGCCCATAGTAAGATTATGTATATAAATGCTTTACGTTTATTGGGAAAAAGGTAATTTTTTATTATTCGAAAGACATTAGAATATTTTCTTCTCGTATTTTCTCTGATATTCTTCTCTTGGAATCTGGACTGACTTAAGCATCGGAGGGTTTTCGCCGGAACCAAGCTCCGGCACCCTAACGTATATTTTTCTTACGCAGGAAACACCTAATCCATCAAATCGAAGAAGATCATCGTTAAGCCGTATCGATTCCCAAGTATTCGTTGCAGGTTTAATTTGAGGTGATTCGAGTTAACTTATTGTTGGCCGCATCAATATATATATATTATTTTATTATTTATTCATCACATATATATAGACCATGTGTAAAATTTTATTTTCAAATCCCGACAGCGGGAGAAGCTGAATGAATGAAAACTCAATTTAATTTGAGAATGATCTTAATTCATACGATTATTTGATTGACAATCGTGTCTTGCGTAAACAATTTGGATTGAAAAAGTTCGACCCATGATTTATTATTTGACTTCTATTATTAAATTAGTTACATGACTTTTAGTTATAGAATCAATTAAATCTTCAATGTTGATTAAAATAAATTCAAAGATAGGCTTGGGGCAGTCTTCAATTTTGTTGACTACATTCCATAGATAAATATATTTTCAGTCCTGAAACAAAATCGAAATTAAATTTCACTTTAGAAACATACGATTTGGGCCCGGTTTTAATTGGGCTCAAAAGCAGGCCTAGTTTTTAATTTTGATTTCCAATTGGACTTTATATTTATTTTATTAAAAAATATATTACATGTATGTATATAACATAAACTTATTTACACTAGTAATTGTTTTTGTATTTATATGGATTAAGCTCACTTACACAGAGTATCTGGCATTAGTAGTACGTAGCAGGTAACACAGCAGCAAAATGGAGCTACAATTTGTTATTTTCCTGTGGGCCTTCTATGTGGGCTACCTGTAATAATTGAGCATATAAAAATAAATTAAATTAAATATATATATTTGAGAATATTTGATTTTGAATACCAAAGTCCAGTAAATATTTCCATAAATTGAACAACTGTTAATTCATCATATTTCCTTGTGAATTTTATATGATCATCAGATACGCTTCATACTTGCCAAATTTAAATAAACAAATAGCCGTTCAGTTATTTGAAATTTAAAATACCAAATTTAAATACAAAAATAATACTGTCACGCTTCGTTAATAAAAGGAAACAAAATCAATGATCTGGCATTGGCATCTCTATCGATCTTTGCGTGTGCATCCCTTTCACAACCGTTGGATCAAATCTTTTCAATTTGTTTGCATTTAAAAAAATAAAAAGTAAGCCACGGCGCAGAGCCAATGCGTGGGGATCACCGCAGGCAATCCGCTCTCCTTACCTAATTAACCCCACTCGAAATAATTTTGAATTTGCAAATAGTTTACAAGCACCTTTGTCTTCTCCCCACGGTGGGCCCCACCCGCACCAGTCCCATTCAAATTTACACCGCTCAACCACAACAAATGTACTCGCTATATCCCACGCGCCTTTTGAAGCCCTCATTTCACGTCGGCAGATCATTGGCTCATTTTATCCACGTGTGAGATTTTGATTTGTCGTTGTTTGTACGCGGTCGTATTAATTAACGGCCTCCCTCTGTCCCAAAACGTAAAACATAAAATTAGCCCTCTCATTCTCTCTCCTCTGTTCCTTTTTTTTTTTTTAATGTTGAGAGAGAAAATAATAATAATAAAAAGAAAAAAAGAAAGAAAGAAAAAAATATAGTAGATTTATCGTATGCACCCACCCCCGCTTCACACTTAACCCTCAATCGGGAATCGCCGGCATTCGGCGGAGTGGATACACAGGTTAATTTAACGGCGACTATTCGAACGGCGGAAGGATTCCGAACGTCGTCTCTCATTTTGAGTATATTATCGTTGCCAGATTTGGGGACGGATATTTATCGGCTAGAATAGGAAAATGTCGGAGGATGAGAAGTTATTGAAGGAGGCGAAGAAACTGCCGTGGGAGGATCGGCTGACGCACAAGAATTGGAAGGTGAGGAATGATGCGAACCTCGATTTGGCCGCCGTTTGTGACTCCATCTCGGATCCCAAGGACGGGCGACTTCGTGAATTTGGTGAGAATTTAGTTTGATTTCTCGTCGTAGATCTGATTTCAATGTGATGCTTGATTGCGGTGTGGTTGATCTGCGTAAGAAACTGGCGAACGAGCTAGGTTTAATGTGTTGTTGCCTTTATTTTATTTTTTTGAATTATTTAGTGCTTGCTTGTTAATTTTGGAGTTTTTGCTAGGTCCGTTTTTCAGGAAGTCGGTAGCGGATTCCAATGCGCCCGTGCAGGAGAAGGCCCTGGACGCTCTCATTGCTTATTTAAAAGCTGCAGATGCTGATGTTGGAAGGTGAAATTTGGGAAGGCTATTTGCATTCAAATTTTTCTGTGAAATGTACTTTATGTATTTGTTAGACAAATGTGAAACTATTAAATGTGTTGTTTAGTTAACTATCTTGGTTCTGTCTGCGGCTTAGATATGCAAAAGAGGTATGCGATGCAATAGTGGCGAAATGTCTAACCGGAAGGCCCAAAACAGTGGAGAAGGCGCAGATGGCATTTATGTTATGGCTAGAGTTGGAGGCTGTTGAAGCTTTCCTGGTATGTTTCAAAATTAATATGCTATTTCTTTGGAACGACTAATTTAGTTGGTAGTACAATACTAAAGAACATTACTGTCATTGAGAAATATTAGTTGTTAAATAGTAACAATGCATCTTCCCGTTGCCTGCATTAATAGAGGTACGTGTGAAACTGAGAATATTTAGGAAATTCACGATTCTGGTTCTGATATTTACTAGATGCTGTATAACTTGCTTCATGAGTTAAATGTTTGAAAAGTTGATAGAATGTGGGTAATACGGCCTTCTTTCCTGGATGGGTTATGTCCACTCCCCAGTTTATTTGAATCACTTTATTTCATTGTTAAGACATGGGTTGCTAAATGTTTTAATTCCTTTGAAGACTTTTGCACTCTAGTTTTGCTCATATTTGTTTTTCCAGGAGTTGCATTTCTTATAAGATATTCTTAATTGGATGAGTAATGTTCCATTTGTAGGATGCTATGGAGAAAGCAATAAAAAATAAGGTTGCCAAAGCAGTTGTTCCTGCAATAGATGTCATGTTTCAGGCATTAAGGTGTGCAATTAATTGCTGTTGTCCATCATTTCTCAAAAAAATAGCCCTTATCAGTTTTTCATTACAATGACATTTGGGTGGATAATGAATCAGTGAATTTGGGTCAAAGATAGTACCACCCAAAAGAATATTAAAGATGCTTCCTGAACTCTTTGATCACCAAGATCAGAATGTTCGTGCTTCTTCAAAAGGTCTGACACTAGAGCTTTGTCGTTGGATAGGGAAGGACCCCGTCAAATCAATATTGTTTGAAAAGATGCGAGATACAATGGTATGCGAATTTATTTTTTTGTTAATTCTTTTTTGCCTCAATGTCTGGTATTATATGCAAAATCCTTATTCTTTTGTGTTTTGTCACATGGAAGAAAAAAGAGTTGGAGGCAGAGCTTGCCAATGTTACTGGAAGTGCAAAGCCAACCCGTAAAATTAGGTGAGTATCTCTCTCTCGCTCTCTTGCAGTAACAATAAATTATTATATACGTTTTTTTTATAATGGTTCTGGTTTTTAGGTGTAACTAAGTCTCCACTTCGTACTGGTATTGATGTAAAAAATTACATATATATTTATATAAAATTTTCACTTAGCATGCCCCGACTTTGTTCATGATTATTTTATATTAATCCTATATGCTTTGGTGTTGATTTAGGAGATTTGTTTTTCGAATTTTTCACTTGTAGGATAGGCTTGTATTTTGATGTGGTGTTTATGTGATGGACATTTGATTTTTTAGTGTGTCAGAGATTGTTGGAAAGGTATGCAGAAGATAACCTTACTCTCCGTTTTTGTACAGCTCTTGAGTCTGATATTTTTAGTCTTAAGTTTTGTCTCATGTTTTAGTATGATGATCAGTGGAGTTAAATACAATGTTTAATATATTATTTTCTTATCCGGCAACAAGCATGTCCAGCCGGTGACTGCTAATTCTGTTGGTTATGATTTTACATGATTGGATAGTAGAAGCTCACCTTCTGATAGAAAATGCGGAATATATTTGAATATTATTCCTTAGCGTTGTACGTGATCGCCAGCCTTCAGTGTGAAGTACTCTTGTTTTTGACAATATATCTTATTGTATTTTTTATCCATCAGGTCTGAGCAGGACAAAGAGCCAGAACCAGAAGCTGTTAGTCAAGCTGTGGGATCTAGTCCTGCCGAAGAAAGTGCAGCTGATAGTATGTTCTTACTGAGCTGAATTGTTGTCATTAATTGGATTTTTTTTCTGGACAAGCTAGACAAAATGAATCGGGCACCGCAATGATTATTGTTTTTGACAATATATCTTATTGTATTTTTTCTGTATTGTCCTGGTTTTCATATGATTATCCATTTTTTGTCTGACACATGTTCTTTATCAGTTCCTCAGGATATTGATGAGTATGAACTTGTTGATCCAGTTGATATTATAACACCTTTGGAGAAGTCTGGATTTTGGGAAGGAGTGGTGAGTCAGATCTGTGTTATCATTTGTAATTTAAGAAATGTGTTCTCTGTGATTGTTTTGATATTTTAATCTATTTTAGAAAGCTGCCAAATGGTCTGAGCGAAAAGACGCTGTTGCTGAATTAACGAAACTTGCATCTACTAAAAGGATTGCTCCTGGAGATTTTACAGAAGCTTGTCGAACATTAAAAAAGGTTCTCCTTGGTTTGGCTTTCTGTATTATTTTAATTCTTTTCTTTGGTAAACTGTGTAAGTGCTTCTTTTGTCGTTTCTATCTCAATTGCATGCGTATCTGGGTGTAATTGGTTTTGTTGGCTGATTCTAGTGGTCAATATTAGATGAAATATTCTATTGTTCGCGTTTGTTTCTGAGCTCTCCCTCCATAACTCGTTTGCTTGCAATCACACTATGGGAACCGTAGTAGAAGACATGATGATGATGATAATGATGATGATGATGATGCATCATCTTGAAATAGGTTGCCAAGGAGAGAGAAGGTATAGTGTACTGACATGTATGACTGGGTTTTCTTCAAATATAGTTTGAACTTTTAAGAACTAGTCATTAAAGATTAGCTGTTAGAACTGTTCAAGAAAAGCACTCGTTGTCGATCTTCTCCACTCATTTTTTCTTCATATGTTCATTGCTATTGTCTTATTAATCTTTTGATTAATGGAGATGTATTATTGGATGCTGGTAATTTTGGTGCTGTCTTGACAATCTTTATGGGTTTGGTATATGCTGGAATTTGGCTGCTATAAACATTGATAGAATCTTGTGAAAAGGCTACAGAGTGGTGATGGGGATGGAGGGAAGGGGAATGTTAAAAGATAAATGTTGATGATTATGACGTTTATCGAGTGGTCAAAGCAAGATGATGCCATAAAAAAATGAGAGGATAAAAAACTGGTGTGCTATGTGTTATAAAGGTCTAGATTTATGATGGTTTGTGCTGCAAAAGAGCTTCACGACAAATATGCAACACATTGATAAGATTCATGAGGGTATGGATGGAGAGAATAAAGTATACTCCTTACTCCCTTCAGCTGAATTTTCCTAGAAAAGGGCATGGCGACTCGGGATAAAATACACATTGATTTGCTATTGGTATATCCATTCCTCCATGCAAAAATTTTAACTGAAGTTGACTTTGCTTTATATAATGATGTATGTCCACAAGCTGTTTTGAATTTCAAATTCAACTTTGTTGGTATACTATTGTCTGAAGCAAAATTATTTTACAATTGACTGTTTCTCCTGGGCTGTATTGAAGTCTATGGTTTCTAAACAATATTTGGTCTCATGATTTGAAATATATCTCTTCTGTATTTCTTCTTAATTTGCAGTCACATAAATTTTGGAACGACGTAAAAGAAACTTGACCTCTCCAGTGATACATTACTTTTAAAAAAATTGCAGCTTATTACAGATGTAAACATTGCTGTTGCTGTTGAAGCTATACAAGCCCTGGGAAATCTTGCCAGGGGTCTGAGAACTCATTTCTCAGGCAATTCTCGCTTCTTATTGCCTGTATTACTGGTTAGTATATTACTTGTACATTTATTGTTTATAAAGTGGAAAAAGTCCAAGACCTCCTAACAATGAATCTGAAATGAGGGCTGATTTAACCTTTTCTTTTGTCTCCATGTGTCATTAAGTTTTACGTTAATTTCCCTATTCTGTACTTGTTCAATTAAATTTGAGGATGCAAACATAAAAATATACCAATAGCTACTGGCGTTATGTTTATTTTAGTTTTGTATGTTGCACGGGTAGCTTTGGCCATGGAGATAAATTTGTACAAGTTTTGCGTACTGATGAACTATAGTTCTGTACTTTTTGATGTTGACTTATTTGAGCTTGATCCTTGATGATGTATAGGAAAAGCTGAAGGAGAAGAAACCTACAATGACAGAGGCGTTGATGCAAACTCTTCAAGCAATGCACACATCAGGATGCTTAAGTTTCACTGACATTGTTGAAGGCAGGATTTATACATATCTGAATATCTATACAGCATATGTTATTTTGTTTAACTTATTCACCCGACACTTCCCAGCCTTTGAATATTATGAGACTTCCTGTTCGTGTTATGTATTGAAGACATCTTGTATTTTGCAATATTACCCTTTTTCTGACTTACTGTCTTATAGTTGCTTCACGACACCTCTGACATCAGTCTGTAGGTTTCGGTTATGTTATGACAGCCCTTGTATATACGTGTTTCTGCTGCCTCTTAATTATGTTGCAGGGTGTATTGGAATATCAGATAATTTTTTTGATCTTAGGATTACTGATTTGAAGTTTCTCATCAATATAATGTACATTCTGAAAGTTTCCCTCAATCGCTGTAGAATATATTGTGATTTGTAATCTACTATATTCCGTAAACTTTTAGTTTTTTTATATTAGCAAGGTTTCTTTACAGATGAATAACCTGCTGATGAATAAATTTGTTTTCCTGCAGATGTTAAGACAGCAGTGAAAAATAAAGTTCCTCTTGTACGATCACAGACATTGAACTGGGTTACATTTTGTATTGAGACAAGTAACAAGGCAGCTATACTCAAAGTGCACAAGGAATATGTTCCAATATGCATGGAGGTCAGCAATAGATGCATAATTTCTGTGCCACACATTTTGATTTTTAATTGTCTCTGATATAAGTGAGATGTATCATGGTTCAGTTGGACTATTTTCCCTAGCAAATAATCATAAGTTTTGACACAAACAAATTCAGTTATCACTTGATGTCAATTATCATAGATTTTGACATCCATGTAGCTACACACCTGTTTTTGTTAGGAATCCTTAATTGTTTGTTGATATAATGATATCTATTTTGCTATCAGGAGTGTTATGCATATTTAGTTTGTTCAAGGAGTGTTGTTTTATCTTTTCTATTATTGATTTTCTTGTTGAAATATATATGAACTCCAGTGCCTCAATGATGGAACACCTGAAGTGAGGGATGCAGCTTTCTCAGCTTTGGCAGCTATTGCTAAGGTATTTTATTTTTCATCTTCATCTGTCAATTTGTCAATTTTCACCTTCTCCTTTGACAACACGAATTCCATTGTTTTTATGCCTCTTTATTTTAGATGGTTGGTATGAGGCCTTTGGAGAAGTCACTGGAAAAGCTAGATGATGTTAGGAAAAAGAAGTTGTCTGAAATGATCGGGACAGGGGACCCATCTTCCGTTCCGAGCTCAGGTTTGGAATCTAATGTCTATTATCTTATGTGATTCAATTTATTTTATTACGCTTTTCTTAACATATCTACTTATTACATCAAATTCAGTTGCAGTTCAATCTTCTGGGCGGAGTATGCCTAGCACCGAGGTCAGTAGGTTTTCTTCCAAATTGGCTTTCCGTGTTCTAGTGTGTAAACATGAAATTCATTGTTTCATTAATGTGGTCTGCTAATAGCATGGAAGTCAAAATTTTCCTTTTCCGTAATGTTTAATACACCCTCATTTGTCAGTAATTTCAAAAAATATATTGCTTTGCATATAATGTTCTGTGGATTAGACTTTATGTCACTGATTCTGTTTTCTATTCTCTTCATGCAGGCTTCTGATGGATCTTTTGCTAGAAGATCAGCGGCTAGCATGCTTAGTGGAAAGAAGCCTATTAATACAGCTGTAAGTTATTTTATTACCCAAACCCCACTTCCACTGATGTTGGCAAAATTCTTGCCACAAAGGGATAAATAAAATGGTAATCACTTGTCGATATCTACCTGTGACATATGCATGGTTTATTACTACCGACAGCCTGCTGCTACAAAGAAAGCTGCCTCTGGGAAATCTGGTACCAACAAGAAAAGTGATGTAGGACAATCAAAAGTTCCCAAGCCCACGGAACAGGAAGACATTGAGGTAAAATCTTACGTGTCCTTCGTTCACTCTAGCTGTAATTCCATGATGGGATGCTACACCGGTAATTCTAAGAAGTCATTCTTTGATTAAATAATCCACCTTTTCTTACAGCCATCAGAAATGAGTTTGGAAGAGATTGAGAGCAGAGTAGGATCCCTTATACAAGCAGATACAATTACTCAGCTAAAGAGTGCTGTATGGAAAGAGCGGCTTGAAGGTTTGCATCTTTAAATTACTGCTTGACTTTATTGACTTCATAATGTTCGCTTAATTCCATTTTACTTCTAGAATTTTTTTTCTTGAATCAAGACCATTGAGTGCATGGTTTTTGTTGGTAACTGCTTTCCCTTTTCCTATTGAGAGAACTCAAATGGTGCCTTCACCTCTTAACTTTCACATGATATTTTGGTTATGGAGTATAAGACATGGCTTGTCCCCTTCTCTTTAATTATTTTTATAGCGAATACTTCTAAGTCTCAGATATAATCTCTTGGTGCTTCAGAGTTTGCTTGGAGTTTGTTGGCTGAGCAACTAAATTACGTACATTACATTCATTCTGACCAATTAACTATAGCTTTTATATGATTTTTAAAATGGAATGTGTCTTGCATGTTTTAATTGTGCTTCTTACGTTATGTGGATTTGAATTAATCACATTGTTTTGTTGCAGCTATTACGTCTTTTAAAGAGCAGGTTGAAGCACTAACCAGTCTTGATCCATCAGTTGAGATTTTGATCCGTTTACTTTGTGTTCTTCCTGGCTGGAATGAGAAAAATGTTCAGGTATGAGATCATGAGTGCAATCTTTCCTCCATTGTTGATTACTTAGATTAGTTAGCTCATCCTTTGCAAGGTGTTGATTTGCAGGTCCAGCAACAGCTTATTGATATTATTACACACATAGCTTCAACAGCATCGAAATTTCCCAAAAAATGTGTCGTGCTTTGCCTTTTAGGTCAGAAATATCTGTTATTTCTACCCCCATTTAATGTTGTGATAGTATAGTTTGTTTTGGTTGAAGTTGAATTTACGAGTTATTTTGCATTTGTGATAACTAGAATTATTTTGCTTGGAGTTGAATTTACGAGTTAGTATCTTTATCTAAATGTTGACTTGTTGACAGGTATTACTGAAAGAGTTGCTGACATAAAGACCCGTGGTCAGGCCATGAAGTGCCTTACTACATTTTGTGAAGCTGTAGGACCAGGATTTATTTTTGAGAGGGTAAGTCCTTCCCTTTAGATACATTTATGAATAATATTAGCTGTGTAGTAGATTCTTTTGCTTACCTCTTCTTGCAAGTTGCGAGTATCTTACATTGTGAAATTACTGTTATGTAGCCTTGAAAAACCGGATGACAAGTTGCTCCCACTCTCAAGTCCTTGTTATTTGTTATCCTATTTCACCGTTGTATTCTAACAATGAACCACTATACATGGTCAGTCAAACTTATCGTTTAGATGGGAAAGGAACAAATAAGCCATTTCGGGTTCTATTTTCTTACCCTTGTTCATCCCCAGTAATTGCAGCAACATATTCACCGATTCAGCCGGGATTAGCGTTAATAACACATTCTCAACTGGAAAACTATCCATGTAGTGCTGCTTATCTTTTCTAACTGACTCGGGCATTAAAAAATATTTTATAATAGAACTACGTAATGTCTGTGGTTCTGAATTACTTTAAGTCAATATAGTTCAATCATTGATAGCTACTTAAAAAATAGAACTGCCAGATTAGAACCCTGAGATTTATATATACCGTTACTGCTTTATTGCAACAGTTTCGAAGGTGTGATTGTGGCAACTAAAAAGAGAAACATTCTTGGGTAATTGAATATTGTCTGTGCTGTAGAGCAGTTAGTTTTGGTTATCCGAACACTGGAAATAGTGCACCCAAACTTCTCAAGTTGCGTGTACATTTTATGGGGGAGTTGGGTAAATGAAGATAAGCAAATCAATAAAATGCTCAACTTCTTTCATTAAGGGTTTAAAGCAATGACTTGCTTGATAAAAATGTCTGCAATTTTGTATAATCAAACATAAAGTGATTTGTGATATTGTTTCTTTTGCTAATGTTGTCACGGCTGACACTTCGTTCAATTTTTTATTTGTACTTTTTATAAGGTTACTTTCTTTTCAAAAACACTCGTTTGGCTAATTTTTTGCTTATTATTTCCTAAATCACCGGTTTCAGCTGTATAAAATCATGAAAGAGCACAAGAATCCCAAGGTTCTCAGTGAAGGCCTACTGTGGATGGTTTCTGCTGTGGACGATTTTGGTATTTCATATCTTAAACTGAAGGTGATCGAAGCTACTTTGCAAAAAAAAAAAAGAAATATAATGTTTTCCTCCGATCTGATTTATTTCATGCAATACATCCTTAAGATGACTTCAACTGTTTAACATGCACCGTGTTTGTTGTTACAGGATTTAATTGAGTTCTGCAAAGATACTGGTTTACAATCTAGTGCTGCTGCAACTAGAAATTCTACTATTAAACTAATTGGTTCTCTACACAAGTTTGTCGGTCCAGGTGATGCTTGTGAATTTTTTTTTTTTATATAATTTGTTTATAATCATGCTATTCAGATCTCATAGGGGTTGACTGCTACTCTATATGTAGATATTAAGAGTTTCCTCTCTGATGTTAAACCTGCTCTTCTAAGTGCACTTGACGCTGAGTATGAAAAAAATCCATTTGAGGTAATTACTTGGGTGGTTAACAGTTTTCCCCCTTAAATCTACTTCTTGTGGTCTTTACTTCTTTAATGTCAATATCCACAGGGAGCATCTGCAGTTCCAAAGAAGACCGTGAAAGTAACTGATTCTACATCAACCTTGTCTGCTGGTGGTGCGGATGGTCTCCCACGTGAAGATATTAGTGAAAAGATCACCCCCACTTTGTTGAAGGGCCTGGAGAGTTCTGACTGGAAGGTGTGGTTACATACAGTAGAGATGAATATCAGATCTATAAATCATTTAAAGTCAGTATGCTGATTTTACATTTTGTCCTAGATTCGCTTGGAGTCTATTGAGAGCGTCAATAAAATTTTGGAGGAGGCCAACAAGCGTATTCAGCCTATTGGAACTGGTATAGTATCTATTGGTTAAAATAAAAACTATCAGGATTCTATGTATGTTCATTTCTTCTCTTACTTCCAGGAGAGTTATTTGGGGCTCTAAGAAACCGTTTGCATGATAGCAACAAAAATCTGATTATGGCAACATTGTCCACTATTGGTGCTCTTGCATCTGCGATGGGGCAGCCAGTTGAGAAGTCAAGCAAGGTTCATGTTCTCAAAATTAGTTTTTCATATCTATCTTCTCCCTTAAAAAGTAGTCATATTATTTACATTATTTTGTTTCATGCAGGGCATTCTCTCAGATATCTTGAAATGCCTTGGGGACAATAAGAAGAACATGAGAGAGTGCACATTGAGTACCTTAGACTCTTGGCTTGCTGCTGCACATCTTGATAAAATGGTCAGTATTCATTACTTTAGAAATTATTTTTTCATGAATCTTTATATATGCGTTGTTAACCTTGTTGCTCTCGCTTTTCTTTAGGTCCCTTATGTTACAGCTGCTCTCACAGATGCTAAGCTTGGTGCAGAAGGGCGCAAGGACCTTTTTGACTGGTTGTCAAAACAACTTGTTGGACTGATTGACTTTCCTGATGCTGTACAGCTGCTAAAACCCTCTGCATCTGCTATGACGGTACTTTCTTACATAAAATCTAATGACGTGCACTGAAATGTTCTGAAGTTGGCATTTGCCTCTATTTAAGTATTTTCTAAGGATATTGCATGGTTAAATTTCTGGTTAACTTTCCAGGATAAATCAGCAGATGTTCGTAAAGCTGCTGAAACATGCTTTAGTGAAATATTGAGGATTTGTGGACAAGAAACGGTATGTAGGTTGCAAATTTTTGAGTCTTGTCGAAGATACACCCTATGTAATTATGGTTTGTATATAATCTATTTCACTTCATAGGTGACCAAAAACTTGAAAGATATACAAGGTTCTGCTTTAGCTATAATTGTCGAACGAATGAAGTCATACGGGGGTTTTCAAGGTATTTTGTTTTGTTCTGTTACTCCTCCCAAGCCAAAGAGTACTATATTGCAAATCCCTTTATTTAATTATTCTGCTCGTTGACTAGCAGAAAATTTCGAATCTGGTAGATCGGCTTCAGCAAGCATCGCAACCAAAAGCAGCACAAAGACTGGAAAAACAAATGGTTCACGACATGGAAGCAAAGCTGTGCCCTCGGTATGTTTTCATGCGTTTAAATTGCTTGATTTTTAAGCATAATACATTTTGATTCTTATTCTGCTTGCATAGAGAACTGTTCCTACCAAGGGATCAAGGCAAGAGCCAATCATGTCGATTCAAGACATCAACATTCAGTCTCAAGCTTTGCTGAATGTCAAGGATTCAAACAAGGTACATTAACTTTGGTCATACTCAGCAGCTTCATTAATCTTTGTTGAAAACAAATATGTATGATTGAGTGATAATGATGCAGGATGACAGAGAGAGATTGGTTGTTCGCAGATTCAAGTTTGAAGAATTACGTTTAGAGCAAATTCAAGATCTTGAGGTTTCTTTTACTGAGCATTTGTTGCTTGATTTGCGCTTTTTGATGTCATTGTTTAAGATTGTGATAAATTTTGAAGTTTTCTGCGCTTTTGGCCCTTATAGTTTATGGGATAATGGGAAAACACCTCTTAGATGAAAAGGGATTATACAGTTTCTAGAACCTGTATTTTTGGTCTGGTCTTAGGATATGTCTGTCACATAGGACGATACCGTTCAAGGGTTGTGAGTTGGTCTCAATATCAGAATCATATTGGTGCTTCATGAAATTATTACGTACCGATATTATATCATCGTGAGATGTTAATAAATGTTTCTGCTCATGTTTCGCCAGAACGATGTCATGAGGTACTTTAGAGAGGATTTGCATCGGAGGCTATTAAGCACTGACTTTAAGAAGCAAGTTGATGGGATTGAGATGCTGCAGAAGGTTCTTCTAGTGTAGTTTCATAATTTTTCTTTGCACGATATATGAATAGGCCCTTACATTCTTGTTGATATTTCAGGCTCTTCCATCCATGGGAAGGGAGTTAATTGAAGTCTTAGACATACTATTAAAGTGGTTTGTGTTGAGGATCTGCGAATCCAATACATCATGCTTATTAAAGGTATATAATCTATTATGAAATTCTGGTCAAACTAGTTTTTTACAGTGACATCTTTGGTTGCAATATTTATAATTTTTTTTAACATCTCGCTGAAACTGACCTGGTTCCATTCATGTGCAATGTTATAAGGTACTGGAATTCCTTCCCGAACTTCTGGATATGTTCCGGAATGAGAGCTATGTAATGACTGAAGCAGAGGCAGCCATATTTATTCCTTGCTTGGTTGAGAAGGTAATAGACACGTAACATCCCATAGTAGAATGATCTCTCCTTAAGTGGATGCCCACTAGTGCCTTGGTTGCTTCAAATGTTATTATTTTCTAAACTTCAATTTGCATTTGCATGTTTGATGATGATTCTCATAACTTTGTGACCATATTTGGTTTTTGTTCAACTGTTACCCAATGGTCGTTACTTTGCACTGCAGTCTGGACATAATATTGAAAAAGTTAGAGAAAAAATGCGAGAACTGATGAAGCAAATTGTCCACACGTATTCTGCTGCAAAAACTTTTCCTTATATATTGGAGGGCTTGCGTTCTAGAAACAACAGAACGAGGATAGAATGTGCTGATCTTGTTGGATTCTTACTGGATAATCATGGAGCTGAGGTAACTTGTTAGTTAGAGCCACTTCATTATCGTTATCATTACTTCAGTTGACTTAGTCTTTTATGTGTTATTCTTCTTGTTCTTCTCTTGTCAGATAAGTGGGCAATTGAAATCTTTGCAAAGTCTTTTATGTGTTATTCTTCTTGTTCTTCTCTTGTCAGATAAGTGGGCAATTGAAATCTTTGCAAATTGTTGCAAGTTTAACTTCTGAACGAGACGGTGACACTAGGAAAGCTGCTTTGAATACTTTAGCTACTGGATTTAAGATTCTTGGTGAGTTTTATATCGGTATTACTGCTGGCAGAATGATGGAATATTTATTTGGACTTCTTGCATAGTACACAAACTCTTGTAAAAGAATGAGAGTATTTTCATTCCAGATTGATGCTAGTAAATGATTAAATTTTCTTTTGCTGTTGACAAATATAATAACATTCATCATCACAGTTATTATTTAATGTTTTAATCATTCTTTTGCCTGATCATTGACAATAATTTTTGCATTAGGTGATGATATTTGGAGATATGTTGGGAAGCTTACTGAAGCTCAAAGAAGTATGTTAGATGATAGATTTAAGTGGAAGGTAAGTACATTTTGTGATATCCATTTTAATAAAATTTTACTCTACCACATTTAAATATATGTATATATTTTTTATTTTCTCAGGCTCGAGAGATGGAGAAGAGGAAGGAAGGGAGACCAGGCGAAGCTAGAGCTGCCCTAAGACGTTCAGTTAGAGATAGTGGGTATGTGTTTGGGCGAGCTTGATTTATTAGTCATATTAAGCTCATTACTATTGAGTGAAGTTTGTGGTCAAGAACTTATTAGCTTTCAGATAAAGTTCTAGGCTGGAAAGAAAATGAACGTGTGACCGTATGAGTATGACCACAATGAAACTTTCATGTTGTTGTTCATTCATGCTGCCTTTGTTGTATTACTGAGGAGAAAATGAACATATGATCACAATTTTATGTTCTCGTTTTAGTTGATTGCTAAATAACTTTTCCATGATTCTGCAGGTCTGACCCAGCTGAGCAGAGTGGCGAAGTTTCACGGTCTATAACAGTCCCAATCTTTAACAGGTACCTGACATTTTCCTGGTGTGTTATTTATATGAAAGTGGTGGTGCCAACATTTACTAAGAGGGCTTATTAAAGGTTTATGAGGGTTCGGGTCCCAAAAAAATACCAAAACAATGTAAATATGTGTAGACCTTAATTGCAATAGTTTAAAATAAAACATAATGTGTCCGAAATATGATTATTGGAGCTTTTAATATTAGATTTCCGCTTGGGAATTTGGGCGGACGGGCTAAATGAGATAGTTTGGGTGAGCTAAATCATTTGAATAAGCTATTAGGAAATATGAAAAAGTTGATTGAGAGTGGGCTTGAAGTCTACCCCAGCAAAAATGTAGATCCGCTACCAGCCACTCCTTGTTTCCCCCTGCTCATTATATTTGTAGTACAGAGGCCCATATTGTTCTAAGTTTATCATTACCATTTATTTGTCACAGGGAGAACTATGGTCCTCCTGAAGTTCACACGGATAGACTTCCGATGACTCAGACATATTCTGGTGTGGGCCCCACAGATTGGAACGAATCGCTGGATATTATTACATATGGTTCTCCCGAGCAGGTTTGTTTTAAAAATTCATGTGGAAGAAACATCGGGTTTTAGAAGTCTGAAGGGAGTTATAGAAAGATAGGGATTGCTCTTGTCCCAAATTTATCTGTCATGTTTGTTATTTAATGCAGTCAAAATGACACTATTATTTCAACAGTATCAATGAAAGAATAATTTTTGTGATGGAGTTACATTAACGACTTCAAGAACATGTAAATATACCAATCTTCATGATTTAGTTTGAGAGTTTTCTCTGAATTTTTTGCCCAAGCTTGTATATTGTCAATTTTAAGTTTGCTAAGAAAGCTTTGAAGTCGTTGAGATGTTATTCAGGTCCTGAATGTTTTGCTTGTCTGGACTGTCCCTATATTTTCTAGAGCATGAATTAAATGCTTTTCTGTTATTTAATATTTTCTACCAAAAGCATGAACAAAACTGAGGTCTGTTTTCCTCAACTGTTATTAACCTTATCTAGCTTGAAATATCTCAATTATTTGGATGTTTAACCTTGACATCATTCCTTAAAAAAAAAAAAGAAGGTTTTTGTATTTGTGTTCATTTATCAACGGAGTCCTTGTTTTCTGCAGTCGGTCGAAGGAATGAAAGTTATATGCCACGAACTGGCACAAGCAACCGCTGATCCTGATGGCAGCGCAATGGATGATGTAGTGAAAGATGCTGATAGACTTGTTTCATGCTTGGCAAATAAGGCAATTATTTTTTATTTTCCATGTTTTAATTTTGCCTGTTAGTCACATCAGAATTCCTCAAAAATGTTTTATTTGTTACAGGTGGCAAAAACTTTTGACTTTAGTCTCACTGGTGCCTCTTCAAGATCTTGTAAATATGTCCTGAACACTTTGATGCAGGTAGGGGCTACTTTCTTTTGTTTTATTCATACCTGATTCCCTCTTCGCTGGACGTGAGCCAAGAACTTTGGACTCGTCTTGAATTGTAAAGCTTAAATTTGAGTTTGGATATTGTCCTTTTTTTTTCGTGCAGACTTTCCAGAACAAGAGACTTGCTCATGCAGTCAAGCAAAGTACCCTTGATAGTCTCATCACAGAACTGTTGTTATGGCTTTTGGATGAAAGGGTTCCGCAGATGGATGATGGCAGTCAACTGCTGAGAGCTTTGAACGTTCTGATGTTGAAGATTCTGGTAACTTTTTTTAACTTATAGTCATAAAAGGGCATCAGCAGGCCTTAAGCTTTTTGAGTATTCGTCTCTCCTGTAGATTACTTATTCTTGCTTGTTTGGATGACCGTCTTCCGAATTCAGGATAATGCAGACCGTACTTCATCATTTGCTGTGCTTATAAATCTCTTGAGACCTCTGGATCCATCAAGATGGCCGGCTCCAGCAATAAACGAGTCTCTCGTTATTAGAAATCAGAAATTTTCAGATTTGGTTGTTAAATGTTTAATTAAACTTACCAAGGTATTGTTATACGGTTTGTTTTCTTATCATTCTTTATAGCCATCTAGACCACTTGTGGTTTTACTCTTAATAAACTTGTGATCTGTATACATAGTGATTGTTTAATCTGTCCCATTTTCATGTAATATAGGTCCTGCAAAACACAATACATGATGTAGACCTTGACCGCATCCTTCAGAGCATCCATATATATCTACAAGAATTAGGAATGGATGAAATACGGAAGAGGTACTCATTTAATTACTTGTTTCAATTAACTTTTGTTCCTTGTTTGACGAGGTAGACTGTCAAACGTCAGTATTGTTGCGGTCTTTGTGATGGACTGTGTATCAATAACATGCTTTTTTTTTTTTAACCTTATGAATTTACTAAGAGCGGGAGCTGATGACAAACCACTTCGCATGGTTAAAACCGTTCTACATGAGCTTGTTAAACTTCGTGGAACTGCTATAAAGGGTCATCTTTCCATGGTCCCAATAGACATGCAACCTCAACCTATCATTCTTGCCTACATCGATCTTAATCTTCAGGTAGTTATGGTGTACTCTCGATGATACGGTTGTTTACTGTGGTTATTCATAATTAATTGTAGTCATTCTAATTCAAATAAAATTGAGCAGACCTTAGCAGCTGCTAGAATGTTGACGCCATCTGGGCCTGCTGGGCAAACTCACTGGAGCGACTCGACTGCCAACAATCCAGCACCTACTGCACAATCTGCAGATGCCCAATTGAAGGTATAGTGAGGTCTTTTATTAGTCTCTTGCTATATTATCCTTTTAGTTTTTGCCTTTTCCCGCTATGTTTGGCCCCATATTTCTGAAACTAGCTCCCTGGTATCTGCATATAACAGCAAGAACTGGCTGCAATTTTCAAGAAAATTGGTGACAAGCAGACTTGCTCTATTGGTTTGTATGAACTGTATCGCATAACACAGTTGTATCCTCAGGTAATCGATCTGTCTCTAACATCTGCCAACATTCGATCTTTACCATATTTTATATACACTTTTAGTTTAAAACAGCTTGTTAATGTTCAATTTTTTTCAGTAAAATTTTATTTGCTCAACTTCTTGTCAGGTTGACATTTTTTCACAGCTTCAAAATGCTAGTGATGCATTTCGAACATACATTAGAGATGGTCTGGCACAGGTCTGGATCTCGTTTTCTATTGATTATATGTTGCAGCATCTTGTAAGCTTTAATGAACTGTTCTAATATTTATTCTTCTGGCAGATGGAGAAAAACGCCGCAGCAGGAAGGACACCTTCAAGCGTGCCCCTGTCCACTCCTCCCCCAGCTGCTCTCAACCTCTCTCCGAATCCTCTTTCCCCTGTAAATGCAAACACATTAAACGACTCAAGAAATCTGAATGCGAGAGCCGAACCAACAAATTTCAGTTTACCACCATCGTACGCTGAACATGATCAGGGTTTCAATGTCATTTCTCCAAGAGTGTCTAGTTATAGTCAATCGGCGTTACAACATAACTTGGATGATTCGAGAAATGAGAGATTACCATCTGGTGGTTAGTTATTTCATCAAAGCTGTTAATCTTATTTATTTATTTGATAATTACCTAATTATTTACGGTTGCTGCAGTGTCAAATGGGACATTAGACGCTATTAGGGAAAGGATGAAGAGCATCCAATTAGGATCATCTGCAGTGAATCCAGATCCCAGAAATCGGCCATTGATACAAGTAAACGGGAATGTTAATAATCATCCTGTTCCAGAAGTGCACGGGGCAGGTAATCGTGTGCAGGGTGGGATACTTCCGATGGATGAAAAGGCATTATCTGGGCTACAGGCTCGTATGGAAAGGTTGAAGAGTGGTTCATTTGATTCACTGTAGGAAAGCTGTGGTTAAGTATCCCACTGGATGCTGATCTTGTTTGTAAATGGTGAGATTTTGAATATTGGGCAATTATTGTTTTAGACTTTGGATATTGTGTCAATTTGTTGCAGAGGCGTTGGTTCTTTAGATGAACGAATGCAAGAAAATCTCGTTCTTATTGTGTTGTCGGTATTTACTTGTATATTGTAGTGCTCTCTCTGTCTCTATAAATTAGTTATGACCGGTCGGTCGTCTGTTCCTTCCGAAATCGTTAGATGAATTCACTTTCTTTATGAATTTTGCTTGGGTTTTTGATGAGTATCTATTGAAATACTGGAATTGCGAAAATATATTTGGGTTTATTTATCCTTGTATTTTGTTCTAGAAAGTCCTGTTTGCTGGGTTCTGCATGTCAATTCAGTGGCTCTGTTTTAGCTCACTGGTTTTGTTGGGCAATTAGTATTAACTTGTCGCTTCTTAGCCCCACTACGTGTGTCGGATATAACTTATTTGCAACTTTCTTTGGTAACCATCACTTTCATAAATGAGAAAAACTCCCTCTCCCATTTAACACCCACAATTATACCTCTACGAATTGTCTCTTATTATTACTTTCTCTCAGTTCTATTCTAGTTATTTACATTTTCTGTATTACTATTACTATTCCACAATTACCAAACTAAAGTAGTGATCGACAGACCAAAAACGATAAAAAAAAAAAAATGCAAAAAGAAGCAGCAGAGCCCCAATTGTCAGTGACAACCGAGTTTCCTCCAAGAATGGTGGTGGAAGAAACCAACAAAAAAATAATTCAGGGAAATTAACCCACCCCTGCAGGTGAACAATATCTATACAAAAAAAAAAAAAAAAAACAAACATATCCACAAGAATCTTCCACCACATATCCACTTGTAACTCACCCCCACCCCAGCTGTAGCTACAATACAAGGCCCCCCCCCACCAATTTGCCTTCTCTCAGCCACCTTTCCAAAATCCAGCTCCATACCAAGAAAACCAACAAATCCAATTGATTCTTTCTTTCTTTCTTCAACAGAGATGAATACACAAATATTAATGCAGACAACGACTAGCTTAGCTTGAAGCTGATTCTAAAATTGACAGCTTCAGTAGTACTATATTATTAATAGCTTATGTAGCTATCTTATACAGTCACGTACAACAACTGCACAAATTCTTGTAACATTGTTTCAGATCATTGATCGAAACCCTCGACCGACCGGATTGAATAAAACTTTACCCAGAGAAACACACTAGCTAACAGTAGTACTCAAATATCGAAGATATGATCATTTTATTAATCTTGGATTAACTTTTAAGGTTTAATCTCTGCTTTGTCGTAATCATCATCCGGCCATGATATGTCGAGATGATCGGATGAAGTTAACACGTCATCAATCTCGTTCCAGTTCCAATAGCTCGGCATTTCCAACGAACTTGTCGTGTTCGGGCCGGGCCACAACGAGGGCCCGCTGCCGGACGAGGTCGGAATGTAATTGACAGTGGTGATGGTTGATTCCTCCATGGAATATTCAAGATTCCCTGCCGGGTAGTTATGATCGAACACATTTAACGAATCGTTATAAGAAGTGGGACCCACAGAAGCATTACTCATCATGTCGAAACTTGTGAACTCGTGAAACTCTGCGTTTGGATTATTATTAATATTCAAACCTGTCGATATCGTTGTCGAATCTGCGCCGCCGTTGATTCCGATTATAATATTGGTACATGAATCTCTTGTTTGGTGCAATAATGGTGGTGACGAAGTGGCATTATTAATCAAGGACTGGTAAAGAATTGTAGACGGAAAATTATTGGGTTTATCATCTTCTTGATGAACTGCGGCGGTGGTGGTGGATGGGTTAGAAATCTTGGGGCGCTTGTTTTTCCGGCCACCGCCGAGAGGAACAGTGCGGAGGGTGCCGCCTTTGGTCCAATGCCTCTTGCAAGATTTGCAGAAATGGCGAGGCTGAGATTTATTATAGTTGTTGTAGTAGCAGAATTTTGTATTTGTGGAAGCACACCTCGGGCACTTCAGCGGCGGCTCTGATGATTGTTGCGGCCGCCTTATGGGCGGTGGTTTTGAAAGCTCCGGCGGCGGCGCACCTGATGATGACCTTTGTCCGCCCCAATCAAACCCTTGAATTATATCATCACGATGATCTGCAGAAACATGTTCACTACTCAAACCCATGAAACTACTGTAATACGTACAGCTTCGCCTTAGTGTTGGGATTTGTGAAGATATATTATTGGAGAGATTGTATTATATATATTAATATTATATTGTATGGAGTTTTTAGGGAAGGTGCAGTGGTGAGAAATGGAAATTGCGATTGTACATGTATCTATGTATGTATGTATTTCAATATGCATGTTTATTTATTATTAAATAATTTGGACATATGATCATCAGTGTCTAAAAATCTATCTGTAAAAACAATATATAATAATTCCATATCACAATCACTGGAGGTTACGTTGTGTGGTCCAGATTCCAACAGGGTTTTAGAATTGATATATGTGGGGTATGTATGCGCTCACTAATTTGCTCCCACCCCCCACCCCCCTAGCTAGGTCACATCCTACATCCCAATTATGTACCCATATATATACATGCATGCATACATACAATAGTCGAGCCATGATTTTGAGTCGGCCAAGGAGGGAGGGTTAGGGATGGCAGCGGAGCGGGTACCCTCGAAAAAGTGCAATACCAGAACCATTACCATTTAATATAGCTCAAACCATGACCATACCAAACCCATTTAAAAAGTTTATGGAAAAACCAAAATCATTACCGCGAATATCCGGGTACCCACGGGTACCCATTTACCATTTAAATTACGGTAATAAAAAATAACTTTGAGTCCGATAACGTTTAAGTAACTCTCAGAAAAGAGGAAGAAAAAAAGAAAAGAGAAAAAAATATAAAATATATCCTCCCTAAATTATTTAATACTTAATTTAAAATTTTGCCAAAATATCTTTTTTATTCATATTTTGTTGAATTAATATATATATATTAAATGGTCGGGTACCCATGACCGTGAAGGTAAAACCAGAACCATACCAAAACCATGACGGTTTTCTTTTCTCTTACCAAAACCATTACCAAACCCTAATGGTTTCGGTAACGGATTTTAAACAGAGCGGATACCCGCGGATAGCTAGCGGTTCGGGTTTTTTTGCCATCCCTAGGGAGGGTGTGAATGCATTAAAATTTTTCTGAGGAAGGCGTTAATGTTATTGTACACAATTTTATATATTTTTATTTAAACTAATGGGTGTTGGAGGGGCCGTGGCCCCCTAGCCCTATGCTGGCTTCGCCGCTGTGTATATAGATATAGCAAGCCGTAAAGGAAGTGTGTATATGTATAATGGTATATGCTAGATTTAAGACATGATTTAAGAACGGTGGATAGAGATGTAGCACGGGCATGAATATGATTAATGATGATATGTATGATTTAATTTTGTTGATTGGATTTATGTGCATTTATATGTTTGGTCGGTTTGAAAAATCATATCTGCCACCAATTTGCATGTTGGTGAAAACCCCCTAATAATGTAGGCAACTGCCTCTAGTGTTTGTTTAACCATAATAAAGCAAATGTTTGGAGAAGAAAGTTGTATCTATATCTATATCATGTATATGTATATGTATATGTTATAGCTAGGGTTTGTCAAGTGATGATGTATGGGGTTAAAAACCAGTTGTCACCACGTGGCTCCTCGTGGAAGAGATTATAAACTCTCTTTTTTCTTCTTCCCTTTTAATTATATTGTTATTGTAGATTAGGTCATGATATTTCATATGGCCCATTTTTCCTATAGATTTATTTATGTTATCACATGCACAACTTGGGGTGCATACAAAATGATGACCTAAATTGAACGATTCGAGTTCGATTTATTCCTTAAATATATATAAATTAAAAACTCGAATCAAAGGATCAATAAATCGAACATGATTATATGAAGAGTACTAGTAGTTGTGAAAGAAATTGAGTCGGACGCATTTATATTTTGTCACCCAAAGAAATGATGATCAATCAAGAAATAGACGTCGTCTCCCCTAGGATATATAAATACGAATTTCTTGATGCGACCGTGAGATTTGGCCACAGGGAAACGATAATCGTGTTTTGGACAAGAATGAAAACAAGTCCTGAAATGATTATTAGTGTGCCGACTCGAGGATAAATGTAACTAATTAAATAAATATAATGTATCTTTGATCTTTATACAGTTTTCTGTATGTTTTACAAATTACTATACGATTATTGGAACGGAATATTGATTTATTTGTAAATGGAAAAACAATAAAATTAAAGGGTAAAGTACAAAAACTCCCCTGAGGTATGGTCAAATTAGGAAAACCTCCCTCTTGTTTGGATAATTACAACCACCCCTCAACTCCTCAAATTTAGTGGAATCTTCGAGATTATGTGGAATATTATCACTTCCGTTCCCGTTTTATGGCATCTGAACTCTACATTTTGAAGTAAGATGATCATAATATGTGTTTTTATGCTTGTATATATGAGATTGTAGTGCATCAGAAACTGTATTTTTTCACAAAACGAATACAAACTAGAGCACATTCCTTGAAATCTAGATGATTATGTTGAGTTTGACACCATAAGGGCGGAGGTGTAAGAAAAAAAACATAGTTGAAGGGGCTATATGTAATTATCCAAACAATAATGGTTTTTTTGTAAATTGACCATACCTCAGGGGGTGTTTGTAATTTACCCTAAAATTAAAAGAAAGAAATTAAGGACAGAGAATAAGTAAATGAAGCTGGTTGGTCGGTTAGGTAAAGCCACTTTTGACGAATTGATTTATGACAAGTAGCCCTCAAAACGAATATTTGTCGGATAGGATAGTGACTTGGTACACTTCACCTTAATTATTAAGAAACTATATATACTACAACCAATTGAATTTCTTTCGTATATTCCTACCTTAATATATATGTTTTTAATACTAAACCGTGATTAATAAACTATTAAATCAATCCCTTAAGGCTTAATTTTAAAAAAATTAAGAAAAAAAAGGGAATTGATTTGACCAAACCACGTGCTTCCATAATTTGAATTAGCATCTATCTATTAGGGTTGTGCGTTGGTTGGTTTGGTTAAAAACCAGGCATAAAACCAACCCAACCCATCCAACCAACTTTGGCAAATATTAGAAACCGTTATCGACCCAACTTACATGGGTTGGGTGATGGTTGAAAACCAATTTAATGGGTTGGTTGGTGGTTTGGTTGATGGGTCATCCATCTAAATATTTTTTAATTTTTTTTAATATTTTATTACTTGTTACAACGCTATATCTTTTATAAATTAAATGCGACTAGTTTAATAATATTCAAATAAAATATTCAAAACATTATGGGCATATATATTGCAATTAAACATAAATAGTTCAACAAATAATAATCGTCCAAATATTTAGATTGTATATCTTAAAATTAAAATAGTTCAAATTAGATAATTAGGTTAGATTTATTACTTTTAGGATTTTGGTCAATATTAAACAATTTAATAAATGTGATTAAAAATAGAAATTTGAAATTAAAACTATTAAATATTTTAATTAAAATTAATAAATAATAAATTAATGAATAAAGTTGGTTGGCCGATATTAACCGACTAACCAACTTTTTAGCATATTAGAAACCATTATCGACCCAACTATACATGGGTTGGTTGACATTATCGACCCAACTTAAATGGGTTGGTTGATGGTTGATTAACCATCACAAATTGTGGGTCGAAAATGGGTTGGTTTATGGTTAAAACCGACCCATGCACAGCCCTACTATCTATTATAATTAATTATCAATCAATTGCTCCCATTTTGTTTATAATTGCACGCTGATTAATTTATGTATTTAGTACAAAGAATTGATTTTTACAAGAATTATTAGAACTTAAATTGGTGGTGCTTGGATTGATCAAAATTCTACGACTGCACGTGCAGCTGCGGCATGGGTCTGGTACCAAACAATAATACCCGAACACAGGTTGGATCAAATATATTTTTATATATAAAAGTAAAAAACGTTAGGGCGGTCTGAAAAGCCGTAATGGTATTTGTATAAACCTTATTTTTCATGTATTTTTGCAGTAGCCATTTCTAAAAGTTAGTACTAAGCAGTAAAAAAAAATTAACCAGATCAGAGCATAAAATATATATATATATATATATACAAGTGCGTGTAATAACTAATATATGATGAATCTACTAGGTAGCTAGGTAGCATTTGGCAATTTGGATGGGATTGATAATGAATGATGTAATGAAGAAAAAAATGAAGGAAAGAGGGAGACAAACGCCTAAGATCCAGGATTATATTATACGCCCCTTTCGGCACCTGCTGATTAGGACACCAATTTCATTATTATTTACAATGTGCCATTGATCGAACGGCGACGTTTCAACAGAAAAGCGAGGCCCAACTAATAATAAACTCGCAATACTAATATGGGCTCTTAAAACCTATTTTATTACCTATTAAATTTGGGCACACCTTTTTAATAATGGGCTAATAGAGCCCAATAACGTAATTACTAACTACACCCTAAATTTAATTCTCTATTATTACTACATAAAATACAATTCACAAACACTAATATTATATTTGGATTTGAAATATTGTTTTTGAATTTGAAATATTTTGTTAAGGATTTTATTTTAATTTAGTATGCATTTAGATTGAGCTCAAATAAAATAAAATAAAATAATAACAAAGTCTAAATTAATTTATTCCTCGCAAGGACGGAAAGAAACTGACCGAAGTTAGGTGTTTGATTTGGAGTCACATCAAATAATTAGAAACTTCGAATCTACACATGATAATCATACACACTCATGAATGTGTGTATTGAATCGATTATTATTTAACTGGTTAAAAATCACCCGATTTATTGATCACCATGATGACTAAAGTTAGGTGATAGGTTGAATCCATATTAGTAAGAGTAGTAACAGAGAATCGAATTGACCTGCATTTTTGTCGTGCGAAATTATAGTGTATGTTAGAAAATCAGAATCTCCTAAAAAAAAAAAAAAAAAGATTATTCAGACAGAGATATTCGCTCTCGCCACCTTAATTACTCTCCGAAAAAAGAAAAAGGAGAAAGAAAACGATATATGATGGATACCCAGGAAAATGGAAATGTGGGTGTCAAAAAGTACAGGAGAATCGATCTCGATAAAATGGAATTGGAGGATGAGGAATTATCTGCTGTTTCTCATCCATTACAAGGAAATGTGAACACAAACAACGAAAGCGGCTCCTGTGTAATGGCGTACGCCATTTTCGCCTCTCTCAATTCTGTCCTCCTTGGATACGGTCAGTTTTTTCTCTGTTTTTTTTATTAATTAATTCATTCATTCATGGCGATTGTTCTTTTATTGTTGGGTTCTTTCTGTAATTTGATCAATTGGGAATTAATTAGGGTTTGAATTATGAAAACAACCATACATTTTGTTGATTGGACATTCGAAATGCAATTTTGGGGGAAAAAGGTCACTCTTTGATCAAGAACCCTAATGTATGTTCTTACTATAATTTCGAAAAATGTCGGTTTCTCACACTTTCTGATGTTGCTGATGTGGCAGATGTAGGGGTGATGAGTGGGGCCATTCTATTCATTCGAGACGACCTGAAACTCACCGAAGTTCAAGAAGAAGTCTTCGTCGGAATCCTAAGCATCATCTCCCTATTCGGAAGTTTAGCCGGCGGTAAAACCTCCGACGCTATCGGCAGAAAGTGGACAATGGGATTAGCATCTCTTGTATTCCAATCCGGTGCCGCCATTACCGCCCTCGCCACGTCATTCACGCTACTAATGACCGGCCGATTGCTCTCCGGCATCGGAATCGGCTTCGGAATTATGATCGCGCCCATTTACATAGCAGAAATTGCACCCTCCACCGCAAGAGGAACCCTCACTTCACTCCCTGAAATCTTCATAAACTTAGGCATACTCCTCGGTTATATTTCCAATTACGCCCTCTCGGGTTTACCCTCGAACATAAACTGGAGAATTATGCTGGCCGTGGGTATTCTCCCCTCGGTTTTCATCGGATTCGCCTTGTTTGTCATTCCCGAATCTCCTAGGTGGTTGGTCATGCAAAATCGTATAGACGAAGCAAGAATGGTTCTACTAAAAACGAACGAAAATGGTAGTGAAGTTGATGACAGGCTGGCGGAAATACGAAAAGCTGCAACCTTTGCGAACGAAGGGAAAGCTGCGTGGCGCGATCTGCTTGTTAATCCGACACCTGGCGTGAGAAAGATGCTCGTAACGGGGTGTGGGATTCAGATATTCCAACAGATAACGGGAATCGATGCGACTGTTTACTACAGTCCGAGAATATTCGAAAATGCGGGGATTAAGGATAATACGGATATTTTAGCTGCAACAGTGGCCGTTGGATTTACTAAAACGATTTTCATCTTGATAGCGATATTTTTAATCGATAGAGTTGGGAGGAAGCCGTTGCTTTACGTGAGTACGATAGGGATGACTTTTTGCTTGCTCTGTTTAGGGTTGACTCTTTGGACATCGGGCGAGGGTACAATCGGGATTGTGCTGGCGGTTTTGTTTGTTTGTGGGAATGTGGCATTTTTCTCCATTGGGATTGGCCCCGTTTGTTGGGTTGTTTCTTCCGAGATTTTCCCGTTGAAGCTTCGAGCTCAAGCTTCTGCTATGGGGGCAGTGGGGAGCAGAGTGAGTAGCGGTTTGGTGGCTATGTCTTTTCTTTCGGTTACTCGAGCGATAACGGTTGGAGGGGCATTTTTGGTATTTGCAGCGATTTCTGCTGTTTCCGTTGCTTTTGTTCACAAGTGTGTTCCGGAAACAAAAGGGAAATCGTTGGAGCAAATCGAGATGCTGTTTTTCAAGAACGAGCGAACCGAAGGTGAAGTTGGGCTTGGAGATGTTGAGCATCTCATAGACAGGCAATAACATTTAATTTTTTTAATTTTTATCGGGGATGTAGATAGATATATAAACAGAATATATATATATATATAATATATATATATAGTTGAGAAATAGTTTATTTACAGAAGAATCGTTGGTTTATTTCGTTCATGCAATGCAAACTACGATACGGTAAATACTTTATACTAATGAAGACGAATTTGTTGTGATGACTAAGGAAGCGAACATTATGTGTTGAATGATGCTTCCCTTTTCAACCTTAAACTGTCGGCTCTGTTTATTCCATAGATGTACAGCGAAGCTTCGGGTTCGAATCTGCTTCAGCTTCGAAAACAGCCATTTCGAGTGATTCAAACTACGTGGGCCCTGAAAAAGGCTTCCGATTTTAGTCCAATCCACTGGATAAAAAGCCATAGGCGGCACCACCGTGAAATTGCACCCTGTTTTGCCGCTCAGCCTCGAAACAACTCTTGACACCAAGTAAGGTCCGTTGTGGCCCCACTTATTTCCATCGAACGTGGACGCGAATTCTTCGATGAAATGTCGAAGAAGTGGGTGACCTTTGTCGAAGATCATCACAGCATTGTTCAGCCTGCTCCAATTTCCTGTGGCAAGATCGATATTTTGAGCCCCGATCGTGTTTTTCAGACCCGTAAAAGTTTTCAGAACTATTATATCTGTGTCGATGTAAATTCCGCCGAATCTGTACAGCAGGCCTATTCTGAGTAAATTCGAGAGGTTTTGACCTAAAGAAACCTCTCCTGGATTTACGTTTCCCTGCTTTAGCTGGTTGTACCATGCTTGAGCAGCGGTGTTCTTGAATAGAAAATTGAAGTCTGGAGAAATTGCGGTGACTTTGAATCCTTTATCTCTAAAGGGTTTCAAGATTTGCATCCCACTTCTTGAATCGAGTGAATTGGAGGCGATGATTAAGCACCCCTTTGGATGTGATTTGAACACGCTTTCCAACGAAAAAAGCTCTCTTTCTCCGAAAGACTGAGATGAAGAAATCCAAGTCATGAAAAATCGGAGTTCACACGAAGAATTGGCTTCGAAAAAGTTGTTCACTCTAGCTTCAAACTGCTCTGCAGCTTCAGATTCCAGAATCTTTATTACACTACTAACAAGTGCGTGCCTTTTACTTCTCTTCGGGTGATGCATTGCGGTTCTGTTCGTCAAAACCACCAAGTTTCGATTTTTTTGCAGAAGGCGCAAACGGGTGTTGAGCTTTACACCAGACCGAATTTTCGTTGCTGACGGCACCGGAGGAGACGTTCTTGTTTCTCCGGCGGCATATTCCGGCAAGAAAATCGCCGGACCGGTGGGAGCTTTTGCCGGGAAACGGAAGTGGATGCAGAATATGGAGGCACTATTGTAAGCTAAAAGACAGAGCAATAGAAGAGAAATGAAAGCGTAGAAAGACGATCTCTTGCTTCTTCGCCAATGCAAAAGAAGCTGAGACAAGAAACAAGTGAAGTTCAACATTAGATAACTCTCTTGTCTGGTAACTGATGTAGACAAAGAATGAAGAAACTGAGTGAATTTTGTACTACAATTGGAAGTGTGTGTAGTGTGTGTTGTTTTGGGGATTTGTTGTTCTAGAAAAAGTAAGTGTTGAAATATGTCTGATGCATGGAAGTTTCCCCTACACATTGAAGGTTGGTCACTGGTTTCTTAACCTTTTTTTTTTTATTATTATTTAAATAAGAATTATTTAATATTAATTGTACTAATCAGTAACCAGTACAGAAAGTATAGCACTGTTTCTTCTTCCATTTGTTTTTTAATTAATGTGGTTATTTGTTGTCTTTAACCAATACAAATATGTTAAGATGAGAGGAACATGACATTGAATTGGTACAGTTTAATTAAATGAAACAAAACCAAGAGGAATATTATATTACAATGCAGACAAAGGTATCCATCCACACAATTAAGGGTTGTCTTGATTAGATGAAAGAGATTCTTGATTGAGGAGAAGTGCTGCCCAAATTCTCATTTGTTTAGTGCAACAACCAAACACGATCTCCTTTGCATTAAATCTTGAGATCACATATAAATCAAGTGAGCAATTTTTCAATGTTAACTACTCTTTTTTCAATACAACAACTGAAGGAATCTTCTTTGGATAATTATACCAAGGCATTGACTGACTAATCTCACATGGTGATGGCGTGATTAAATCATTAAGATCTGATAAATTTGTTTACCATCTCTTGCACTAGAACATAAAAGACACAGGCAAATCAGATTTTGTAATAAAAAGGACACAAACTCAGATTTATCAACTTTTCAAATTTTGAAATTTTCAGATTTATGCAAATTAAATATTTTTCTACATAACTAAATCATGGATATAAATCACGATTTTGAGTACCACATCACATGCTAACACAAGAGTTAATAATAAGCATCACAAACCAATCCAGCTTAGTGTACATGAGTTCATTAATTAATTAAAAAAAATATTAGAGAACAAAAAAAAAAAAAAAAGTTGCATGGTGCATGGTGCAAAATTTGCAGATAGGTATACTCACAGAAGTCCCCTCCTCCTCTTGTAGTCACTGACACTCAAAGTCAACGCATGTCTTCTTCCATCATTCTCCGGAACTTTAACCCCAAGAGTAGCTTCAATCCTCTGTTTCCTAGCCATAAACCCAGCCTGTGTTCCTTGTGGCCCACCAAACTTCTGTAGCACAGCTAACGAAATCGGCAGCTCGAAGTTATGCAGCAGGTTCGATTCAGTCCCTTGATCAACTGGAGCCATCGTATCCACCAACTTCCCCGCACCAGCTGCTGCCACTAGCGCCGCCTCTGTAGCCGCCAAACCAGGCAAAGCAGCACCACCACCACCGTTCGTCTCAACCGCCACCTCAGCCTCCACCCCACCGCCACTATTCCCCACATAATAATTCCTCGACCTCGTCCACCTCCTAGAAAACGGGTCGTACCCAGCCTCCCCTGCTTTCAAGCCAATAGTCACCGGCTTCATCTCCGACGCGTTCTTGAAATTCTCCACCCTGTTCTTCCTGTTCATCTCCGCCAGCTTCACCGCCTTCGAGTTCTTCTCCAAAGCCTGGCGTGAAGACTCCAGCTCCTGCAGCCTCGCCTTGATCCTCTCCACCTCAGCGTCGTCCTCGTTCTCCTTTGCCACCTCCAAGGACCGCCTCAGTCGATCCTTCTCCGCCGCCACGTTCAGCGGCCGCCATGTAGCGGACTTCTTTTCCTGCAGCATCTGCTTCACGGTGGCTGCTGAGTAGACGAACGTGTTTGTCCTTTGTATGGCATCCCGTTTCTCCATCACCTCCTGCTTCGTGGGCATGTGGCCCCCATTCCGTTCCACCTCCTTAACCCACTGATCGAACTCCTCCCTCTGAGGGGCGGAATCGGAAACCATCGCCATCTGCCACCTGGCGGCAGAGCTCTCGCTACCCCAAACCACATTCAGCCACTTGGACGTGGTTTTGTTGTCCAGCTTGTACTTCCTATCAGGGTCAGTGGCATCCACATTACGTACAACGCAGAGCCTGTAGATTGATCCGGATCTCGATTTCCCAATTCCAACCCTAACAAAGCAACCAACAATCAATTCGTCGAAAAAGGGCTCCATAAACCATTTTGACAGTTTCGACCTCCGAATTGTGATTTCCTTGATGTCTTCAAAAGTAGGCACCTTGGACGATACCTTATCGTCGTCACTATCACCCAGTCCACCATCACCTGTCGAGTCACCATCGTCGCTGTGGGACCCACTGTCGCTCCTGCTAGGGCTGCTTAAGGCGGTGGTGGTGGCGGCAGCAGCAGCAAAAGATCTCCTCTTCACAGGTGAGTATCGGCCGCCGGACCCCCCCTTGGCTGCATCCCTTCTCCGTTTTACCAACTCGTCCAACGCGCCAGCTCTTTGAGCTTTCGACCGCATGTTACGTGTGTGCGTCTTCGGCGGACTACTGCCTTTCCTGTCTTGGCCCTTTCTCTTTTTCAATTTCTCGGTCAAATCTCGGTCACTTCTCTTTGTCGCACGGGCTTCGAGTATCATTTCCCGTTCGAGCTCTGTGAGCTTCGAAAGTTTTTCCCTATCATCTTCGTCCTTGTACAGGTCACTACCAACAGAATCGTTATCACTGTCACGGTCATGATCATACTCATCCTCATCACCTTCTTGACTGCTACGATCTTCGTCTCTATCGGTGGCATCCAGCCTCTTCTTGAGAGGCACCTGCGAGCCTGATGGCTTTCTATTTGTATAGCCTCGGTCGCCGTCAGATTCTTCGTTTTTCGAGTCACTTCCATCGTCGGAATATGAGCCTTTTCGCCGCCTTCTAGACGGTGGAGATGAATGGCGGTTCCTCCCGGATGTGGTTGTCCTTCCAGCTGCCTCGAGGAGCAATTTTTCTAAGTCCGCCATTGAGCTTGGTACCTGTTATGGATGGGAAGCTAAATCAATAGTGAAGTCTTTACAAAAATGATGCATCAATCATGTAGACAGAGCCAGTGAACTCATCAAATGTTTAAAACATGGAAAACTATTCTCTATGCATGTGAAGAGTGTTGCAAGGAAGAAGATGTTTCTAAGCATATCTGCACAACATCCCTCATCAACATTCTGTGGAATAGCTTAGACTTGTTGACTTATTCCCGTAGTCTCATCACCTAGCATCTTAGTAGTTTAATATTGTCTCACATATACACATAAGCCACTAATGAGATTTAAGGTTAAACACAATAATTCTGGGGAAAATAGAGAATGTAAAAAGGAAAGTTGTACAGTTAAATGCTCATAAGATACGCACAAACGGACACGTACTCCTATTAGACTCAAGTGATTCTTATCATCAATGCATAACAAGCATAAATATATTTACATATATGTATACAGATGTATATAATCGAACAACACGTGTTGTAACCTAAACTAGCTGAGTCTTATTCATCAAATTCGATTACATCAAACCGTTTTGAATATTTCAGTATATACTAAAATTACCAAACCATTACATCTTTAATGATTCAGCTACAAAATTTGGAAACAAAAATATGGGTTCAATGCAGTAAAACAAATTTGGGAGGAAAAAAAAAAGGAAAAAAATGTTTCTAATGAAACCAAAGGCAGGGAATTTATCACCAGAATTTCCAAACGCTGCTAACTATTTGGCGAAAGGTCAAATTGATTCTTGTGAGAATAAAAAAAAGCAATAAATATAATCAGATATAGTACAAAATCACTATTTTAAATTCAAAACCATGAGAAAAAAAAAATGCCTCAATCAACTCTTTTAACTCCCCAAAAACACCAAAAAGAAGAAAAAAAATTAGATGAACATTAGACAACATATTTTCAATCTTCAACAATTGAAAGGACAAACAATGACATGAGTATCGACAAAATCTGATTAATTGTTCAACAATTGAAAAATAAGGAAAAAAAAAATAACCTAGAATAAACAACTGACCTGGTGGCGTGGATTTCCACAATTGGGATTTTCTACAAGGGCTACTTTTAGAACCTATCAATAGCCAAATCGTGCTCGAGCGGCGAAGGAGGGCTGACGGTGGCGGTTGGTGCTGCTGGAAGGCGGTGACGGACGGCAAATTAACCTAATGCTGGTGGCTCGACGGGCCGGGATCTAGGAACTGCGGCGGCACGCAAGGGTGTCTAGTTGCACTCGATTCGGAGACTGAGAGAGCGGGTTTTTTCTTTTGTCAATCGCCGAGTGAGGTTGGCTAACCCCCCCTTTATATAGTGATTCCTTAGGCTGTGTTTGGTTTGACTTCGAACCACGAATAGCATTCTTATATAAAAGAAAAAAATATCTCATCAAAATTTTTGAATTTCCTTCGTCTCCCAAACACAATTTAGTTACATATATATAAGGAAATTAAGAAGAAAATTAAAAGTTATTCTATTTAAATTGCATGATCTATCATAAAAGACATGTCCGACGAGTTCTACTTAAAATGAAATGATCAATGAGTCGTCGTGTCAATATGATCACACGTGTATGAGTTAACGAAAAAGTTATACACGAATTCTATTTAAACGGCATGACCACTGCAGACGAACTCTATTTAAATTACATGATCTTTACTAAAAAAAAATACACCATTGTACCATTATGGATAAATAAATTAGAATTTTCGAAAACTAAAATCGGATCAAATTTAAATAATTTTACAAGTTGGTTGATATATCAATAGCTCAATTTCAATAAGTGTCAAGAAAGTTGTCATGATTTTTAAGGCCCAATGGGCTGGTCAAAGGGCCAATGGGCTGGTCAAAGGCCCAAACACTACAAAGTCAACGAATTCAAAGTCAATGGGCCACTAAAATTGTTAGTAGGTGATGAAATTGTGCAGGTGTTGAAAATGGAAGAAATTGAGCACAAGTACGTGAAATTGAACGGGCTGAAGGTCCACGTGGCGGAAATCGGAAGCAGGTCATCGCCGGCGGTGGTGTTCCTGCACGGATTCCCTGAAATATGGTACTCGTGGCGCCACCAGATGATCGCCGTCGCCAAGGCTGGGTTCAGAGCTATATCGCCCGATTACAGAGGGTACGGGCTATCCGACCCGCCTCCGGAACCCGAGAAAGCCAAATTCTCGGACTTCATAGCAGATCTCCTCGCGCTCCTTGATGCTCTTACTCTATCCAAGGTGCGCAACCGCTTTCCGTCGATTCGAGTAAATAAGAAATTGCATTTTATCCCAATTTTTGCCTTTGATGATTATTCAGGATTACTGTTTTGTTTTGATTTGTAAATGTTGTTGAAATTCATATTTTTTCATGTTATTTGATTAGTTGATTCGTGATACACGCATTGCATGTATCTGTATAGGAAAGCAGAGAAACATAAATCTGGGTGTATTACATACCGTAGTTTAAGCAGTTGTGAAAAATTCAATGAAGAAGATAAGTTTAACCTAATTAAGTAATTACTACTTTTTTTGCCCCTTTCTGAAGTTTGACATTTTGGATTTTTGCTCAAATTAGGTTAGTATTTCGAAATATTTAGCATTCAGCACAATGATCTGTGAGCTTCTTTGTATTTCTGCCATTCACGCTTCTCCGAGCACTGATGAAATTTGATTGCGATAAATGTGTAATGAGAGTGTCTGTACACATACAGGTCTTTCTAATCGGTAAGGATTTCGGATCTCGTATAGCTTACTTATTTACTCTGCTTCATTCCACGAGAGTATCTGGAATCATAACATTAGGCGTACCTTTTGCTCCTCCAAGCCGCCACACAGTTCTTAAGAATCTTCCAGAAGGTTCCTACATCTCCAGGTGGCAGGTACGTGGCAGAGCCGAATCTGATTTCAGCCGTTTCGATTGTAAGACAGTGTTGCGTAATATCTACATTCTTTTCGCACGAAACGAAGTGCCTACAGCTCAGCAGAATCAGGAAATAATGGATCTGGTAGATCCATCAACTGATTCTTTACCTCATTGGTTCACCGAGCAAGATCTTGCAGAATATGCTTCTCTGTACGAGAAATCCGGATTTCGAACTGCTTTGCAAGTTCCGTATAGGTAAAAATTGGATTTTGGACGGATTTTCGAATCTTGCAACTGTTTATTGAGTTAATTGGATTTTTGTTAATAGGTCACTTGATGAAGAGTTCGACATAGTGAATCGGAAAGTTGAAGTTCCTGCGTTGGTTGTCGTGGGTGGAAAGGACTACTCGTTGAAGTTTCCGGGAATCGAAGAGTACATAAGAAGTGGGCGGGCGAAGGCGTATGTACCTAATTACGAGACAGAGCATTTGCCTGAAGGTTCACATTTTATGCAGGAGCAATTACCTGACCAAGTAAATCAGCTCATACTTGGCTTTCTCAGCAGGCACAGTTGATATATTTTTTTCTTTCTCTTTTTTCAATCCGAATTGTTTGATCCATTTACTATTTTATTTTATATAATACATATCCGCACTAGTGGTTGGAACAAGAGAACTTTTTTTACCAAATAGAATCACAATTGTTTCGATCTGCGGAAATCACAATTCAATTCATACTTGAAATCAAATTTTCATTTTTTTACCAAATAGAATGAATATATATATATATATATATATATATATATATATATATATATATATATATATGGATTTTATTTTTTTTGTACTACATTAAATGGCATGCCATTAATTTCTTAAAATCCAAATAAAAGGGCAGCTATTAATCTAACGAGCTTATTTCAGTACAACCGATCGCTTTGGGCCCAAATTATTCACCCAGATAATAGTATGAAAAATTAAGTCCAGCTCACCAATTAATTTCATATTGGGCTAATAAATTAATCCCAATTCATAACCCGTTATTTTATTGGCCCAATTGCAACTGCTTAAAATATAATTGTGTTTGCTCCCACATCGGTGCAGTAGTGTAACATCTGTCGTTTTATATAGCTCAGAAGAGACAAGGTAGATTGTCCCTTCGGGGACATCCGATAAAATTGGAACGATACAGAGAAGATTAGCATGGCCCCTGCGCAAGGATGACACGCATAAATCGAGAAATGGTCCAAATTTTTTTTTTTTCCAATATTGAAAAATCGAAACCTCTTAACTCTAATTTTAGGGGTGAGCGAAAAGACAGAAAAACCGAGTCGATTCATATCGTACCGAATAGCAAACTGTATGCATGGTTTTTTTTTTTTTTTTGGAAAATCGAAACCTCTAACTCTAATTTTAGGGGTGAGCGCAAAGACAGAAAAATTGAGTCATTTCATATCGTGCCGAATTATTTCATATCGTACCGAATAGCAAACTGTATGCATGGTTTTTTTCTGAAACATCGAATTATTCGGTCCGGTATGATGGAAATGGTGAATAACCAAAACGAAACTATAAAATAACTTCATTTTATGTAATATGTATTATTTTACCCTAAATTTTACTTTTTATCTTTTAATTACTTGTCTCATTCTAAGTATTTGTTCATCAATTGAGACATAGTATTTTATTTATTTATTTAGAATAAAATTTTACGTGAGTTCATGGTTTTAACAATGTGGTTGATGAAAGTAGGACAAAATATGAAGCATAATACATCATCTAAGTTTCATTAATTCCTATAAGATTAAAAATTTTATATTTTCATTGCATTAGTTGTGTGAGTAATAGTAATTGGATTCTTTTGTTTGTATAACTCGAAATTGAAAGAAATCGAACCGATAAAAAACCGATATATAATTTTTAATTTTACAAAAACCAACATATTCGGATTTAGCCAAAAATCGAAGCGAACCGAGCCGTACACACCTCTCCCTAATTTGGCCTAACTCTTAGTTAATGCGGCGCGAAAAGTACCTAATTTGGGCGGCTCCTAGTTAATGTGGCGCGAATGTGCTCGGACAAAACGTCAAAGATTCCACCTACACTTGAAAAGATTCCCACACTCGACTACAAATACAAATATCTACTTACTCAGTACTAAACCCACTACACTCCATATCTGCGGACGTTGACGATGGGTGAAATTGAGCACACGTACCTACAAATCGACGGCCTCAAGCTCCACGTGGCGGCAATCGGCGACGTAGCGTCGCCGCCGGTGGTGTTCCTGCACGGATTTCCAGAGATATGGTACTCCTGGCGCCACCAGATGACCGCCCTCGCCGGCGCCGGATTCAGAGCCATCGCACCCGATTACAGAGGTTACGGACTATCCGACCCGCCTCCGCAACCCGAGAATGCCACGTACGCCGACCTTGTAGCCGATCTCCGCGCGCTTTTCGACGCTCTCTCTCTCCCAAAGGTATGCCCTTTTTCCAGCCATCTGCTTCTAATTAGGTTTTCGGATCTCAATTAAATCTTTTTAATTGAATATTTGTTCTAAATTTGCCACACACACGAACACAGGCTTTTCTAATTGCAAAGGATTTCGGAGCTCGAGTTGCTTACTTATTTGCCCTAATCCACCCCGAAAAAGTTTCCGGAGTAATTACATTGGGCATACCGTATCTGCCTCCATCTCCGGTCAAATTCCTCGATCTTCTTCCGGAAGGTTTCTATATCTCAAGATGGCAGGTATACCCTATCCCTTTCTTCATCTCACCTGTTAGAAAAAAAAAACTACACATTGTATTGTAATTTTTGTTATGTTGCAGAAACCGGGAAGAGCCGAGGCGGATTTCGGCCGATTCGATAATAAAACGGTAGTGAGGAACATCTACATACTGTTTTCTCGCAGTGAAATACCGATTGCTGATGAAAACCAGGAAATCATGGATATGGTTGATTCGTCTACTTCTTTACCGTCTTGGTTAACCGAGGAAGATCTTGCAAACTATGGTTCTCTGTACGAGAACTCTGGTTTCCAAACTGCTCTCAAAGTTCCGTACAGGTACTTCCGTAAACCCGAATAATAACTTCTTTCTATTCGTACACAAAATTTGTTTCTGATGTGTGTATATATATATATAAACATTATAGGTCATTGTTTGAAGAGTTCAATATAACGAATACGAAAGTTGATGCTCCGGCATTGTTGATCATGGGTGAGAAGGATTATTTCTTGAAGTTTCCTGGTATGGAGGACTACACAAAGGCCGAACAGGCGAAGATGTTCGTTCCTAATTTGGAGACGGTATTTGTTCCGGAAGGTAGCCATTTTGTGCAGGAGCAATTTCCAGAGCAAGTGAATAAATTGATAATCGACTTTCTGAGCAACCACAGTTGAAGGCCTTGGCTATGGTTGTCGGGTTTTTTGGTCGTTAAATTCTACTATTACGAAACATTGGTGTTTATCTTTCGGAATTTGATGAAAATGTATGTTCCTTGTGGAAATAAATGAAGGCTCTTCCAGTTTAATTGTCTCTTATGAGCATGATTTATCAACTGCATTAAGATTTGTAACAAGTTACAGGGGATTTCTAGGACCAAAATGGCTGTTCAGTAAATACATAATTCGAAAAGATGCGTTAAAATCGCACAAAACCGAAACCGAAACCGAAATCAAAACCAAAAATTAAAAGAAACTGGTTTATGGCTTCTATCTAGGAAGACTGATTTTTTTTATTTAGTTGGTACCTTTTCATTTTCTCTATTAAAAAAAAAATAATAATAATAAAATAAAATAAATAAAAATCAACCACACACCACTACATCCCCACCGACCACCACCAACCTTCCTACTCAAACTTCGGCTATTAATAGTTTCCAGTTATGGAACCAGAAGTTACTGCACTTTACAGCAACCAAATTTAAAAAAAAAATGGAGAGGATAGAGCACAAGTACGTACATGTGAACGGTCTGAAGCTCCACCTGGCGGAGATAGGAAGCGAGTCGTCGCCGGCGGTGGTGTTCTTACACGGATTCCCAGAGATATGGTACTCCTGGCGCCACCAGATGATCGCCGTCGCCGCCGCCGGATTCAGAGCAATTGCACCCGATTACAGAGGATACGGACTATCCGATCCGCCGCCACAGCCCGATAAGGCCACGTTGTTGGACCTCGTGGCTGACCTCCTCGCTCTTCTCGATGCACTTGCCCTCCCCAAGGTACACAATCAATTTCACCCTAATTCCCAAATTTTTTTTCTCTCTCAATTATTCAAGTTTCTGACTAAATTAATATCAACTTCACTAGATTTGATTTAATATGAGATATCTTATCCGGCCAATTGAGTACTAAATAATTTACATATCATATAATATGTATGCATGCAGGTTTTTCTGATCGGTAAAGATTTTGCAGCATTTGTAGTATCAATTTATACCCTTCTACACAAAGACAGGGTATCGGGCTTTGTGACAGTGGGTGTGCCTTTCATGCCACCTAATCCTCCCACATTCCATCACCACCTCCCTGAGGGCTTCTACATTTCTAGATGGAAGGTATATATACACACATATATATATACACATATATATATGTGTGTTTGTGTGTGTGTGTGAGAGAGAGACCTTCCGCGACTCATATTGCAAAAAATCGTTTTTTTCTTATAGGAAGGTGGACGTGCGGAAGCTGATTTTGGTCGCCTTGATGCGAAGAGTGTTGTAAGGAATGTGTACATAATGTTCTCGAAAAGTGAAATACCCATAGCACATGAAAACGAGGAGATCATGGACTTGGTTCAACCGTCCGATCCTCTGCCTTATTGGTTCACCGAAGAAGATCTTGCAACCTATGGAGCCTTGTACGAGAACTCGGGTTTTGAAACTGCATTGCAGGTTCCTTACAGGTAGTTAAAATTGTATGAATTGATCTTATAGTGGTATTTTAGAGGTAATAATCGGGGTTTTTTTTTTTTTTTATCGTAGGTCGATGGATTTAGTGTTGGATATAAAAGATCCGAAAGTTGACGTTGCAGCTCTGCTGATAATGGGGGAGAAAGATTATGTCCTGAATTTTCCAGGAATGGAGGACTACATCAGGGGCGGAACTGTAAAAACGTTTGTGCCTAATTTAGAGATCGTTTTCGTGCCCGAAGGAAGCCATTTTGTGCAAGAGCAATCACCCGATGAGGTGAATAACCTCGTCGTTAATTTCCTCAAAACCCATAATTAATTTAAATCAAGAAGAGATGTTGTGACAACTGTAATGTTGTAATTTCATCATGGTGTGTAATTGTAGGGGAAGTTTGAAACCTATATATAATAAATAATCTTTCTCACAATTCTGGGTTAATTTGAAACAATTATAAAAAAAAAATCCAATATAGTCATCATTCTCAAACAACATATTTTGCAAATATTACAGGATACAAGGATTTTATAATCATGAATTAAAAACATGAGATAATCACATATTAGGTTATCAGGAACTAATCTTATTCCGTAACGAGGCCTAAAGCAACAACATTGAACTGACCACTTGTCGAGGGAACATAGCAAAACATGCGTATCTTCGTTTTGACGAGGGAATTTGTTGCTGATAAAGCACATGGTATTTTTAGTTTCCATTGGGAATCTCCTCAGCATCCACAGAGCCAAAATTTGCTTCCTTCTACTTGACAGAAACATTGCAAGGACAAGAGACTAGCATGAAAAAATAAAAGTAGATGCGTTCTTATCTCATGTTACCCTCGCGGAGAACATCAATCATATCATATATCCGCTTGTCTGAATTGGATTTAACCTGCATTTAGGAATTTTATTTTAAATCAAACAACTAAAGCAAGACTGAATCACGTACATAAAGTTTGTGCTATTCGCCTATAAATTAGTACTACTAGATTTATAGACTGAATCAATCAATCAGAAAAAAATAGTTACCTTTTTAGCGAGGAAAAGTACAGCATCCACAGTGCCTTCTGCATAAATTGATCTGCCACAAACATTGTGCTGAAACTCGAAGGAAACACTTTTCCACGGAAAAGTACAAAGGAGAAGATTATTAGAAAGTCTGATGCTCGTAAGTAACTCGTGGGATAAAAAAAGAAACCATAATCAAAGGGTAGAAAGATATCTTACGTTCCATCAGGTGATGTTAGGTGATACATGTGGAATGCATGACCATTTAAATGCTCTTCTGGGACTCCCACCATCTCAATTTGCATTCTAGGGTCCCGTATTAGCTGGATCTGATTGAATTCATTGATAAAAAATACCAGAAATCAGACGTGTGAGAACATTATCTGTCTTTATTTCCAATTAAAACAAAAGGCTTCCAAAACCTTGTTTTCTACACATCAAGCTCTAAAAGAACAGAAAAATTGAATATTTTTTGCAGCAACAAATTCTCAGAAAAACACACTGTGATGTGAGAGACAAGATCATGAAAGAGAGTCGAATGTTTTAATTAAATTAAGGTTCTTAGTTATGAACATCAATGCTTAACATTCGCTCTTATTCTTGCATTATGAACTGATTGATAAACCATCTACGCTGCCACAAACTATTTGCGACTGGGATAAGATGCACTCCAAGATAACTCTGTTACTCCCAATGAACATATAATAGGACATGGTTTGTGACTTAGTAATATTATAATTTGTCTGTAGTACCTGGTCTCGTTCAAATGAGGCCCCCAGATCTTCGAAACATGTGATGACAGCCTTAGCAGTTCCAGATATATCCACCTTGCTAGCTTGATGCGACTCCATTACCTTGTACAAGTTTTACAAGGAAAACAAAAATGCGGATATAGGGCCAGTTAGCTGATGTTCAAGAAGCTGAGAAGAAATTTAATATACTGAAAATATAAAAAGTGGGCAATTCAAGAACCATGAAAATTCTTGCATTACTACTTCACATAAAAATCAAGTAAGAATGCTATAAATGATTCTCATTAGAGATAAGAGTGTAGATAAATTACTTGTAGATTATACCCAGAAAATGCGCCTGGAAATTGTTTTGCCATAATTTCCATTGCTGCAAGAAATGCCACCACCTAAAAATATCAGTGTGGGAACTGTTAAACATGTAAAGTGAAAAAGGAAAAGGAAAAAAAATGTGCCAAAATTTTGTGAATGAAAAGACGAGAGAAAAAAAAATTGAAAAAGAAAGAAAAAAATGGAAACGAAAAAAGAAAAAGAGGCTAAAGATTACAGCACCTGTTTACCCATTTGGGGAGATATCACAGCATAAACATTCGAGTCGGCCACAGTCTTATACAGAAGTTCCCTGTCTCCTCCAGTGGTTCCCATTACAAAAGGTACTCCAACTTTACAGTACAGTGCAGCATTGTCTGTATACCATGGCAAAACAAATTTAATGGCCAATTTTGAGATTTAATTAGAATATCAGAATACGAATAGAGTGAGATAAGAAATAAGATTTCAAATAGGCCGAATCTTCATGTCAGTCAATTAGTCGGTCCGTACACGGAATGTTGGGGAAGTCTTAAGTATTAACAAGGCAAATTAACCAACAACCTTTAATACCAATCTTATTTACTAATACTAAAACTATAACTTAATATCATCAATACAAGAAATAGAGCTTATTTTTCTACCTCTCAAGATAATGGCAAACAAGAGACAGTAGATTCCCAAAGAAGAACAGACTCCTGATTTTAATGATGTATTTAGACCCACCAAACACCTAAAGACTTCTCGAGGAAAATAAAACTAATAAAAAAAGAATAGGATTGAGTTAATTTGTTTCCAACCTTGCATTATTCATTCATTGTATGGATTTTGTATCGAGATCGACAATTAAGCAAGATAATTCAAATGCATCAATCATGACCAGTCCAACAACAACAATACAAATGCTGAACCCATTGATGCCAGTAAGCACTATAATTTGTCACGATCATGACATAGTTCCAACTTCCATGATATAATCTCACTTATAAATTTATCAGGTGTTGTAATGTCAGAAATAGTTCAAACTTAAAATTATATCAGGTATTTGTTAAATCAAACTCTGAATTCTACAGTTAAGTCAAAGAACGCTTACCATTCACAGCAGCTGGCAATGTGTAGTCCACTACAATCAGGTTCGGATAATCACTAAACGCAGAAGATAGAACAGATTCTCTGTCGGAGGGACCATGCACTTCAATCTGTTTCCCACCAAAATCCAAGATCTTCCCTGAATCGTCTGGACCGCCTAACGCTACAGGAACAGGGTTAAGCCCAGCGGCCATAGCTGCTTCGAGCACAGCCCTCCCCATTTTTCCAGTACAACCATTCACCTGCAACACACAGAATACTTTCACCACTGAACAGTGATCAATAAGCAAACAAAAAAAACAAGCATTTACTTTACACATTCAGCATACATTTCAATTACGCGAATATTCGAGCAGCTCCAATAAGAACATGCGATCAAAATTACGAATGAACTCATATGTAACTGAAATTCAATAAAAAAATATTAAGCTCAAATTATACCATGATAGGAATTCCAAGATCCTTGGGTGGTGCAACAGTAGGCACCAGCTGGAGAGATTCTACTTGTGCGCTTGACATCTTGACCGAGAAATCCCGCCCAGTAGGAAACCTCGAATTGATTCTAATACCTACTGAATTCCCAATTCTCGAGTCGGAAGATGGATTTAGCATTTGATTGTTTCCTCGCCAAGCTGTGCGGCTGATGCAAAATGGGGATTTTACGACAAATGCCATTCAGGAACAGAATCTAATAGAAGCTAACGTCAGCCTTAAGCAGATAATTGCACCGCGGCGGCGACGATGGAGGGTAGCGGCGGATGGTCGGGAGAAAGCCGAAGAAGGTAGGGTTTAGAAGCAATTTAAAATGGTTGTTTTATTTCTATGAACAGATTACAGTCGATGTCCTTTATTTATTTATTTAATTTAAAAAAAAACAAAAAGTTGGAATAATGAATTTAGTCAAATCGTGTATAATTACAGTTTTGCACCTCAAGAACGGATTATATCAAATTTGTAAAGCACAGAGGACTTTTTTGAATGATAAATTTAAGACCAAGGACACACTACAATTAAAAAAAGGTTCAGGGTTCGAATATTAATAATGCAAATATTCTCTCTCTTTTTTTTTTTTTTTTGGATAAATTCCACTTTTCCCCCCTTGTACTTTGGTTGGATATTACTCTCAATTGCATCGATTTGCCCCATTGTACTTTGGTTCGATACCAACCTTCTACTCTCGATTCATCGATTTGCCCCCTTGTACTTTGGTTCGATATCACTTTACCCCCTTCTACTCTGAATTGCATCGATTTCCCCCTATACTTGAAAAATTGCCTTAATGTGGCCATCGCCGAAACCTTTGACCTTAACACCATTTGATCTAAGTTTGAAAATTATAAAAAAACCACCCCTCTCAGTTTAAATAATTATTAATAAAATAAAAAATAAAAAATAAAAATTGTGTCTGGCGTCGTGGACTATGTTTTCTCGCTGTATTTTTTTTATTTTTTTTTGTTTTCTATTTTTTTTAATAATTATTTAAAATGGAGGGGTGACATTTTAGTAATTTTCACACTTAAATTAAACGGTATTAATGTCAAAGTTCTGAAAACTAACGACGAGGGCCACATTGAGATAATTTTTCAAGTACAAAGGGGGGCAAATCGATGCAATCGAGAGTAAAAGGGGGTAAAGTGATATTGAGTCAAAGTACAAGGGGCAAATCGATAAATTGAGAGTAGAAGGGGGTAAAGTGATATCGAACCAAAGTACAAGGGGGCAAATCAATACAAATGAGGATAAAGTGATATCCAGCCAAAGTACAAAGGGTAAAATGAAATTTACCTTTTTTTCTTTTAGGTACAATTATTACAAATATTCTTTTTTTGTGCATGCAACAATTTCATCCCCTCAACTTAGAAGGTAAACTCAACATATGTATTTACAAATTACAATACAATCTACAAAGAAAAAAAATTGAGGCCTGTACAACTTCTTGAAGCAGCTCTCATGGAGTCGTCCTACACGATTCGATTACTTCAAGCACCACTTCGTGCGTTTCCGGCGAGATCAAATTCAACGTCACATGAAATACCTTAAAAAAAAAAAAAAACCATTTATAACGAAAAATACGTCGTTTGTATAATATTTTTTGAACAAACAAATATGGTAAAAATACATACCGCAAATCTCTCCAACACCGGAACAAGTATAGCCAAGTTCCGACCCGGAAAAAAATTCGCAATTGCATTACGTGTGCTCTTACTGGAAAAAAAAACCAATCAGAAATAAAAATTCACGAGAAACACGGTAAAAAGAATTTGCTCAAACAAAACACAAATTCAAACGAGCCTATTGTAGCACATTACTAAACCTTTCCATCGAAAGAAACGCAAGAAGAAGAGCTGCATAAGCTTCTATAATCATATTATCCGCTTCTTTCTCTCTCTGTAACCCGGACTCTTCGTCATCCTGTACAATTAAAGTTTGAAAATACTCAAGCTATTATAATTACGTGAACCATTTCATACATCAGCAAAATAAACAGAAGAACAACTTTCTCACCGAACACAAATATTTTCCACCGGCTCGGTTAGCCAAAAAGATAGAGCATAGAAGAGAAATCACACCGTCCGTTTGATCCTCCAATTCCAAATCATCGATTCTCGGTAACGAAACACGAGCTGCTACAAGCTTAGATCTGCAACACAATAAGAATATGCGATCAACAAAATTGTCGTCTAATTATCTCAAGATTGTAACAAAAATGCAAGTAAAGTTTTACCTGTTTTGTCGATCCTTCTCCACCAAATTCACAAGCAAGACCAAAATAGCAACGAGAAAGTCCTGTTCTCGATCAGTCAGATGTGTATCGCTCGGACTAGAATTAGACGGGAAATGACGAGCAATCAGAGAACAAAAGGTTTCCAAGCCTCCGCATGTTGCAATTTGCTGGCAGCCCTCGGGGTTGTCGTTAGTTAAGTTTATAAAAACCTGTAAATCAACGATAACGATTTATATTCAATAGACTCTGGAAAGTGATGAAAGCTGCAGAAACGAAATGATACGGAAAAAATGAGAATTTCACGTTGATACCTTGACAGCTGCGATAAGACAGTCGGATATAAGGTTGAACTTTTCTTCATCACCGGCAGAAGTGGGTCCCACTTTATCTGCCGTTTCAGATAGTCGGTCCCACTTTGACGGTCCAAACTCGTCCCAACGAAACGCAAAAGGATCACTGCTATCTGAATCCCCAGATATTCCGCTGAATGATACCTGAGTCGTAGGACTGCTCGATGAACTTCTGAATAAAGAAACACCTAGATAATAGAGACAAATAAATTAATATCGATTAAACGAATGTCATGCATTAGTCGTTACACATGTAAACTATACCTGAGAGAATCTTGACGACACTAAGAATGAGGTTTGTGAGAGAACGTGGAGCTCGTTGACCGTTCGTTTTTCCGTTCATTCCAAGCAAATGGCACTGTAAAGCAATATCAAATACGGAGACGGAAGTTAGGTAGTCAAAACATCGACTAGTAGTTAATGTTTAGTAAATGAATACAAATGGGTTTTCTCGAAACAACTACACGGAATCCGATAAAATCCGATACCTGATTGTCTTGGCTAAGGTCGGTAGCATTTTCCATTACTTTTAGACATTTCAAAAGCAGTAGAAGACTTTCTAGCCCAGCGTTGTCTTTCAATTCGAGTGCAAAATTCGGACTCTTCTCCAACCATTCCTGCATAAATAATGAACTTTACAGAAAATCAACTCGGAAAAAAAAATAAAAAAAATTAACCGACAAGGGGTCGCGTCTCACCTCCATTATGCAAAGACAATTCCTCGCCACTTCAAAAACTGCATCAAGTCCTCCAAACTCTCTAAGTATTTCCTTGAAGCTAACCCCAGTTTTCCGAACAGTGTTAGCCGTATCTGATAGTTCCAGAACATTAAAAAAAAAAAAAAAAAAAGGAGAAAATGTATAAAATATTATCATCGACGAAATAGAAATAGAACGCAGAAAGTAAGTATTACTAGAAGCAAACTACAGCAAAAGAAGTTCCAAACCTTCAATAGATAAGCACGCTTTCTCCATTGTAAGCAAACTAATCCATTTAGGATACAATCGTAAATGGATACATTCTCTCGACTTCATTTCCTTGCAATTACGAAGAATCTCGCGGACCTTGGTCATAATTGCAGTCGCGCTGGAATCTTTGATATAAACTGAGTCTTGTAATAAACTAGCCCTTCTGCGCATCCTTGGTGTAAGTGGTTTCAAAGACTTTATCAGAAAGCAAATGCAGCTCGGTGAACCCAAAACGCAATCATCTTCACCCTAAAACAATGAGATCTCGAGAGTAAGTATCAAGTGTTGAAATGCGATTGAAGAAGTGAGCACTTTCCGAAATCACTCACATCACTTGTCAGCAGATAAACTAAAGTAGCTGCAGCGAGGTTGCTTGGCCAATCATCGGAAACAAGTCTAGAAACAACATCGATAATATTTCTAGCCATCCTACGAAAGATTTTAGTAGTCAGTTACTAATGTAAGATAGGCCCCAACCACTCAGAAAATCCGTAAATAAATTAAATGAACATGAAGTAAATATTTACATCGTTACCCCAAATTTTCATTATCATTTTCGAATGCACTAGGTTAATTTTTAGCTTACTGTACTACAATCTCGATAACTTTATAAAATCATCTCCCGACATCAGTAGTCAGTACTAAAAGCAACATAATGTGTTACATTAAACATAGCCTTTACGAAAAATATTTAAAATAAAAAGGATTAACGGAAGTACCCGTTAACCCTCAGAAGCTGCCGATGTTGCTTTGTTCGACAAACGGATAACAACGAAACGAGACTTGCCCTTCTAATATTCACATGTGATCCCTTCTTCAACCCATCCAATGCAAAATTCACACCATCCACATTCTCCGCAATGCTCCGTAATTTCGAATCCAACTTCTTCCTAGTCTTCTGTAAAACCCCATTTTCTTTTCCAGCCTTCTTCTTGGATATTCCACAAACCCTAGTAAAATTTGAAACATCCCTTTTAAAATCGCACTTTCTTGGCACCGAATTCCGTAAATCGTGGGACGAATTTAACCCGTACCAACCCGAATCGACATTCTTCGCCTTTGATATCGAAAAGTCCCTGTTCTCAGAGAACTCAAAAACCGTATTATCCGACTCACGTGATGAACTACACTTACGCAGGGTGGAATTGATTTTCATGAAGTTCTTTGGTTTCTTGAACCCCAAAACCCCGTACGGCAACGAATCAACGTCAACCACCTTCCGTTTCCGTTTCCGCAAACCCCCATCGTGGTCCCCACAATCGCCGCCATTTCTTGAAGGCAGAATCGTCGACCGCCGCTTCTCCCGGGAAGAAGTGAAACTGTATGAACCGAACAAGTGGCGGCAACCGGAGCCCTCGGACGACAACGTAAAATTGAAAACATCTTCGGAACATTCCTGAGAGGGGGAACCGGAAACCACGTCGGAATTGCTTCTCATCGGACCCCTACTCCGTCGGCCGTTGGTCTTGGCTATCATAATTTGCTGAGAGAATAATTTCGTGGTTGATTGAATTTGGGGAAAGGGTATTATAGTAATCTCACTAAAATTCGAATGCGTTATTCATTGGCCTATTTTAATAGCCGTTGATTCTCTAGTTGGGCCTGTCACTTTTATTATTTGGACTTGGCATTTTTATTTTTCTTTTTTCTTTTTCTTTTTTAGAAATTGGGCTTGGGCCTTAATATGATTTGGGGTCCATAAGTATTAAATTTAAGCCCCTTATTGTTTGCATAAAATAATATTAAATAATTGGTAAATTAATATAGTTAATAATTTAATAAAATACATTAAATTATTTTTTAGTTTCTTCATTTTGTGTTGACCTGTGAGATAACAACACAACATAAATTACTACTCCATTCGTTCCTAAATATATGTCGATTTTTGCATTTGCATAAATATTAAGAAATTCAACAAGCGTGTCTTCATTTTAGGAATAAACACATAAAAAAAAGACTAAAATAACATTTATTATTTAATAATTTATAAGAGATTAAAACTAGAAAACATAGATTTAATACAATATGGAAATTTTGAGGTGACAAATAATATATAATAAAAATATTTTAAAAAAAATGAAAGTTATTGTGGAACAAAGAAAATACTAATTGAGAAAACTCGGACATAAAATTTCGGACTACATCAATTTCGACGAAACTCAACTTATTTGGTAAGAAAACAACCAAGTCCTATAACACTTGCAATTGATATTCAACTTACTTAAAGATTGTTTTAATCTTGGTTATTGAATTTAAACATAAATCCTCTAACTCGTGAGAAAGACAATGCAAAGTTTATTTATTTTATATTTTTATTTTAACTATTTTTATTATGCATAATATTCTGAAATCAAAATGCAAAAAAAAATAAAAAAATTAGTTATTTAGATGAGATGCAATATAAATTAGAAATGGTAAAAATGTAAATAGTGGAAGAAAAAATCGTCACCGAATAAATGACGTGGCAGCAATTATTACTGTAATTGTTCTATACTGTATTTTATTATTATTATTATATAAACCAGAAGAGAGACCGGAGAGAAACAAAAGTTTGACCTATCATTTTTCTTTTCTTGATCTAGGGTTCTCTTTCAATCGCTATGTATTCCAGATGATTACTAACCGTTACTGTATAATACTTCAGAAACTCATAAAAATTAACCCCCGTCTCTCAATTTCTGAAGACGTCAGGAAAATCAGGATTCGATTCGTCGGTAACGGCAATCGATATTCGCCGGAATCTGTATTTTTTTTTTAATTTTTTTTATTAAAATATGTACTGCCTCTGGATTTCGTCGGCAATCGATCTATAAATCTGGATGAATCGGAACGGATAAATGTCAAAGAAGAGAAGTGTGTTCCCAATTTTCTGATACCGACTGGTTGATTTTGATTTTTTTATTGAATTATTGATATTGCCCTAAATTTACACAAAAAACCACATTGGAGTAGTGAAATTTGAACTTTTTCCGTTGAACACTTGGGGTTTTTTTTGGGAGGAAAAAAAAAATGTATCGGAACTTGGTGGTGGTGTACGAAGGGGAGAGAGTGCTGGGAGAGGCGGAGTTAAACCTGCAAGACGGCGTCGTATTGGGGAAGGGGCTGAAAGAAATTCGGATATCACACTATTCACCGCCGAGTGAGAGGTGCCCGCCGCTCGCCGTGCTTCACACAATAAACTCCACCGGAATATGCTTCAAATTGGAAGCTACTACCAAGAATCAGGAGTCGCCGCTCTCTCATTTGCATGCCAGCTGTCTCAGAGATAACAAGGTATTGCCCCCCATCAAAAAACAGAAACCACAAAACTGAGTGGAAATATCTCAGCTCATTCAGTTACTGATGCAGACCTAATTAGATATTACAACCTAAAATAAAACCTATTTTCGATTTTGGGATAATTCATACAAATCTAAATGGAGCTGCAAGTTCTAATTTTCCAAAGAGAATATATATTCAGGGGAACTGAACTTACTGCTGCAGAAAGATTTGGACTTTGGACATAGGAACAAACTACAAAGGACCATTTGTTGATTTTTTTAGTGTGAACTTTATAAACTTGACTCATTTATACGAATTCAACATGTAAAGATTGAACTCCAGAATTATTGAAATGAATTTCCACTGTTCATTTTACTGAATCTCTGTTTTATTTTTCAATATGAGCTGAAATGTGATTTTGTCATACAGTTGATAAAATTTAATCTAATTCAGGAGGATAATACCTTATTTGAATTGTTATGACGCCTTTTGACATGCTAAGAGCACGGCTTTGACATCTATGATGGTTTAATATCTCAATTTTGGGAGACTATAAATCTGGAAGTGATTTGTTGTATTGGACTTACTCTTGGGAGAAAGTAAGTTCAATCTGAGAGAAGCTGTTCACTTGCATGAGTTGCTGAATTGTTGAACAGAACATTTTTATTCCCTCTTCAAAGTTCATTTAATCTGGAAATTTATGTTGATGAGAATGGTTATTAAGGCATGGTTTTACTACCTCCTTTGTTAGTAACCTGTGTCTAATGGCATCCATGCAGAAAGGTTGGCTTTGTCGTGTCTAGGGGGGTTCTTTATATTCCTTTTTTTTTTTTTTTTTTTTTATTTCCGTCCTATACGCTTCAATGTGCTTTAACTTTAGCCTGTGGCAGTTTAGGTTGCGTCAAATTTTGTTTCAAGACTGTAGTGGCATCTGTTCTCATCATCAATTATCTGCAATCCTGTAAATGTTATATACTAAATTTCGAACTGTCCTTTCAGAATTCCACCACTTCTTTGGATTTGAGGCATGAACATTTTTAGTTTCAGCATTTAATTATCTTGTTATTATATTTGCAGACTGCTGTAGTTCCCATTGGAGGTGCGGAGATTCAGTTAGTTGCCATGCACTCCAGGAAGTATGAAGGAGGGAACCCATGTTTTTGGGGGTTCAATGTGGCATCAAGCGTTTACAATTCTTGCCTTGTCATGCTGAATCTCAGATGTCTTGGGATTGTATTTGATCTCGACGAAACGCTCGTAGTTGCAAACACAATGCGTTCTTTTGAAGATAGGATAGAGGCATTGCAGCGAAAAATAAATTCCGAGTCTGATCAACAACGTGCATCTGGGATGGTAGCCGAGGTTAAACGTTATCAGGATGATAAAAACATATTAAAGCAATACGCAGAAAGTGACCAGGTAATCGAAAATGGGAAGGTTATCAAGTCGCAGTCTGAGGTTGTTCCAGCTTTGTCAGGGACTCATCAACCCATTGTGCGCCCACTTATACGACTGCAAGATAGAAATATAATTCTTACTCGCATTAATCCACTGGTAATTGTTTTCAGGATCTATTATTTACACATCTTTGTCCTATAGTGGGAGTTAATGCTATACATATTCCAAGAATTTATGCAGTTGTATCAGAGAATATTTAAGAAAAGCACTTGGCTGCTTCTGGCAACTTAATGTTGTATTATATAATTCAGCAAGAATGATAATTATTTATTTAGATTATGAAATCATATCATTTAGGATGATTTATGTATTAACGCAGATACGTGATACAAGTGTGCTTGTGAGATTAAGACCTGCATGGGAGGAACTTAGAAATTACTTGACTGCTAGAGGTCGAAAGCGGTTTGAAGTTTTTGTTTGCACAATGGCTGAAAGAGATTATGCTTTAGAAATGTGGAGACTTCTTGATCCAGAATTTAATCTGATAAACTCGAGGGAGCTTTTGGAACGCGTTGTGTGCGTCAAATCTGGTACGTGCTTAGGAACTCTAGCCTTAAATTCAACTTTTCAGTGTAATTCATTTGTGATGGCCTGGACATCCATTTTTCTTGCACAGGGTTTAGGAAATCACTTTTCAATGTTTTCCAAGATGGAAACTGCCATCCTAAGATGGCATTGGTGATTGATGACCGCTTAAAAGTATGGGATGAGAAAGATCAACCACGAGTCCATGTTGTTCCTGCATTTGCTCCGTATTATGCTCCTCAAGCTGAAGTACTGGTTTTTCACTGACAATCTATCTGCCTGAATGAATGAAACTACTTTTTTGCTAACATTATCTGCAATTTAATTCCTGTAGGCTAACAATACTATCCCCGTGCTCTGTGTTGCAAGAAATGTAGCCTGCAATGTCAGAGGTGGTTTTTTCAAGTAAGTTATTACAAACAGTAATTGTTTTTTTCTAATTTGTCAATAACTTGGTCTCATGTACCAGCTATTGGGTTTGATTTGATATATTCAACACAGGGATTTTGATGATGGTCTGTTACAACTAATATCCGGAGTTGCATATGAAGACGATATTAAAGATGTGCCTTCTTCACCTGATGTGAGCAACTACTTAATTTCAGAGGTAAGTCAACCTTCCCCCCAGAAAAAAAAGTTTTATCTGGTCCTAGTCGCTAAACTTCGAGTTCAAAATCAGCTTGCTGGAGATCTTTCAAATGCTTTTACTATCATATTTTTTGAGACTTTGCGGCAGTCAGTAAAGTTTAATATGCCAAACGATGTCTTTCTCTTTGTTATTGTTCAGGACGATCCTTCAGCTTCTGGTGGAAACAAAGACTCGCTTGTTTATGATGGAATGGCAGATGCTGAAGTACAAAGGAGATTAAAGGTGAAGTTTGCATATGCAATTTTTTTTGTCTATGGTGGAAAGTCAGTACTTTGGAGATTCCTTTTGTCTGATGATGTCTTTATGCATATGCAGTTTTTCTTGTCCGATATTTTGTTTTTCCTGCTTTTGGTGATGTGCTTTAAAGTATGTCTAATACAGTGTTAGCAGTAGGTAATAGTACCTTACCTTACGATAATCTGAACATTCAGGACGCAATATCAGCTTCTTCAACTGCTCCTTCACCAATTGCAAATTTAGATCCTATAGTTGCCTCAGTGCTCCATTACATGGCACCATCCTCTTCTTTTACAGCTCCCCCACCAACAACACAAGGACCAGCAATGTCTTTTCCAAGTCAGCAAATGCATCAAGTGGCCACACTTCTTAAACCACCATTAGTTCAACTTGGACAAGGAGAAACAACCTCCCGCAGTTCTCCTGCAAGGGAAGAGGGTGAGGTGCCAGAATCAGAATTAGATCCTGATACGAGAAGGAGAATGCTAATTTTGCAACATGGTCAAGACATGAGAGGACCCTCTCCAAGTGAACCTCAGTTTCCTGCTCGCACGCCTATGCAAGTATCTGTACCAAGAGTTCAGCCCCATGGCTGGTTTCCTGTTGAAGAAGAGATGAGCTCGAGACAACCGAACCAAGTGGCACTACCACCAAAGGAGTTCCCTTTGAATGTTGAATCTCTGCCTATTGACAAGAATCGAGGTCATCATTCACCTTTCCTCCAGAATGTGGAGCCTTCTATTCCTCCTGGTAGAATTCTTCCTGAAAGCCAGAGGTTACCAAAGGAGGTAGTTGATTTCTCGGTAGACCTCGATTTTTTACATTTTAGTTTGAATAGAAGTCCAAGTGAGTTTCATGTTTGACAAGTTCGCTGATATGGTGTACAGGCAGTCCCGAGAGAAGATCAATTAAGATTGAACCAATCATTGCCTGATTTCCATTCTTTTCACGGTAAGTCGCATCTCTTCTGTTATCATAACTAAAGAAAGCTAGTTTTACCAGGCTTTATCATGTGTCATAATTGTACGGAAGTCATCGTTGAGACTTTTTTTCTACAGCAAGATTGCCACCAAATTCATTGACATTTCATGCAATTGCCTTGATCAGTAATTCATATCTGAATTCGATTTGATGAAGTTCTCATATTAAGTTACAGTTCACAACCTATAATGGAATTGAACACAATTTTTTTATTGGAACCTATCATTTGTTTCTTCTCATATGAAATGATATCTCTTCAATCATTGTTCAAAACCAAGTTCTTTCTAACTTCATTTGGCAGAAGTAGAGCATTACATTTTGTATTTAAATCTTGAAGGTGAAGATGCTTCTGTGGCTCAGCCATCTTCAGCAAACAAGGATTTTGATCTTGAAGCTGGACAAATTGACCCCTACATAGAAACGTGTATTGGAGCATTGCAGGATATTGCATTTAAGTGTGGAACGAAGGTATGAAACAGTTGTTAATGCCTTTTTTTTCTCCCTGTTTTGTGGCTATCATCTATCATTTTCTGTGATGGTCACCTCAAATATCTGTAGGTGGAGTTCAAGCAAACTCTTATATCAAGCACAGGACTGCAGTTCTTTGTAGAGGTAGTTTCAGACTTTCAGTTGCGATTGTCCTATTTAGTATTTACTGACGAAGAGATAAAATGAGAACTAAATAAAAAGAACTCATGTTCTACCCACTCTCCTTTTCTCACCTATCGATCCATTTAGCTCTATTACTTTTCCTCCTTTCTTCTCCCAAATTATTGGAATCTTTGATTTCCATGACACCTTGTGCACTTGAAGTATTTTTGAAATCTTGTTATGTGACCAGTGTAATTGTATTATTCCAGGTTCTGTTCGCAGGGGAGAGAATTGGCGAAGGAATGGGTAGAACAAGGAGGGAAGCACAACGTCAGGCTGCCGAAGGGTCTCTTTTATATTTGGCGGGTAACATACAAATGTCGGCTTCCTGATAGTTGAAATGAATGGGGTGTTGTATAATCTTTTGTTTCATATAAGTACATATATATGTTGTATGTATTTGAATCTCTTACTCAAAATATTCATCTACTTCTTTATCTGGTTAATGTGTCCATAGTCTTTATCTGGCCTCATTCTGTGAACTGATTATGAACATGCAATAACGTAGAATTAATTTTGATAGTTTTCTAGGAAACCTGTCTTACAACCTATTAAAAGTCACATTTGTCATGATTTGGCTGAAATTCTGACTGTGATAAACTATTTCTTTGTAGATAAATACTTGTCACGGAGTAGACCTGATTTCAACTATGTGCCTGGAGATGGGAGTAGGGTCGGTAATCAGAAAGAGAATGGTTTTAACAGTAATGCCAATTCTTTTGGATATCAACCATTGCCTAATGAGGAAGGATTACCCTTTTCAACAGTAGCAGCACCGCCGCGGATTGTAGACCCAAGAACTGAGGTCTCGAAGAGGCCAATAATGGGTTCAATTACTGCGCTTAAAGAGTTTGTAAGTTTCATTAACTGAAAATCAATGTTCTATACATGCCTTTGATTTTATTTCCATACCCTTTGTTAATCCTCGATTCTCTAGTGCACAATGGAGGGCCTTGGTGTAACATTTCAAACTCAGCCACAGTTTTCGGCTAATCCTGGCCAGAGAAACGAAGTGTATGCTCAGGTCAGATATTTATTAACGATTGCATACAACTTAAAAACCTCCCACCTCTCAGAATTCAAGTGTTTCTCGAAAATAATTTATTCGAACAAAATATTGCGAATCATGAGCTGAACTAGATTTAATCATTGTGGTGAAATGGCATCATCATGGAACCTTTACCCAGAAAAGTGAGAAAAAAAAAAAGAAAGAAAGAGGAACCTAAAAGTAAAGAATAATGTGAATCTTCTTGGGTAATTAACTCGTCTATTTTGGCACGTAGGTTGAGGTTAACGGGCAAGTATTGGGCAAGGGAATCGGGCTAACATGGGATGAAGCTAGATCACAGGTATTACGTTTTCCGACAAAATTCTTCTATATCTTTTTTTTTTCACCCTTTCCATTTTACTATTTTCGACGTGAAATTGAAAATCTTACATTTTATGGTTATAATTGAACGCTATGAATATTCTTTTTTTATCTATTAGATTCTCTCGATCTTAACTTAAAGACCATTTTCCTTAGGCTGCTGAAAAGGCTCTTGTAACCCTGAAATCCATGCCCGGTCAGTTTCCATACAGGCATCAGGGTTCTTCTCCAAGGTGAGTGGATTTGCTTTTCGGCATTTTCAGATCGTTATGCAGTACCTGGGTGAATTAAATCACACTTAACGAGAAATTAATGCAACTAGGCAACAATAAGTTTGGTTAAACACATAAGTTCAATGGCCCTATAAACTACAAACTAATGAAATATGCTACCATCTTTCTATCCTATTGCTATGTTATTGAAATAGTCTTGGTTCAGATCTATGCAGAGTATACCGAACAAAAGGGTAAAACAAGAATTCAATCGAGTTTCTCAGCGTCTGCCGTCATTTGGCAGATACCCCAGGAATGGCTCTCCTGTACCGTGAGAACTCTTACAACCTTTTTATCTTCTTTCTTCGGTTCCCGCCTTTGTTGTATAATATGGGCCCACGATTCTGTTTAACACGCACGAAGAAATACATGTAAATTGGGGTCCAGGCGCTGCCCATCTGCTGTGCTTTCTTTCCGATTCCTTTTTAAAGAGTTTTGCACAAGAGTTTTGCCTATTAGTTCGAATTAAACGACGTACATATTTGTGATCTATGGGAATTTTTGTATCTACATATTGGAACTGAAATGCGAATCCTCGAAAAAGAGAGAAGAAAAAAACGAAGATGATGATAATGAATGGCATCTTCAAATTGTGTCACTTGGGGATTTTGCCTGAAGAATCATCTGTTGTTGGAGTTGAAAAGGACAAGCATTGGTCATATTGCAGTGATCAGGCACAGATAGATACAAGATATATATGATAACTTCATTGTTTTTTTTTTTTTTTGTTTTTTTTTTGTTCACTGATGATTTGGGATGACAGGATTTTGTTGGTTAAACTTACTTGTTTTTATATATATAATGTCTGATTAATTCTAAGCTTCTAATACAGGTCTTGCTTTACTTCTTCAAATATTTTTGGGTAAATTACGCCAACCATGTCATGATGTAAGGTCAAATTACGAAAAAATCCCTTTATGTTTGGGTAATTACAATCATCATTCCCTCAACTATGAATCTTTTTATACGTCCACTATTATGGTGTCAAATTCATCAAAATCTTTTATACTTAGTTGAATGTTATCTAGTTTGTAATTATTTTATGCAACAATGCAGTTTTTGATGTACCACAATTTGATATTTACAAGTCAAGAGACACAAATTATGATCATCTTTTTTGAAAATGTGGAATTCGAATGGGTACGAATCGAAGAATATTCAACATACATGTTTAAGAAGATTTATAGTTGAAGGGGTAGTTGTAATTATTCAATCCATTATTTTACCGTACCTCAACCGTAACGTACCGATTTAATTATTGTAAATTCAATAACAAGTTGAAAACGTTAAAGATTCAAAATCTATTGTAATATGCATTATTAATAAACTTATTATTTACATAATTTAATGATAACCTTAAATTATTAAATTGTACAATATTAAAAGTAAATGAGTGTGTGTGTGTGTGTATATATATATATATTGTATTTAAACCTTAATTTCCCTATAAAAAAAAACCCATCTTCTTCATCCTGAGATTTTCTTGTTTGGTTCGAAAACAAACAAATAACTTAAAATTGGAAGTATTATTATGAGTAAATAAGCAAATTAAATATCCAGCAACTGGAAAAACAATTAGTCCCTCTTCAGAACCCTAAACAAAAAAGAAATACTATATTATATTTTGGATGGTAACAAAGACACATCAATTCAAGCACGTACTCTACATATTATATATATACACACAAATTCTATATGGAACGAGAGGAGAATCGAACATAGAGAGAGAAAGTGCATTGTTTTAGAGAGAGAGATGGCATCGTTCGACGCGTACAGCATGGATGGCGACGCGTCGGCGCGTTCGTTTGACGACGGCGGGTACACCACCTACGACGATTCATACGCCGCCTTCTCCTCCGCCGACACACCCCCGTACTCGGCCCCCGCTTACACTCCGGACTACGGCGATACGGAGGAGGTGATGGTGGAGAGCGTGCTCAGTCCGGATCCGTTCGGGTACGGGTCGAATCCTCAGCCGTTCGGATCAGACGGTTCGGTTCCGATATCCAATGGCCATGGAAGTTCGCCTTACAACATGGGGGATGATTCCGAGGGAATATTCAGCTCGGGTGGACCGATCCTTCCGCCTCCTACTGAGATGCAAGAAGAAGGATTCGCTTTTCGCGAATGGCGGAGGTAAGATTTTCTCTAATTGTGTTGAATTTTCTAATCTGTGTCAAAGTAATTTTTTGTTTTTTGTATGTAAATTCGGATCTGCCTTTTATTGTTGATTGAATTTGACTTTGATCTCAAAAAACTATAAGCCAAAATAGAGCTGCGATTGACTCTTGAAAGACTTGAATCACTTGATTTGTTGTTGCTGAATCTTGTAAACGGGATCCCTCTAGATCATATATTTTCCTTACTGATCGCTGATCAGTTCAGTGGACAGATTTTGACTTGAATTAGTAGAGAGAAATGCATTTATGTCGAAGATCTAGCTTGAATATTGAGATAAAGATGCATATAAGTAGGTTATAGCTAACCATTACTAAAATTCATGAATGATATGTCGTGTGTCCGGTCCTTCTCGCACCCATCAAACATATAGATCGGTCTTAATTTCAACATGTGGCCATAGGGGTGGAAACTGGAATGGAATTTCCGATTTCCGCGGATTTGGATCCGAAAATTTCCGATTTTGGAACAACCGATTTCCGATTTTTCCAAACAAAAATTCATTCGAATTGGATTAGATATGAGATTCCGTTCCGATTTCTGATTTTTCTAAACAAAAAATCATTCGAATTGGATTAGATATGAGATTCCTTCCGATTTCAATTTCCAAAAATTCCAAAAGAGAATTCCGAATTTTGCACTTATAATATCCATATTATTATGTATTCTGTACTTTAGGTGACTAAATAAATGGAATTTCCCGAATTCCGCTGATTCCGATATGAAACTTTCCAATGTTTGGAACATTTTTTTCTTTTCGTTTCAATTTCTGATCTTGCTGATTTTTTTGGAAAGGAATTGTGGTTTGATCAGTCCGATTTCCACCCCTATGTGGCCAGCAAGACCACCATATTATAGTTGATTATGATTTCTAGAAGAGGTAGTTGTGGTATATGACAATCACTATCAACAACAAAATGCTTGAAATTTTTACAGATATCGTTTTTTTTTTTTGGGTAAGTCAAATCCCTTGGATAGCCTGGTACTAGAGTTGATGGAAATAAGTTTGATGCTAAAGCCAGAGACCAGGGGGAGAAAGGTTAAGTTATGGTAATTAAACGTGATGGAGACCGTATTGAACTTTGAAGAACACTTTGAAATTTGATTCCACTAGTTTGAAATTGACAACGAGCATGTCTTAAGACTTTCCCTAACATTTACTGATTGAAAATTTCTACTTTCGACAAACTGGATATTGAAGCATTTATAGGAGAGTCTTTAAATCTTATCCATGATTTCAACTTACAAGAAAGAGAGAGTATATTCTACCAGCCCTATGTATTTATTCACCGTACGGTTGAAAGATAGTCTGAGGTATGTTATACCCGAGTTTTTCTCATCTTTGTGGGTTTTGGATGCAGGCAAAATACCATCCGTCTGGAAGAGAAGGAGAAGAAGGAAAAAGAAATGCGAAACAAAATCCTCGAAGAAGCTGAAGAGTATATAAAAGCTTTCTACGAGAAAAGACAGCTTAATTTAGAGACCAACAAGACTAGCAACAGAGACCGAGAAAAGGTTTGAGTTTCACAGCATTAAACATATAATCTTGTTCATCTTTTACCCCGATTAAAGCAGTTAATAAAACATCATTTTTTTTATTGCATTATCTACATCGAACAGTCATACTTATCCAGTCAAGAAAAATTCCACAAAGAAGCCGATAAACAGTACTGGAAAGCCATAGCAGAAATCGTTCCTAACGAGGTGGCCAATATTGAGAAGAGGGGTAAGAAGAAGGATCAAGATAAGAAGCCATCAATCTCTGTAATTCAAGGCCCGAAACCTGGTAAACCAACCGATCTTTCGAGGATGCGTGGTTTATTAGTGAAGCTCAAGCACAAACCCCCACAGCACATGCTACCACCCCCACCCCCACCCACCCCTGCCAAGGATGACAAGGACCCGAAAAATGCCAAAAATGGAAACGATGCTGCTACAAAAGAGGCAACAGTTGCTGCTGCTGCACCTGCCAAAGTTTCAACTCCAAACGGTGTTACGGTAAAAGAATCTGTTGCTCCGGCGAATGACCTGCCAGCTAATTAGCTAAAATTCCACAAGTTTTGATTGCATACTCTCTCTTTTTTCATACTCGTATTTTCCTCTTCGGGATTTTTCCATGCATTTTGCATTGTTAATGTTTATTGATTAAAACTCCAGGCTGGGTCTGGCAATTCCTTTATTGAGTTTGAAACAACTGGTGATTTGTGTTGTTGTGCTGTAATTCTTTGTTGAACATATATCGGCTGGTACTTTAATTTTACTTTTATTTTTTCCAAGATGACTTGTATCCTATATATATATATATATATATATATATATATATATATATATATATATATATATATATATATATATATAGGTTTCGATCAACTAGTTTTTGAAACGAAGGATAGATGACAGTGAAATTCACAAATGCCACTATACAAAGATACATCATGTCTTTAAACAGAAATAACTGTCACCATGGAATAATTTCATATGCTGTAAAAGAATTAAAACCCCTCGTAATTCATACATCATGTGTTTGAGTACTATAAAAAAAATAGGTCATTCTCGCAATATGTCCCTCTACTCTACGTATGTGTCATCGCAACATATCTCCTATATACAGGAAATACCCGATGCAGATCATCGAAAAAACAATAACATGGCACCGGAAAAAGCATCATTCAGATGCCATGTGGAACTTAAATACACACAGATTTGGATAAACAATTTAGAAGAAGAAAAAAAAATCTCGAAGAATAGTGGATTTGAGGCCTTCAAATTCATCTTGGGGTAACCTGAGTGATTGTGATAGGAAAAGAAGTCGTCTGATAGCTGGTCGAGGTTTCAGATGAATTATGATTCTTCGATAGTTTACCACTTAATCGGCCCGAATCTTCGTAGAAACCTGGAGGGGTGAGTTGGCTGTCGTTTAGCTTAACATTTCTAGAGAGCATCTCAAGGACCTGACTCATCAATGGCCTCCTGCTTGCATTTGCTTGAGTGCAAAACAGTGCCACTTTCATGTACCTTACAACTTCGTTTTCCTCAAATTCCTCAAGTTCCGGGTCGACCAGATCCACCAATTTTCCCTCTTCATAAAGCTCCCAAGCCTATGAATCAACCAAATACGAATGACAAGAGAAATTATTCAGTTAATCAGAAAGAAATGAATAATACCTATTATTTACCAAAGGAATTATAAGATATTTGCCCACCCATTCGACTAGCAACTTATGTGCTCCTCTGTAATTGGTGTTTGCACTGCTCCTGCCGCTAACAACTTCAAGTGTTAGAATCCCGAAGCTATACACATCGGCCTTCATAGTTAGGCGACCACCTATTACATACTCAGGTGCCAGGTAACCGCTGCTTGGAACAAACCAAAGGGGGGAAAAAAGGAAACATACAAATTATATTTTAAACAATAATTTATACGTTTAGTGAAAACATGAGTAGAATCGAAAAGAAACAAAAACGAGACATACGTTGTTCCAGCTAGTTTTGTGCTAATGTGAGTAATATCATCAGGGAAAAGTTTAGCCAATCCAAAGTCTCCAATTTTTGGTTGGAAGTTTTTGTCCAGAAGTATATTACTAGCTTTGATATCTCTATGCACAATGTGAGGCGTGAGTTCTTCGTGAAGATACGCAAGCCCTCTGGCAGTCCCCATGCAAATCGCGGACCTCCTTTTCCAGTTCAATTTTACGGACCTCTTTGCACCTGTACATACATATTAAGGATTATGCTCTGCAAGAAACACGAAATCTTTTAACTTGCTCCAGAATTACTAATGAATGTACCATATACCTAATAGTGCATGATCGATGCTGCTATTTTCTAAAAATTCATACACCAAAATCCGGTTAGGTCCATGAACACAGCAACCAAGTAATTCAACGAGGTTTGGATGTACGACATTGGATATGGTATCAATTTCAGTCAAAAACTCGCGCTCTCCTTGTTTTGACTGAGCAGAAAGCATCTTTACAGCAACTTCCGTTCCATTTTTTAGAATGCCCTATCCAACACCAATTGAGTTAATAAAATGCAAACAGTATCAAATGAAACACATAAAATAAAGTGTTCATCAACTTCATTGCTCTCTAAATCTTAGTACCAAGAGGATTATATAGAAGTCTAACAAATATGAAGCTTCGTTTAGCCTGTAATTACGTTTAGGAAAGGAATCTAACAGAAATAACAGACCAAATTGTTGCAGTATTAAGCAATACCTTGTAAACTGTACCAAAACCTCCTCGTCCTATTTTGTTACTTCGATGGAAGTTGTTTGTTGCTACTCTTAACTCATTATATGAGAAATTCTTCGTCTTTGCAATTGAGGCCCCTGGATAAATAAAAAAAAACGTATACGAATCGTCATAACCTCTTTGTTCAACTATACCATTAACACTGGGCATCTCAATTTTCATAAATCCATCCTACATTATAATCAGCACAGTCTTCGTGAAGTGGATATTTTAAGACGAACTTCAGTTGTTATATTATGTTTCCAAGGAATCGTTACAAAATTGTTCGAAAGAATATAGAGCAACTCCAATGATTCTCCATACAACAGATGATAAAGTGTTTACCTTCTTCATCTTGCGGAGGTTGACGAACATGCTTATCTCGTTTCTTCTGGAGCACGGTTGTGGCACCAAAGCAGCTACAACTCATGTTATGCTCAACGACACTAATCACATAATCCAACTCAAGTGTCTTCAATCTGGACAAAGACTAGCCATCACCTTCTTTTCATACCCACATTCCTTCCCCGCCTGCAGGTACTTCAATTACATTACAAGAAGCAAACGAGAAATCGCCGTGATAAATTCTCTATAGTCTATAGTCTATAGTCTATACTAACTGAATAGGGTTCGATATTTCTTTTCCGTCCTCGCTTCTCCAATTCGCCTTTTTTCTTTAATCCATTGATTTTAGCCATTTAAAGATGCAATTTCAGTTCATGGAAATCAATTAATTCGTGTTAATTTGAACGGCAAGCATACCAGATTACCAGGTGCTGAATTTACTACAAGTGATCGCAGAAATCCTCAATATGTAATACTAATACAGCACGATTTCTACCATTGCAACCCAAAATCTCAAACAGCTACTGTAATATCAATCAATCAATCATTTCAAACAAATAAAATACGAATTCCAAAAAAAAGCTGTGGCCAATTGAGATGCAAAAGTCAATACCAAGCCAGCACAACCACTACCACTCAGACCGCCTAATCCTAATTCATACAGCATTTTTTAAGCACGCCATAATTAAACTGAGATCCGTCGAATTGAAAACAAAAACGTAATTCATCCAAAAACATAAAATCGAGAAACAATTCGCTACTTACAAATTAATCGGCGCACGGGAGGAGGATGATGGAAGAATGTAGCGGTAAATGCAGAAAAATGTTGGAGAATATCAGGCGGTGGGGTCTGGGGTAACTCGTCTTACTGATTCGACTCGTGGTTTTGAATGCGCAATTCATAACTCGCGCGAGAGGAATTTGCTTTTGTGTTCTCACCTTTGTATTGTATGTATTTCACTGTGTGTATGTGTGTGTCGTGCGTGAAATTTTGATAGCGACTGTTGTTTCTTCTTCCCCTTTTCCTAATTTTCTATTTTACCATTTTATTCATACTTCGGACCTCCGGTACTAGTTCCTATACACTCAAACTCGACTCGTGTAATTTTTTAGACTTCAAATTTATATCAAATAATTACAACTCTTTAGTCAAACGCATTCGTAAAAAACCTTCATAGTCAAAGAAGAAAATCTAGAATATTCATTGAGAGTTGATGATGCTAAAATGTTTAGATCACCTGGGGTAGTGTAGAAAACGAACTGGGAGAGCAAAGCAGATCAGTAGCTTGACAACTTGATGATCCTGAGATACCTGCGAAATGAACACACGTGAACTACGCCGGGGGTTGATCCGGCGGAAACCCCTCCGACGCTCAAGTCAGACGTGCTGATCATAGAAATAGTCCAGAGAATACGTATTGTAGTATTGCTCAGTTAATAGGACGTACCTCAATAAAATGAGGAAAACCTCTATTTATATGTCGTTTATTGGGTTGGGTTTGCTTTGTTGGGCCCAAGCCTTACTTGAAGGTGTTTGGGCCTCGGTGATATTAGTCTTCGATATTGGACTCATAGCCCAGTAGGTAAAGAAATTGTGGGCCCATTGGGTTGGCCCAATTAGGCATATCATTAAGCCCCCCACTCTCGAGTCGATGTGGGGGCCATGTTGTGATGGGTCTCAAATCGTGTCGAGAGTAAAAATTGGAGAAGTCGATCATTGGCGTATGGCCTAATGGTATGCGAAAACGCGTTGGAGCGTGTGTCGGAGGGGTGTGAATGCGCGTTGGCGCATAGCGCGACAAAGTTGCCGCAATATAAATTAATCGAGTCGTCGGTTTTGTCCCGCGACGATGTAGTAGCGATTTATCTCCTCGTGGGAGCTATCTTGTCGCGGGGTAATAGTGTTGATCGAGTTATCTCCTCGTGGGAGTTGTCTCGCGATAATGTAGTAGCACGGATCAAGTAATCTCCTCGTGGGAGTTGTCTCTGGGGTAATCGAGTTGATCGAGTTACGTCTTCGTGGAAGTTGTCTCACGATAATGTAGTAGCACGGAGCTAGTATTCTCCTCGTGGGAGTTGTTATTTTTCGACATTTTCAATGTTTTGACGCGTTGCTTGTATGTGTTTACATATAGCTTTCTGCGTGATGTACTTGAGGAGGGGATCAGACTCTCAAGATTTTTTTTTTATATGGGGGTCGTGCCCCTTGTTAGACCTCGTGGGTCTTAAGTATGTTTGGACCGTGGCCACGTTTTAATGAATGACCCATCGAAAACAAGTAGATAAATTTGAGTAATCAAGCTGGCCAGGCTATATAGATTCTCATAATATCTCTAAGTGCTTCTAGGATTGTAATCGTGCTAACTTGAGCTTGCGATTATATGGTGAATTTCGGGCGAGTTGTCTCCTCATGGGAGTTGTCTTGAGCGAAGTTGTAGGAGCATTGGATGATGCGCGATTTAGGCGCGTGTGGATTGAGGTTGCTCTGAGCGAGTTGTCTCCTCGTGGGAGTTGTTTCGCAGCGAGTCTTATTATCGAGCGAGGTAGTTGCACGTGGGAGTTGCCTTGCAACGGATTTGTAATATCGAGCGAGTTAGCTCCTCGTGGGAGTTGTCCCGCTGCGGGTTGGGATACCGAGCGAGTTGTCTCCTCGTGGGAGTTATCTCGCTGTAGGTTGTAGTACCGAGCGAGTTGGCTCCTCGTGGGAGTAATCTCGCTGCGGATCATAGGATGGAGCGAGTGGTCTCCTCGTAGGAGTTATCTCGCTGTGGGTTCGTAGGACCGAGCGAGTTGGCTCCTCGTGGGAGTTTCCTCGCTGCGGATCGTAGGATGGAGCGAGTGGTCTCCTCATAGGAGTTATCTCGCTGTGGGTTCGTAGGACCGAGCGAGTTGGCTCCTCGTGGGAGTTTCCTCACTGCGGGTCGTAGGATGGAGCGAGTGGTCTCCTCGTAGGAGTTATCTCGCTGTGGGTTCGTAGGACCGAGCGAGTTGGCTCCTCGTGGGAGTTTCCTCGCTGCGGGTCGTAGGATGGAGCGAGTGTTCTCCTCGTAGGAGTTATCTCGCTGTGAGTTCGTAGGACCGAGCGAGTTGGCTCCTCGTGGGAGTTGCCTCGCAACGGGCTGTAGGATTGAGCGAGTGGACTCCTCGTGGGAGTTGTCTCGCTGTAGTTTTGAGACTAGAGGGGGTTAGCTCCTCGTGGGAGTTGTCCCACAACGGGCTATAGGACGGAGCGAATGGTCTCCTCGTGGGAGTTATCTCGCTATGGTTTCGTAGACCCGAGGGAGTTGGCTCCTCGTGGGAGTTGTCTCGCTGCGGGTTGTAGGACGGAGCGAGTTATCTCCTCGTGGGAGTTGTCTCGCTACGGGTTGTAGTTCCGAGCGAGTTGGCTCCTCGTGGGAGTTGTCTCGCAACGAGTGTGTAGGGCCGAGCGAGTTTGCTCCTCGTGGGAGTTATCTCGCTATGGCGTTGAGACCCGAGGGAGTTGGCTCCTCGTGGGAGTTGCCTCGCAACGGGTTATAGGACAGAGCGAGTAGTCTCCTCGTGGGAGTTAACTCGCTATGGTTTCGTAGGGAGTTGGCTCCTCGTGGGAGTTTCCTTGTAAGAGGTTGTAGGACCGAGCGAGCTGTCTCCTCGTGGGAGTTGTCTCGCTGCGGGTTGTATTACTGCGCGAGTTGGCTCCTCGTGGGAGTTGTCTCGCAAGCCCCCCACTCTCGAGAGGATGTGGGAGCCACGTTGAAAAGGGTACCGGATCTTGTCGAGAGTAGATCGGTGTTGTAGTCTTGCGTTAATCGTTGGCATGGTGTGGAGAAATAATTTTTTTTTTTTTTTTTTTTTTTTATTCGTTTGAGAGCGCGCGCGAATTGGCGAGTCGCGTTGGACAGCTCGCGCAATTGGGTGGAGCTAGTTGAAATTCTCGCGCGATTTGGTAAGGCGAGATGAAATCCGCGCGCAATTTAGTAGAGAATAGCGAGAGATGCGCGCACTCCAAAATAGGAGGCCACGCTTGGAAGAACGTGCACGCGCGCGCATGGGGTCGCGCGCGCTTTCTAGCTGCATGTAATACGGAAAGAGAGAGAGTGTAGAGCTGCCATGGGGAGGCGCGCGCTCCTTTAATGTGTAGAGAGAGAAAGGGTGGTGATGCAGGAGAGAGAGTGTGGTGCAATAAATGCAGGAGAGAGAGGGTAAGTTACCCACGTGCTCTCTCCCCTCTTCTCTTCCTTTTCTTTATTTTTATTTTTATTTTTTTTTCTGTTTTCTCCTAGGCAGCCGCGCGCGCTGCCCAATGGGCGCGTGCTGCTCACGCGCTCTTCGTCTTTTTTTTTTTTTTGTCTTTTTTTTTTTTTTTTTTTTTTTCTTTTTCTGACGCTGACGCAGGCGCGCGTCAGGCGCGTGTCGTCCACGCGCGCGTGAGGTAAATTCGCGCGCCTCTTCTCCTTTTTTTTTTTTTTTTTTTTTTTTTTCTGCGCTTTTGCTGACGCGCGCGCGCGTCAGCGCGCGCGTGCACTGCACGCGCGCCTCCTTTCCTCTCTTTCTTTTTGTTGTTTTTCTTTTTTCTTCTAATTCTTCTTCTTTCTTCTTTCTTTCTTCTTCTAATTCTTCTTCTTTTACTCTCTTTTTTTCTTGTTCTTGTATTTTTTCATCTTCTTTTTTCTTCTTCTTCTTTTTCATCTTCTTCTTTTTTCTTCTTCTTCTTCTTCTTTTTTCTTCTTCTTCTTTTTCATCTTCTTCTTTTTTCCTCTTCTTCTTTTTGTTTTTTTTTTTTTTTCTTTTTTCATCTTCTTCTGGGGTCTCGCGTGCGCGATTTTACCCCTTTTTTTTTTTTTTTTACGTGGTTGATGTTCACCCCATTGGGGATGTTCTATTTTTTGAGTAGGGAGATTATTCTCGTTCCTTGAGATGGGATGTGCACCCCCTTGGGGATGTTCTATTTTTTGAGTAGGGAGATTATCCTCGTTCCTTGAGATGGGATGTGCACCCCCTTGGGGATGTTCTATTTTTTGAGTAGGGAGATATCCTCGTTCCTTGAGATGGGATGTGCACCCCCTTGGGGATGTTCTATTTTTTGAGTAGGGAGATATCCTCGTTCCTTGAGATGGATGTGCACCCCCATGGGGATGTTCTATTTTTCTTTTTTTTTTTTTTTTTTTTTTAGTAGGGAGATTATACTCGTCTCTTGAGATGTGATGTGAACCCACTTGGGGTTGAAAGGTAAGGACGATGCTCAACGTTGGGATGGGGATAACTGCCCACTGTAGGATGAGGCGCTCTAGGTGGATGCGCACGGTTATGCTATTGGTTCGCGCGTGTGCGTCAGACCATTTTTCTGTTTTTGAAGTAGGGACGTGAAACACTTGATGGGAAGTGAAACCCCTTGGGGTTGAAACGTAAGTGGATGTACCACCCTTGAGATGTGATGCCCAACTTTAGGATGGGATAGCCCCCCATTTAGGATGAGGCGATCACGAACCACTGGGGTGAGATGCCCCACCTTGGCGATATATGGTGCCACTGATTCAGTGGCAGCACGAGTTGAATCTTCCGTGATCATACGCTGAAGGTCTTCTTTGGTTATCTGAATCGTTCGAGAAGTAAGTAGAAATTGATCATGTTGAGGACCCAGTGGGGCCTCACGAGGAGGAGCGTTGGCTCCTGCTATGACGAATGAAATGTTTTGGGGGCGATGTGACCCCCAGGGAGTCGATAACCCTTGGCGAACGAAATATTTTGGGAGCAGATGTAAGCCCCCAGGGAGTCGATAACCCTTGGCGAACGAAATATTTTGGGGGCGATGTAAGCCCCCAGGGAGTCGATAACCCTTGGCGAGCGAAATATTTTGGGGGCAGATGTAAGCCCCCAGGGAGTCGATAACCCTTGGCGAGTGAAAATAAGATAAAAACTATAATTGTAAAATAAAATGAAAACCATAATTTGCTCTTTAAAATAAATGAAGTTTAACGTTGCAACTGTCTAATCGTTAAATAATTCATATAACAAAAAAATGCATCAGAGTCTAAAATGAAGAAACATAAAATAAATAGAAGCAATTTTAGATGTACTCCAACATATTTTCTAGATGTTGGGCCTAAAATAATAAATATATTAATTATTAACTTAATTGGGGTTGAGCCACAATAGCTCAAACTCGACACATAAATGAATCGATGACTCAAGCTTGACCCAATTTTACTTAAAAATAGACTTGACTAAAATAAATCGAGTTTCAGTTAGGTATGACTCAATTGCCGATACTCGTATCGTAAATAAGATTTAGTCAAAACCAACCTAAATATTACTATTTGTCATCAACCTTAAAGACGAAATCCAAACATTGGAACTTGAAACGCGGTTTACAGTTATATTTTTATAACACATGAGAAAATATTCTAGTAAGAACAAACCTAGTTTGTCATCAGTTGACCAAGACATTTTCGCATTTACATAATAACAAAATAAATTAATAATAATAATATAAATATATAATTATTATTCTTGCCAACCCAAGTTTGGATTCTCAGTCTCACACACAAACTATGTTGCCAGGTCAACGTGAACACGTGGCGGGAGGATATTGGATTGAACTTTCACTGCTTTGACCAACCAAACGAAAGCAATTTACCAAGTCTAAACAAGTGGTTAGCAAATGGGACAGGTGGCATCGAATATGGAAATATTTTGTTGAATAATTCATAGTTAAAATCTTAAGCAGCTATTTATCGAGAAATAAATTAAAAAGAAATTCAACGGATTTTATTTTTCTAATAAAATGGCCCAATAATAATAAGCCCATTTAATAAATCTATGGCCTCGTTTTTTAAATTCCCATTTGGGCCCGTGAGTAATATTTGCCATCAAATTTTTATTACAGGTTCGGGAGGAGAATTGCAGCCCACTAACACAAGAGACTTGATAAATACAGGACCGATTCCATTGTTTTAGTTACAAATATTTATATTGCCTAAATATCGCATTATTAATCATCAAAACATCCCATGCTCGTTTTTTTAGATTTGTACAACTTTCCTAGCTAAAATTTTTTCCACTAATTCTTTTGGGTTTTTAATCTACAAAATCACTCGTAAACTCTTCAATCTAAATCGAAACCTCTGCTTTTTCAATTTCAAGACAAATCAATGGACATATTTTGAATGATTGTTTCCAATTTAATTCTAAAAGTTAAAAAACATAATTTATATTTAGAAATTTAACGACACTCAATGTAATCAAATTTAAATATAATTAAATCAGTGGAATGTCATTACAAATCAAAATTTAAAAATTGACATGTATTTACTAAAAAAATCATCCTGTATTTATCATTTCAATTAACATAAATATAAATATTTTTGTAAAAAAAAGTTTTTAAAAAAAAAAATAAATAATAAAAGGAATTAGAAGAAGACAGCAGACTTTGGAAGAAGAGGACGAAGTGATCCCCCATTCGATAGCAAAAGCGAAAAAGAAAGAAACAAAAACGCCCATGAAATTGAATTTTCCCCCAATTTGTCTTCGAATCATCTCTTCACTTTCTCTCCCCACTCTCTCTCTCTCTCTCTCTCACTACAGTCATTCCTGTCGCCTTCAATCGCGACTTTCTCACCTCTCTCTCTCTCTCTCTAACTTTTTTATATATATAAATTAGGGTTTTTGGTCATTTGGTTCCTCTTTTCTAAATGAATGACACTACCAACAACACCAATTCTAATCAACCCACACAACCACCACCATCACCACCAGGTCCAGTACCTACTGGTGCTGCTAAGGAATCCGAGGAGGAATCCTCTTCTCCTCGATCTTCTCATTCCCCCGACGAGAAACCGGAATCTGCTGCTGCGGTGGAAGAGGACGACGAGGTGATGACGGAGAAGGAATCTGCAGCTGCCGGTTCGAATATTCCGACTGACGATCCGATGGATGAGGACTCTGGCAATCCAGCTACTGTTTTCTGCATCAAGCTTAAGCAGCCTAAGTCTAATTTGCTCTATAAAATGAGTGTTCCCGAGCTATGCCGCACTTTTAGGTATGTTTTTGTAGGTTAATTTTGCTAAATGTCTGTGGATATATTGAGATTGTTGATTTTGTAACGAGTCCTTGCTTTATTGAGTTTTTTTTAGTGGAATTATGTCAAATTTGAGTGTTAAGCAAGTTTTAAAATGGCTTATAACCTTCAGTTGATTATTTTGGTTATTATTATTATTAATTTATTTATTTTACTCTAATGCGTGTCTGAAATGTTACGTTCTGTTTTACTGATGCTTGTATTACTTACTAGTTTCTTAAGTTTTTCATATTTAGACGCTTCTCTTGGTTCTTACAGTGCTGTTGCTTGGTGTGGGAAGTTGAATATCATAGCTTGTGCATCAGAAACATGTGCGAGGATCCCGAGGTTTGTATTTTTCCTTAGATCACAGCTCCACACATCTTAATCTATTGTAGTTTCATTTGTTGAAACTCTTGAGCTATAATGGTAGAGATCACTTGGTTATTGTATTTAGCCTTATATTGTGAAACCTAAACGTCTGTTCACATGTGATGGCTGAACTTCTACGAATTTGGGAACTATGCACAGAAACAGGTTATGTAGAAGTTTAGGAGTATTAAGATGATGAGTTTGTTTGTTACTGAATGCTTGTCTTTCTACGATCCACATTTCTTCATAGTTGTCGCACTTTTTTGGCAATCTTTCATGTTAACGGTTGGTGTAAATTTTATTGATCATACCACCACAAACCATCACATGATGGCCATTAGAAGCATCTATCCACAATATTTTTTCGTTCCAGGATATTATGGGCGAAGTTGTTCAATTTCCGATATGCTGTCCACTCATAGATGATTCTGATGCACAATGTTCAATATTAAATATGTTTGTAAACATACAGGGTCGGAAACTGCGTCGCTTTTTGTTCTGCACTATCTGTAGAACATATGATTAACATATACATTTATGTATCTTTGTAGTTCATCTACCATCCCTCCATTTTGGATCCCCATACATTTGGTCATACCAGAGCGACCAACTGAATGTACAGTTTTCAATGTTATAGCAGGTATGATCTGTAACTACATTGGTGTGAATATTTGTTTAGTTGAATTTGTTGGGCATTGTTCATCTTTACAGTAGTTGAATGTGTGAGATCGTATATGTCATGTTATTTGGTATTGGGTGCTTCCCTATTATGTGATGTTTCAATTGGCTGTACCTCTTGGAATTTGATGTTTTGATAGATTCTCCTCGCGATTCCGTTCAATTCATGGAGTGGTCCCCTACTTCATGTCCCCGTGCATTACTAATAGCTAATTTCCATGGACGGACAACCATTTGGACTCAGCCTTCCCAGGTATGCTTGTTCCATTGAATTGAACACTTGTGAAAAAACAGCGCCCTCTGTTTCAGTTGTAGGGCTTGATTTAAAATGCCATTGACTTTGCTTGAAACAGACATCATCTCCTTCTTCTTATTGCGTTTGTTTTGGTATGATCATTCAGGGACCAGCAAATCTTGTGAAAGAGGCTAGTTGCTGGCAGCTGGAATATGAATGGCGCCAGGATATCGCAGTTGCTACAAAATGGCTGTCGGGAGTTTCTCCGGTATGTAGTTTTACGATCATTAAGGTTGTTAAAAGAAAACATGTTCCTAATTTAGTATTAGCTTTATGCTGACTTGGTTTGCCATAAAATTAGTATAGGTGGCTCTCAGCTAGATCCAGTGGTTCCACAAAATCTACATTTGAGGAGAAATTTCTTTCGCAGCAACCACATGCTCCAGGTTAACAGTTTTTTCTTTGTACTTTTATCAGTCGATAGCTTTCTTTGTGAGCAGTGATGATTCTCTTGGATTTAAACTTTATGTGACGATAAAGTTGTTTATTTTCGAAAACGTCATGTTTTTCATTTGTCATGGGCACAATCCTTTTAGATGGATGTGGCTGTCTATGCATTATATATCATCTAAGTTTCAGTCAAGCAGTGTATCTCATGTTAAATCCTTTCCTCGGTGAGGATTTATTCGTAATCAATCTCTGATTTGCTGAAAAAAGTAAGGAACTAGGTGGGCCGACCAATGCAACCCAACCTCCAAACCTATACCCAGAAAATAAAATTGAAATAAAGAAAGATTGGAAAACAAGCATTTGATAGAAACCTTGATTTAGTTTTTTTAGTTTTCTGATGTAGATATCTTCTGGAGTTGGAGAACTATAATTCTTATTTATTGCGTTAGGAAAATAAACTTTAGCTCGTAGTAAGACCTTAGTATATCCTATTTTACATTTCTTGCTTCATATGCACTGCACTCTGTAGTGTGAAGCATGTTATTTGACTCTGGTATCTTTCTTGCGCTAATAAAGTGAAGTCAGCAATTGAGGATCACTGATGTCAGTTTTACTAACTGCTGTATTCCATTATCCAAGTGCAATTAGTCATGATCTAATATTCATTTATCAGTTATCAGTTCCACTGGCCACTTGGCCCACTTCTGAATTACCTCTGAGCAAATGTTCATTGTATCTGGTAACAGCTGGTTGGCCAAATTTTCTTTGTGTTTGCTCTGTTTTCTCTTCGGGATCAGTTCAGCTCCATTGGTCTCAATGGCCACCTAGTCAGAGTGATGCAACATCCAAGTGGTTTTGCACTAGTAAAGGGCTTCTGGGAGCTGGGCCTAGTGGAATAATGGCTGCTGATGCTATTGTCACTGATTATGGAGCCATGCATGTGGCTGGTGTGCCCATTGTTAACCCATCAACTGTTGTCGTTTGGGAAGTTACACCTGGCCCCGGTAATGGTTTTCAGTCCACCCCAAAGGCAATTGTGAATAATGGAGTTCCACCATCGCTTAACCCTCCTTCCTGGGATGGTTTTGCCCCGTTAGCTGCATATCTGTTTAGCTGGCAGGAGTATTTGTTATTAGAAGCAAAACAAGGGGGAAAGCAGACAGAACAGGATTACAGTGACAAGGTAGCACTTCATTGTTCTCCAGTTTCAAATTTTTCTGCATATGTGAGTCCTGAGACTGCAGCTCAGTCAGCGGCTACCACAACTTGGGGTTCTGGTGTTACTGCAGTTGCCTTTGATCCGACACGTGGTGGTTCCGTGATCTCTGTTGTGATTGTTGAAGGTATCGACTTTTATACTGATGTCTATCCTTTTCAACTTTACATTTCTGCTTAAATTCTCATAATTTGTGGCTCAATCATTTAGCATTAGTCTATGCACCAGAAAAAGAAAGTAAATTAATGCATTTAGTATTGTAGAATTCTTGATCCACACATACGTTATAGATTATGACTTGCTCATTCTTTTATATCTTCCATTTTACTAGAATTTTTTTTGAAGTCGTAGAAGAGGTCAGGTGTCGGAGAGGTCTCTATTTTAGGGAAAATTAAAGGAAAACCACAACAACTACTTTTTGTACATATTATTCTTGCCGTGTTAGTCGTCCCTTTTGGCCTCCCGTATTTGCTTTGACACTTCGTGCAAAAAATCGAGTCCTTCAAGTTCCTACCTAAATCAATTCTTGTTTCTCCGTTTATGCAGGGCAATACATGTCCCCTTATGATCCTGATGAGGGTCCTTCAATCACGGGCTGGAGAGTTCAACGCTGGGAATCATCTGTTGAGGATGTTGTGATCCATCAGATATTTGGAAACCCTAGTTCTAACTTCGGTGGCCAGGCACCAACACAAACAGTTTGGGTGAGTAAAGTGATTAAATGCATCCCAGCAGCCAGTGAGTTTAGAAGTCCTGGAGCAGCAGTAGTTCCACCAATTTGTGATGGGGAAAGTACTCCTGCATATGGTGTTGAGACTGCAAAGAGGGTCAGTTTTGATCCGTTTGATCTGCCTTTTGATGTTAGAACTCTTGCTCGAATTGTGTATTCTGCTCATGGCGGTGAGATTGCTGTTTCTTTTCTACGAGGCGGTGTTCATATTTTCTCTGGTGCAAACTTCGGAGCAGTTGATAGCTACCAGATTAATGTTGGTTCTGCAATCGCTGCTCCTGCTTTCTCTTCTACTAGTTGTTGTTCAGCTTCTGTTTGGAACGATTCTAGCAAGGATTGTACTATGCTAAAAATTATTCGGGTTCTCCCTCCTGTTTCTAGCAGTCAAGCAAAAGCTAATTCTGCAACTTGGGAGCGGGCTATTGCTGAAAGGTACAATTGATGAATAGGTTTAAGGTCACATTTTGAAATTGACTAGATGTGATTTACTCTAACCTATTCCGAGAGTATCTAGATTATAACAGCTCTAGATATCATTAATTTATTTTAAGCCTGTATAATACTTCTGAGCTGTATAGTTGCCTTATTGTGGCAGATTTTGGTGGAGTCTCTTGGTGGGAATTGACTGGTGGGATGCTGTTGGCTGTACACAGAGTGCTGCGGAGGATGGCATTGGTAAGAACTACAACTTTGTCCTTGAGTTGGAAAATATTTTCTGCCGAGTTCAGCGTATCTTGTATGTCTATTTACTGGAATAAAATAATTCTCACGTCCTTTGCCCCCCTGCGTCACACTGGCCTTAAACTTTGGCATGGGGGACTGCAGGGAAAAAAAATAGGTCTGTGTGCTTGTCTTGAACATATTACGTTTAGTTAGTTTTCTGGGGAAGAAACTAATAGAGCAATAATAACTGCATCTCTTAATAAAGCAAACGTTGTATAAACAGTTCAGATTTTTTATGACCTCATTTAGTTGATTATGATGGTCAATCCACTCTGAGAATCATTGTAATTTTTCTCGTGCTGGTGTTGGTTTAAAATATGAACTACAAAGTTTGAGGCACAAATAAACTAAAAGTGCACATGGGTCGTCATTTTAAGAAATATGTCATTGTATTATGGTATTTGCACCCTGCTGATTCCATAAAATTCTATATCCCAGTTTCGCTCAACAGTGTTATCGCCGTGTTGGATGCTGATTTCCACTCGCTCCCCTCCACTCAGCACAGACAGCAGTATGGACCTGTGAGTCAGTTAATTCTATGTACATTTTTTCGATTTCTAGTTCGAATTATACGATAGAATGGTCTTAGCGTAATTATTGTTTAACATAACTTATGAAACATGGTTTTGTTTAAATTTTCATTACATTTGTGTGGACAATGCACAGAGTTTGGATAGAATAAAATGTAGGCTGCTAGAAGGTACGGCCGCTCAAGAGGTTAGGGCTATGGTCCTGGACATGCAAGCAAGGCTGTTGCTGGACATGCTTGGTAAAGGAATTGAATCAGCTCTGATAAATCCTTCAGCTTTGGTCCAAGAACCTTGGCAAGCATCTGGCGAGACATTATCTGGTATCGATCCTGAATCAATGGCTGTTGAACCAGCGCTTGTTTTTAGCATCCAGGTTTACTATTTAGCATGCCTTGCTATGTTTTCCTCTACTTCTTCTGGTCTTCCTACAACACTCTTCTTTAAAATCATATACAATAGTGTTCATTATGATCGGCATCTCTTCTCTGTGATAATTTCAGGCCTATGTTGATGCAGTCCTTGATCTAGCATCACACTTCATTACTCGTTTGCGACGTTATGCAAGTTTCTGTCGTACACTGGCAAGCCATGCTGCTACAGCTGGCACAGGTGGAAGCCGTAATTTGGTTACAAGCCCCACACAGACTGCCTCTGCTACTGCTACTACTACAACTCCAGGTGAGTAGATAATGTAGTTCCACATGGTGAAATGTAAGAAGCTAGTTTGGATAAAAAATTAGTGTCAAAATGGAGTGGATTTTCATTTTTCTTCTATGATCTTCCTAATCATTACACAACCTTGTGTTTTTCTCATTTTGATCAATGGATGTTGAACTGACTTTATCTTCAGGAACCCAAAATGGAACTGCAAGCTCTACAGGTAGTACTCAGATGCAAGCCTGGGTACAAGGAGCTATTGCCAAGATTAGTAGTACAACGGATGGTGTTCCCAGTTCAGCTCCAAATCCGATAAGTGGCCCGTCGACCTTTATGCCGATAAGTATCAATACAGGAACCTTTCCAGGAACTCCAGCTGTTAGGCTTATAGGAGACTGCCATTTCCTCCATCGGTTATGTCAGCTCTTGCTATTTTGTTTTTTCTTCCGACGAACACAACTACCCCGCTTTATTGGAGCTGCTCAAAGACATGCTGATCCATCAGTCCAAAAGCCTGGTGTGCCAGGCAAATCAGATGAAACCAACTCAGTAACTACAAAACCGTCATCAACTCTAACCAGATCAGAGGAAACACAAGTTCCAAGAATTGGACCGGCCGGAAATGGTGCAAAAGGGCCTGAAGAAGGTCCACCTGGCCGGTCAAGATTTGGTTCCGGAAATGCTGGTCAAGGATATACGTTTGAGGAGGTAAATAGATAACAACAAATGATTTCACGAGAGATGTATATATATATATATATATATATATATATAGGTTCCGGTTTTATTAACTGCGCTGGACGTAGTTTTGAGGAAAAAAAGGAATAATGAAAACAAAAGGGTGACCCTTTATATATGGCACTTCGAATTAGAACATATGAAATGCTTTCAAACATGCAACACAAGAATCCATTCAAGTAATGTTAATTTTCCCGTGGCGTTTAAATTAGATCGCACATAAAGTAACTTTTTTCTACATCGAACTTGGATATTGTAATTCCCATGTTTCATTGGGGAGATTTATTATCATCAAAACTCTTCATGTTCTTTGATAATTTAGGGCCGTTTGGACTTCCGTGCAGGTGAAGGTCCTCTTCCTTATACTTATGGATCTTTGTCGGAGGACAGCTGGTTTGGCACGTCCACTACCTGTTTCCCAGGTTGGCAGCAGCAATATCCAGGTCCGCCTTCACTACATTGATGGAAACTATACTGTTCTACCAGAGGTTGTAGAAGCATCACTTGGCCCTCATATGCAGGTACCTTGTCTTTTGAATGTTGTACAAAGTTCATGAACAGTTCTTTTATGTAATTCCGTACTAAGAAATTCTATCAGCATTCTTATTCCTTCTGCTTATTTGCTTTCGGCAGAATATGCCTCGGCCTAGAGGTGCAGATGCTGCAGGTCTGCTTCTACGGGAGCTGGAACTCCATCCTCCATCCGAAGAATGGCATAAGAGGAATATGTTTGGCGGACCTTGGTCCGATTCGGACGATACTAGTCTTTCAGACGACGGTACTAAATTTAGCAGCTCGATGGATTTGGTCGGCCCAGGTTCGTCTGAAAACGGTGATGTTTATAATGGAACCCACACCTTGTGGCCTAGAAAGCGTAGGGTGTCTGAACGAGATGCTGCTTTCGGATTGAACACTTCGGTGGGCCTCGGAGCATATTATGGTATCATGGGTTCCCGAAGAGATGTTGTAACATCTGTCTGGAGAACAGGGCTTGAAGGAGTGTGGTACAAGGTGGGTGCTTTATTTTTGTTCTTACTTCACCTGTTCCTCTCTGGTATTTTCTAATTTGTACTTTAATATTCTTCCGATTTATTTGTTTGTTTGTTTGGCAGTGCATAAGATGCTTGAGGCAGACATCTGCTTTTGCTTCACGTGGCGATAGCAGCAGTCCAAACCAGAACGAGAAAGAGATATGGTGGATAAGCCGATGGGCATATGGATGCCCCATGTGCGGAGGAACATGGGTTCGAGTTGTCTGAAATTATCATGTGCCTATATATATATATATATATATATATATATATATATATATATATATATATATATATATACTATTCGTCGTTTCCACAACAGAATATGCATGCATAGCTCGTTCATTAATTTCTAAGTCCTCCGTTTGCATATAAATTTTCTTGTATATATAACTAATCGCCTTGCTAATTAAAAACTGTCAAGAACATAGTCCTCTCACTCTTGCTGTCTTTTTTCCTGCGCTCGTAGTTTGACGTTTTAGAACGATATCTAATGTTACCAGGAAAATGTAGTATAGTCGACAGAGTACCTAGATCATTTGTATAAACTGAAGTTTCGGACAGTTGAATTACGGTGGGATTTTTATTCCTGTTTTGTCAGTAAATTCTTAATCTGTCTAGATTCATTAACCTTGACTTGTGGATTAAATTTGAAGGTGTTTTTGTAGGGACTTTGCTTGCAAATTCAAGAAAATGGCCAAATCTTACAACTATTCTCTGTAATAAATAACCCAAAGTAAAAAAGAAATCTTGAATGCTAATACAAAGGAGATATTTCTGATTAGTTGATATTCACATGTAGCCACAGTAATACTGCAGTTACATTTACAAGAACCCTCGAAACTAACCATTTCAAAAAAAAAAAACAAAAAAAATCCAAACCCCCTCGAATATCAAAATTTACAAGCCGAGGGGCGACATCTAACGAACCAAAACAATGCCAATAACAAATCATCAACCAGAGGCATATCAGCAAATTATTTAAAGAAAAAAAGAAAAGAAAATCAGAAAAACGAATTATAAGATCGTTAACGGTTACGACACTAAGAAGGCCGGCATTTCATCCCCAAGTTGCCCAGTTAGCAGCACTTCCGACACGAGGCATGCTGTTGGTCTTAGAATAAGCATCAACTGCAAAATATGCTCCACACATTGTCCCTTCACTATCAATTCTTGGCATTGCTTTCATCTTATGCATTGGATGCTCAAAGCTTATTAATCCTCTATCACTGTGGTACATACAACCTGTCCCAAAAAAACAAGTTAGATTCTCGAAAATCGAATTTCTATAAATTTTTTTTTTTTTTTTTTGCCATTTTGGCATTAAGAAATTAAATGAACATAATACCAGGTGGGAATGGAGCAAATGATTTCCTACAGCTTGCTTTAACAAGGGCAACATTGTCAGATATCATAACAGAGCCATCTGCCGCCACTCCCCAGAACAAATTCACCGATTTATCAGCACCCTGCCACAACAAATTAAATAAATAAATTGATTAATTAACGAAATTAATTCACAATATCATAATAAATGAAATGAAATAATCAAGAGAATTTTCTTGATGATGTAATAATGTTGCAAAACTTACAAGGGCAGCAAAGACAATCCCATACTTGTGATCATAGATCACAAACCCGAAAGCTCCGTCGAGCTCTTTAAGCACTTGATGGGCCGGAATCGGGCTCCGGTCACGAAGTGTCCGGTAAGCTTCGATCACAAACATGGCCTCATTCCCACCCTTTGACAGCCCATATTGTTTGTTGAGGTTGCACAGGTTGTTCAAATTTCCCAAGAATGTGCAGTACACGTCATCCACACCACAGAACAACCTTAAATTAAACACAGTATCATGTCAATTTAATTGCACACATTATTTATTAAAAAAAAAAAAAAAAACCCAAATTGCTAAATCAAGAATTTGTGAAAAATTGACACTACTAGTGTGTGTAAATGTGTGTGTGTGTTATATTAGGGTTAACCTAGGTTGAGAGGTGGGTGGGGCGTAGGCCAAGATAGCCTTGTCAACAAATCCAAGAGAGAAGCCATTGTTTGGATTTGCAGACAAGAATTCCTTGAGAGTTTCCTCACAAGTTTTGAACCTGTCGGAAGCCAGCTGGATTGAAGCTGGGCTGTGCAATTCTTTTGGTGGATTCACCAAACCGTTCTTGAATATAGCCAACATTCTTGATTTTTCTTTGATTCTTTCTCTTGTGAGAGAAAAACAAAAATGTTTAAATAGATTGAAAATGGGGAAATGTACGAATGGATAAGAGATGTTTGAGTTTGGAGGTTGGGTATTTATTGGTATCTGTACGAGAGCCAAAGTAGGTGGCGGTATTATCCAATACAATTTTTCTTTTTTCTTTTTCTTAATTATATTATTTTATTATAGTAAAAGATCAAATCTTTTTGGAGGGTTTAATCCAAACTAATATCTTCTTCTAATCAAGATTAGATATGTGTTACTTAATACGAGGATTAAGAGTCAGGGAGGCTTATCCATAAGTCTGACGTGGTATTGACGCTTATCCTACTCAGCAGAATCTCCTTTTGTTGGTTCAATATTCAGATCTGGTGGATCCGGGCGGTAGTCGGGTCGGGTCAACGGCGTATTGTGCTTCCTTTCAGTGGGCTTGGTTCATTTGATGATTGGCCCAGCCCGTTAGCATTTTTTATTCTTTAATGGGCTTTTCTGGATGGATCTCCACTTTTTTATTTTTTATTATTTACTCAATCCATTAATTTTAATTATTAATTAACACTTACTACTTATTAGTCCCTAAATTCCCAATCATTCCTTTGAAATAATCCACCACGAATCTTATATATAAAAGAAAGAAACGCTGGGCAACCCTAAAAAACCCTAATGACATTTTTGTAATTATTTATTTATAATATATTTTTTTACTAATTTTCTAACTATATTTTTAACAATTATCAAAATTCATATTTGTTATTAATATATCTCAAATCTTAAGAAATAAAGATAGAAATTCAATTTGTTAAATTGATCATTTTTTTCACTTTTAAAATATGACCCCGTATATATAAAAGAAATAAACCTTGGGCAACCCTAAAAAATCCTAATGACATTTTTCTAATTATTTATTGTTAATATTTTTTTACTAATTTTCTAACTATATTTTTAACAATTATCAAAATTCCTATTTTTCTTTAATATATCTCAAATCTTAAGAAATAAAGATAGAAACTCAATTTGTTAAGTTGATCATTTTTTTTCACTAGTTAATAATAATAATAATAAGAAGAATATTGTGATTACAGACAGATGACGACGGAAAAGGAATTTATTTATCAAAAATTAAAAAAAGGTCAACTCTTGAATTTTATTAATTATTCATTAGTATAGCCCGGCCGTTTCCTAGCTGACAGAAAATGTTTAATTTAATATTTTTTGTTTTCTTTTTATCTTTTTGTGAAAAAAATGTTACCAGTCTCGTTTCGATGCTAAGATAAAATTAAAATAATCTAACTATTTTATCGGACACCCGAGACGAGCAGAAAAAACGCCCCCTAAATATTTGATGGTCGACCCAAGAAGTTAATGTCACTAACGAAACGAGACATTGGGGGTTTAGGTATTTGTCATCCGTGCACCTTCGACATTGCTCATTCCGACAGCGGTTTTCGACAACGATGGTACTTTTCTTTGAATGGTTCATGTCCATGAATTCCAAACCAACAGCGTGTCCACGTATTGTGTGATGCCTTTTTTTTTTCATGGTGATTTAATTAGCAACATGTTTTAATATTTCAGTATTTTATAATTGATTGCACTTGTCAATTCATTTATATGCAACAATTAGCTAGCTAGGCCAACTCTTTGATTATTATTATTATTAGGGCATCTCCAATTATGGCCTGTTAAAAGCTATAATTTATGGATTATACTACTTATCAGGGGCGGACCCAAGGCTTCTGTTGGGGGGGCACCCGCCCCTGCAGAAAAATTTTTTTTTACCTTTTTTTTTTATTTTTTTAATCTTTTGGCTTATTTATGTATTAATTTTTACACTTTAGCCCCCCCCCAAAGTTAAAATTTTATACCATTTAACCCCAAAACTTTTTTTTCGCCCCCCACCCAAAACCCCCTGGGTCCGCCCCTGCTACTTATCAACAAAAAAAACTCATCTCCAACGAGTCATCTAAAATTTAGATGGTCATGTAAAATGATAACCTCGGCTGATATTTATAGATATTCCTATTCATGGCTGCTAAATCAAAATAATATTAAAATAATCAAAAAGTAACAAAAGTTAATACTATATTTTATCCTGATAAAGTTGAAATGGTTGAAAAGTAATATAATATAATAAAATGCTATAATATAGCTAATGTGATTGGAGTAGAAGGGATAAAAATGAACATGTAAAATACTATTCACAAGATACAATAAATATAGCATCACATTTTTTTATCAATCTCTATTGGAGATGCTCTTTGGAGAGAGAGAGAGAGAGTACAATTAAATAAATTAATATGAAGTTATATTGGTTTCACTTGTCAAACCATATATTGTGGCTATATATTCATAATTCATTTTCCCCTCTTACTTGTTGGTACAAATTTGACCATTTTCTGGGCATATTCGTAAAACTATACCATGGTATATATATATTCCACGTCAACATCTAAAATTAAATTAATAAAATTGGACCATACATGAACAATTGTTGTTTCATATTAATAAAATATGTTCTACGCATATTTATTGAAAAAGAGGTTTAATACCGTCATAAAGAGTAATTAATTTATTATTTTATTTTCGGCCATTTTAAATCTTTTTTCTTAATTAACACATTCTCAGCATTAAACTCGTCACATCAAAGTCATCGTCAGGTAATTAGACTTAAATTCATTTTATTAAAATAGACTTAAATTGGATTTGGTATTAAAATTGCCTCTATAACTCCAAATTCTATAACTATATTATATAATTAATATCAAATATACTCCCTCCGTCCCAATTTAAATGACGTTTTGGGCTGTTGCACACATATTAAGAAAATCAATAAATGTGTATAGATTATAGTGAAAACTGAAAAGCATAGGAAAATACTAATATATCCTTGACATTAATTATTTTACAATTAACTAATTAGGAGTGATAAAGGGTAAAATTGAAAATAATGCAATTAATGATGCATTGAAAATCTAAAATGACAAATAATTTGGGACAAAAAAAACTCTCTAAAAAGACATATAATATGTGACAGAGGGAGTAGTTTATTTGATAGTAGATTGTTCTGCACCTATCCAATGGACGAGACATGGTTTTCATAAATCACGATGCCTCCAAATCCAAAATTAAGAACTTAAATAATATTATATTTAATACACACTATAGAATTTTATAAATAAATATATCAAAATTGAGAATTTCAGTAATGCAAGGATGTAGGTATTCAAACAGGATTATTGAACTAACGACAATTTAACATCTTACAGTTGGGTTCAGGCCAAGTTGTTAATTATAAAATGGATAAATTACAAAAATCCCCTAAACTTGTGCTAAATTACAAAATAAACATCCCATCTATTCGTAATTACCCAAATCCCCCGATGTTTGTTTCCGTCTTACACCGATCCCTTTAGGGTGTAATTTCACCACCAATCATATATAAATGTAAATAAATTAAAAAGTAGTATAAATAAATGACACATCTACAGGGGCAAAATGGGCATTTTTCGGGTAATATTATATTGACTCAAAAATATTATGTGAAAATTATACCTAAGGGTATCGGTGTAAAACGGAAACAAACGTCGAGAAGATTTTGGTAATTACGGATTGGTAATGGTCTTTTCGTAATTTAACCTAAATTCAGTGGTTTTTCCGTAATTTGTCCATATAAAATAGGCCCAATCAAAGTTAAAAATTGAAAATTCATACTAAATATAATTATCAATTTGTCCAAACAAGCCCCCCAACTTGATTTGATCAAATTTGACCAAAAACCCAACGTGTCACCTCTCAAGTAACTGCACGGGTTTTTACCTACCACTCACCTAATTAAACCACTTTTTTAGCTTATAAATACTTTTTTACAATATAACAACATCAAATAATTATTAAATTAGATTTAAAAAATATTTATATTAACGAAAAAAAAAAAAAGTACCATCAATTTATGCACATATACACATATATATAATATCTTCCTCTACGCATTGATTAGCACTTCCCTCGCTCTCGCCGTCAGGAATTCCGATCACAATTTCCGATTACCGTTGCATGGCAGTGAAATTTCTGAATGAAGAGGTTTCGGAGCTGTGCTTAGGGAAGCCGAAGGTGGCGTGGGTGGCGGCCACCGCCACAATTTCCGACGCCTTGACGGCGTTGAGGAAGTCCGGAGACACACACATCAGCGTCTGGGCGTGCGGCGGCGGCGGCGGCAATGGCGGTTGCGCGTGCGTCGGGAAATTTTGCATGGCGGATGTGATCCTCTTCCTCTGCCGCGAGGAAAATTCCGCCGATCCTTTCAAGGCGTTTGAATCTCCTGTTTCCGATATTTTACCCAAAGGATCCGCCATTGTCAGGCATATTGAATCCAATTACAGGTTCGTTGACCTAATTTTCATTCCGCTTATTAGAACTGCAAATTTTATTCTCTGAATTGAAATTTCATAAATTTTTGGGGTTTTAATTTGTTGAAAACGAAGCTTTTCCCTTAATTAATCCACTAAATTTGTTTCTGCAAAGTTATGTTTTGCCCTTTTTTGGGGGAAAAAATGATATAGATACAGAACGTTGATCTTTCCATATAGTTTCTATTTGATTAATTAAAAGAATATTGACTTTTCAAAACCAAAATAAAATCAAACAGAAACCATAGTTGCAGATATTTTGTTAGATTTTAAGCTATTAAATGCAGTTTTCTTCATCAGTCTTAACTCAATCTGCTCTGTTTTTTTTTTTCTTAGTTTGGTGGAAGCGATAGACTACATACTCGATGGCACCCAAAACCTAGTAATCCCGATTCAGAACCACAACCCAAGAAAGAAGTTCCTCAACAATGCTCGCCACGTCAGCCACGAATACTGTTGGCTAACGCAGGAAAACGTGATACGATTCCTTCTAAACTCCGTAGGAGTATTCTCTCCAATCCCCACTTTTACAATCGAATCCCTCAACGTCATCGACAATGACATCATGACTATACTTTACAGCAAGCCCGCAATCTCCGCTCTGGCACACTTAAACCGAGCCCTCACCGAACAAACCTCCGTCGCAATCGTAGACGAACACAACAGGTTGATAGGTGAAATCTCGCCTTTAACCCTAGCATGCTGCGACGAAACTGCTGCAGCGGCGATCAAGACTTTATCAGCCGTTGATCTCATGACTTACATGGACTGTGGTGGCCCACAGGAGGATTTGGCCCAGTTGGTCAAGACGAGGCTCGAGGAGAGGAATTTGGGGGCCATGGTGGAAATGATGGATGAGTTTTTTCAGTTTTCGATGCCTTTGAATTGTTCTGCTTCTTCTTCTTCTTCGTCTTGCAGCTGTTCTTCGGATGATGAGTCTGTGTCCGTGTCATCTGGTAGGAACTGGTGGTGGTCGAGTAGGGGCAGCAGCAGCGGCGGGCGGCACTTTCCGGCTAGGAGGTCGAAGGCGATTGTGTGCAATCGTGAGAGTTCGTTGGTGGCGGTGATGGTGCAGGCCCTGGCGCACCGTGTTACTTGTGTGTGGGTTGTGGAAAAAGACGGTACCTTGGTTGGGGCTGTTACTTTTGCAGGGATACTTAATGTTTTCCGCAGTGCTACTGCGGAGAGGCATCATAATAATAATAATAATAATAATAACAACAATAATAATAATAGAACCAGAGATTGATAAATTCATTTTTGTTCTTTATACTTTAATCACATGTTTTGTATCTGGAAACTAAATTTTTGAGGCTATTCTTGATTTACCTTTTAATCAGGTTGATCAATGATAAATAATCATAACATGAATTCTTGATTTACATGTTTTTTCCTTGTTCAAGTCCATTTCAGAACAAATGATTCATAAGATAATAAGAGATCCAAAGGAAAAAATTTAAGTATATTATTGTATAATGTTTACATAATTACAGTGAAAAATAAGGGAACAAAATGTGTCCTATAAAATACAGGTTCTTGCAGCAAAATCCTTCTATATGTGGATCGGGGTAATTACATATTATTCAGACAAAAATCTGGAACATTTATGTGTGGGAATTCTTTATTCTTTGTGTAAAATGATTATTAAGAAAGGGTACCTCAACTGATTAGAGTGCCTTATTATTTTCACATCATGTGATATACCTCAACTCAGATACGCATGATGACAAAGCCTTTTGTAGTTGGATGTTGCCCGAGTCCATGTCAAGTGCGTCTTCGTATAATCTTCGAGCTTGCTGCAATAACTTCACCTTCTCTGGACTGCGACTTGGCCTTAGCCGAGACCTGTGCTGCAATGCTGTGCCCCATCTGAATAGAGCTGTAATAACACGAATTTCCACTAAAAATAAGTTAATCTATACGACAAATTCAGTATTGAATTTATTTGACAGTATAGCATACCGTCAGGTGCATAAGCATTGCTTTTGGACATCATGGCATCGAATTTGTCTATGGCAGCCAGGAAAACCTTGTCCGCATCACGAGCAGCACTCTGTAATATTAGACACAAAGTGCAAACAGTTTTTGAGTGAAAATTATAAATAATTTGAGCCTATAAAATTTCTATCGAATGAGCAGTTTAATTGTTGGCTATATGAGCTGTAAAACTAAGGAAAGTGAATATGGAAAAGCAGCTCGTATTTACCGGTCCGATATCTGATATCAACTGGCCCCGAAAAGAAAGAGCAAGTCCCCAGTTATACAATGCTCTCATATCACTAGCGTCAATCGACAATGCCATTTTGTACTTTCTTCCTGCCTTCATTAGAAGCTCTTCACATTCTTCACACACATCAATAAGAGACGACGAAATCTTGTCTTTGCCAGCTGGTAAGGGATCGTCACTTCTCACAAGTAGTGATCTCAATTCCCGGCTCGTTCTTAGTTTTAATTCTCCGTGAAGGAGGTACGTGTTTCCCAACTGGCCCACGGCCAGTAAACTCATGGGCCTCATCTCTATTGCTTTCGAGAGTAGTGCTGCAGATTTATGCAGTGCATGCTCCACCCTACCGTCAACTATTTTTTGCCTGAAATACCCTTTTGCTTCTTTGAAAAGATTATTAGCTTCTGCTATATACCTATTGAATTCCAAATCATCACCGAGGATATTTTCGGGTTCAAATTCTTGATTAGCAGAGGAAGGTCTCTTTTTGGGCCCCTTTTTACGAAAATATCTACGAGACTCGTGTTGGCTCTCTTCCATTTTCTCAATACGCGAATAATTTCTATTAGCGGTTTTTATACGGTTCATACTGATGCTAACATCGACAGAACTGTACGAATCATTTTGAGATGACATTGTTTCTATGTCATCATCAAAATCTTCCAAATAAGCTTGTTCGTTTACAAGCTTCGATGTCTTATTCTTGTAATTATAGATTGTCTGGTCAAAATCTGTCTCATTTTCAAGTGATACATTTTCAGTTTCAGTCTCGTCGGCAAAATATTCAACTCTATCTTGAGCTCTTACAGTGCTATCAAAAGGGCTACCTGACATACTTTTATTCTCATTTTCCGAATTTCTGTCTTTGACGGCAGAAGCTAAAATGTTTGTCGAACTTTTATTGTTTGCCTCTACATCCATCAATTCCACCTTACTAGAGACTTCCTTTTTACCAGGCTTTGGACCATCGAAGTTCCGTCCGATCAAACTAGACAAGTATCGAGAGAAATTAAACCCGTTCTCACCCGATTTCTTTCTTTTTCGGCCTGATTCATTACCACCTAATACTATACTCTGTATACAGCTTCGTACAACATCAAGTGTGCTTTGTAAAGATACATCGGCCGATTCTATAACATCAATATAGCCTTCTAAATCAGTTACTGTAACTTGATTGTGTTCGATGCTTCTTCTAATACCGTTCTTCACATTCAGAATCTCGGCATTACACCCACCCAAATTCTCCTCTAAATTACTCAACTTCTCAACGAGACCTCTAAAAGTGTCGTCTATAAACTTTTTTTTATCCTCGATTAATCTTGATTCATTCAATTGACCCCCTTTGACCCACCCAGCAGAAAATCCAAGAGCAAATACAATTGCACAAGCTGGAAATACGATAATCGTGGAGACCTTAACTCTAGAAATCGCCAAGGCGCAAACGAAACCAAACAGATACACAAATACATACTTCTTATCACCAATTCCAGATGAACTCAGAAAATTACGGAACTGATTTGACTCACCAGATTGATCCGAGTCACCGATGAGTTGAAGATCATCCCAGCCACCATAGCTCAGTGATTGAGGAGATGCGGGAGAGCATAGATTCGGAGTTTTCAAAGGATGGTAATGGCGTCTTTTGGGATGAATTATGAGGTAATCGTGATTTTGATGTTTCTGTGGATCATAGATTGGGAGGTGGCGATGAAATCTGAAAATTGGTTTCCTGTAAATTAGGGTTTGCATTATGATTGGATTTTGGGGAAGAATTACTGCAACGTTGAGTGTATTTTTGTTCTTTGTTCGATGATGGAAGTAGGTGACAACTGACAACTGAAGAGCTTATTTGGCTGTTAAATTTTGTAAAGGATACTTGTGTTTTATTAATAATATATCTATATCCAATTTATGAACACATTTCTATTATTTTACTAAATTAAGTTGAATATTAAAATTTATTTAACTTATAAATGAGGGGAAATTAATTAGTTGAAAACTCCAAAAGAATATTTTCTATAGCCTTAAACATAAAGGAATTGTGATTTTTTTGCTAAAAGTCTTTGTGTCCCGTCTCGCTTTGGATCTGACGCTAGATCTAAAATTTCTCTAACGAAATTGCTAATTAAAACTAATTACATAATTTGTTGTATTAATAAACAACAATTTAGTTAACGTAAAACTAACAGTACCGGTGACGGTGTCTCACAACTCAGTTATATTTATAACCAACATCTTACTTAAATAGTTAAAATGTTCTTGAAAGTAAAAACGAGAATAGATGCATCCCACGACAGATACAACCGAGAAAAAACTTATTTATCAAACTCCCCTATAAATAAAGTACCTAAATTATTTTTTTATGAAATCAAATTATTTTTTATTTTATTTTTGGTATAATGACACTATAATCCGGATATTGGGCCTGAGGAAGTGAATCTAATATTTGGGCTTGACTGAAAATCAATGTTATATTTGAGCTTTATTGGGCCATAATAATCTCTTCTAGCCCAAATTGATGGATATATTTATATTCATTAATTTAATTTAATATAAATGTTCAAATCCAATGAGATCTAGCTGTAATTACATATCATCACAAGAGAAATGAACGCAATTTACCAATTTACCCCATGAAAAATAATGTCACTCTACACAGAAAAAACAAATAATTAAAACTGTCACCTTTTATTTTAAAATTAATAAAATTTTCCAAAAAAATTATGCAAGGAAGGAAAGTTAATGATTAAAAATTATGTTAATGAGATTTGCAAATAAAACCTAGGTTTGGATTAGTGTAACAAGCATTGATTCCCCACCATTCCCTGCTGCTTATAAATTTCAATTCACCATATTATAATTTATATCATATGATATAATTCACTATTCAGATCTATTTATTATATTAATAAATCTCAATGGCAATATTCTGTAACATTGCGCGTTTCTTTTTCTTCGTTCTCGTCCTTGTTGCCCTCGTCACTCCTCATTACTGTAAGTCGATCGAAACTCGAAATTACTTCGCATTATTTATTTATTGTTGCTCATTTTTTGCAGAATTTGTATAATTATAAAAATAAAATAAAAATAAAATAAAATTATAAAATATGTTTTCATTTAATTATTTATACAGTCAAAATCTGACATTTAAACTTTGAAACCTTACAGGCAGTGAGGTGGGTGGGGCCCACATGGGAGTAATGGAGGAGAAAAAAGTAAAAACACCGTGCGTTGCCGATAAGGGATGCATTATTGGGCGCTGCTGGTGTTGTCCGGTCAATAAGCAGTGTTATATTTATAAGCCAACTTGTGATGCCAAATGTTTTTGATTTTATTACAATTAAAAGTTAAAACTCATATATTTATATATCTACTAATTATTCATATGTGTAATTGGTGTATCCAGAAAGCGTGGAATAATTTTTAATAAAATACAAATATTTATTAATATTATTATTTTGTGTGAGAAAATAAAGAAACTCAATTCTGGGCCCAATGGATTATTTAATCCAAGCCATTAATCTATTCTTCTTTGATCTGTCAAATCTCCAGAACAGTTTAAATCATCAATTTTGACCGTCGATTCTTATTGTTTCGATATTTTGGATACAGTTTTTCTTTTCCATCTATATAGCAAACCGTTATGCATGAGAAACGTGTAATTGGAAACTGAGTCGTAACTAGAAGCTAAGCTATCTCCATTCGTTGGAGTAGCTTTTCATAGCTTATTTGTTGAGTAAACTGCAAAAACTACCCCTGTGTTATCTCGAAATAGCAAAAACCCCCATGTGATAAATAAACTAGCAAAACCCCCCCTGTGAAATTTAGTCAAAGGCAGAATCCCCCCTAGCTGATTTTTTAGACTTGAAATGACAAAATTGACCCTCAAAATGTATTTATATATATACATATTATATGTATATTTATTCTTTTTAATTTATTTGTTTAGAAATTAAAAAAAATAGTAAACAACTAAATTGATTATTTTTTAAATAAAATAATTAAAATATTTATAAAATATAAGAATTTATTAATTGCAAGACTCCAGGGGTATTTGTGTCTTTTTATATCAAGTCAACCCTCAAATAGTTCCATAGGGGGGTTTTTGCTATTTAAATAATTTCATAGGGGGGGTTTTTGCTAGTTTATTTATCACAGGGGGGTTTTTGCTATTTTGGGATTACACAGGGGTAGTTTTTGCAGTTTACTCCTTATTTGTTTGGTTCTTTTTTTTTTTTTTTCTTTCGTTTATATTATATATCTTTCTTTGTTTCTTAAATAGGCTGTAATCCCATTCTTAAATAAAACCTCTATAATCTTATTTCATTCACGCTGGATTTTTTACATTATTTGTCAAATATGTTTAGTGCCAAAAATCATGAATCTTACCGAAAATCTAATTTCAATATATAATAATTTCGGCCTAATTAATTATACATTTTTAAGGAATAACCAAAATTTATTTCGGTCTCTACAATATTTGGTGCGATTATAATTTATAAGAATCAAACTCACCGCATAAACGGTGATTACGAAAACGATAAAATTATATTGCACATGATTAACTATTATATTTTCATTTTTGAGTAAACTGCAAAAACTACCCCTGTGTAATCTCGAAATAGCAAAAAAACCCCTGTGATAAATAAACTAGCAAAAACCCCCCTGTGAAATTATTTAAATAGCAAAAACCCCCCTATGGAACTATTTGAGGGTTGACTTGATATAAAAAGACACAAATACCCCTGGAGTCTTGCAATTAATAAATTCTTATATTTTATAAATATTTTAATTATTTTATTTAAAAAATAATCAATTTAGTTGTTTACTATTTTTTTTAATTTCTAAACAAATAAATTAAAAAGAATAAATATACATATAATATGTATATATATAAATACATTTTGAGGGACAATTTTGTCATTTCAAGTCTAAAAAATCAGCTGGGGGGATTCTGCCTTTGACTAAATTTCACAGGGGGGTTTTTGCTAGTTTATTTATCACAGGGGGGTTTTTGCTATTTCGAGATAACACAGGGGTAGTATTTGCAATTTACTCTTTCATTTTTTTTACTGGCAATAATGCAATTCATGAAAATAATGAAGTGGATTAATGCAATATGAATCGGCATGGTACTATATATACATCATAATCCTACTTATATGAAAATATATCCTAGAGTAATATTTTAATTTTAGCCAATATGGCTTCGTGCAACTCGATTCGTTTCTTTCTCCTCTCGTTAATCATCCCAGCCTTGTTCGTTCCTCATGAATGTAAGTCTGTGCAACCCATCGATTTCTTCATGCCCGATTTAAATAAAACTTAAGAATTTTTTTCTTTTCTAATAATAATTTACGTTTGTTCGTTTACGTTTGGATTAAGGCTACGAGGAAGGGAGGAGCGGCAGCATGATGGGAAGAAAAGAGATGGTGAAAAATATTCGAATTAATGGCGGGAAAATAAACATTAATTTGTGCAGACACACAAGAAATTGTCCCGAAGGGGATGATTGTTATTGTTGTCTCATCGGTGACGAGGATTGTTACCCTACTGATGCGTGGTGTGCATCCAAGTGTCACTAACATTTTTATAAACTCTGTAATAATCTTTATTTCATTCTAATATGAAATAATAAACCCCATAAAATATAATAAAAAAATTTATTTTGAAAGTTTTTCTTAATTTCTCCATGTATGTTTATTTTTTTATTTTTTGCAGAGATATATAATTATAGTAAATTGGATTTCCGCAAAGGAGAATATAATTTGTTTTAGCTTCAAGGCCCAATATACGAAGTGTTAATTTAGGGGATGTTTGGCTAAACAACTTTTAAGTTATTAAAAAGAGCTTATAAGCTATTTTAAATTGTTTGGTAATTTAAAAAAAAATCTAAAAAATAAAGAAGATAAGTTTTTTGAAAGCTTTATGATCTTCTTTGAATTATTTAAGATCATATAATGAGTAAAATAATTTATACGCTCATTATTATTCAAACACTTTCAAAAATAATTAATAAAAAAAAATGTAACAACTTATCAAATATAAAAGTTGTTGAAAATAAGTTTGACCAAATGGGTTCTTCTTATGGCTAGTCAAAATCTTCTTTTTTCCCTCTTCTTGCTGGTCAAAATCTTAAGAATACAAGTGAGGATTGTCTTATTAATGAGGATTAACTAAATATTTAAATTATGTGTGTGAAATCTAAGAATTCATGAAAAAATTGAAGTGGATTACTGCAATAATATAAATCGGCATGGTACTATATAAATAAACATCATATTAAAATAAATCCCAAGTCAATATTTTTCATTTTTAACCAATGGCTTCTTGTTATAACTCGACTCGTTTCTTTCTCCTCTCACTAATCATCGCAGCCTTGTTCGTTCCTCATGAATGTAAGTGCAATCCATATATTATATATATATATATATACATTAAGTACGTAACGAAACTTAATTTTGCAGTTTAACGTAATAATATTTGTTTTTCAACTATAATTTATGTTTGTGGATTAAGGCTACAAGGAAGGGAGGAGCAGCAGCATGATAGGAAGAAAAGAGATGATGAACAATATTCAAATAAATGGCGGGAAAATAAACATTAATCCGTGCAAACGCCACAGAAATTGTCCAGTAGAGGGTGTTGATTGTTATTGTTGTCTATTTGGTGATGGGCTGTGTTACACTTCAGATAGCTTATGTGGTTTAGAGTGTCATCGTTAATATTTTTATAAACTATGTAATAATAATCTTATTTCATTTAAATAAGATTAATTAACCCAATAAACTATAATAAAAAAATTCTTATGAAATCTTTCTTAATTATTATTGTTATTATTTTTTTTTTTATATAATTTCTCCACTGTTTATTTTATGCATACATATATATGTATGTATGTATCTACATACAAATTTTTAATCTAGTAAAAAAAATGTATACAGATGACATCACACCGAATTATTTTATGGTTCATATATATTAGTGCAAATCACAGCTACTCTTGATGTAGCTACTACCCCTGATGTAATGTCAAATTACGATACAATCATTTTTGTTTGGGTAATTATATCCATCCCCGTAACTATGTATTTTTCCACGAAAAACCCCTTATTTAATAGATAAATTTGACAACATAAGAATAAATGTGGTTAATAGTTGAAGGAGACAACTGTAATTACTAATTACCCAAACAAGAAAGGAGTTCCGTATTTTGACCTTACTTTAGGGTTTGACCGTAATTTGCCCTATATTTGATTTAGCTAGATATAAAACGTGAGAGTATATTCCATGCATATTTTCAGGAGCCAATTTAATTACGGAATTAATATATTTTACGCACTGCAAATATGTAAATTACTGAACCGTGTTTTGGTAGTTAATGATTCGTAATAAATACAATGGAAATTACCAAATATTTATATAATTGTGTTACCTTATGTAACAATATTTCTATTTATCTTTTATTTATATATATTTATATATATATATATATATATATATATATATATATATATATATATATATATATATATACATATATATGCGCATACACACATGTATATGTATCCTAAGCACTAATTCTGAATTTTAATTAACCAATGGCTTCTTACAATTTGTCACGTTTCATTATATTCTCATTGATCCTTGCTGCATTGTTGGTTCCTCATGAATGTAAGTTATGAATAAAATTAAACATTTTTAATAGCTTTATTTTGATATATTCTTCAATTAATTTTTTTTTTAAATTATTAATTTAATTTTTGTGCATTAAGTGTGAATTAAGGTTACGAGAAACTGGGAACACAGTTTGATCGGGAGAAAATTGAAGGTGGAAAATAAGGAAATTATAATTATTGAGAGCCAAATAAACGTTAATTTAGGCAAACGTTACAAAATTGTGTTCCAGCCGTTCCGGTGAATTGTTACTGTTGTCTGATTGGACCCACACAATGTAATCTCACTGATGAAGAATGTGGAGCTTATTGCAGATAAAACCCTTGGTTGTTGATTTTTTTTTTTTTATTCTATAAATTTATTATTTCTAATGAAATTCTATAAAATTGTTTCATTCACGTTGTATTGTCTTACGGTATCAATCAAACATGTTTAGTTTGTTGTTATCGATATTTGAGTATATCGTCCATTGTTTTCTTCCACGTATTGTACTGTATTATTGATCATATCGATCGTAAGATATTCGACTAACTATTAAAAGTAGCACAAAATATGTATCAAATAATAGAAATAGAATAAAAATGTAAAAATATATTACACTACAAAAAAGCTTAATGACAATTAAATGGGTTTTAAGTTTTAAAACTTTCAAATTCCAACTAATTGTGATTTTCTCTAATTCCTGCTCCTGTATTTAATTTGATGTGATTACATTCTCTAATTTTGCTCTTATATTTAATTTGATGTGATTATAATCTCTAATTAATAAGCTCCTATAAATATATATGATAATCCTTCTTATATATTAAATAATTTATATATACCTAAGTTTATTCTATGAAGAGAGGAGTATGATAGGAAGAAAATTGATGGTGAATAATCGAATTAGTGAGAGGAAAATAAACATTAATAATTTTTGCAGACGCTACAAAAATTGAGGAGCGTGGGGGTGATTGTTACTGTTGTCTTCTCGGACACAAATGTTATTTTACCGACAAATCATGTGGACAATTTTGTGGTCACTAACATTTATATAAACTCTATAATCTTATTTCATTCAAATTGCCAATAAACTGTTTTTTATAAATAAGCTTATCTTATTTGATGACTTTTCAATAAAATATCCTTGTGAAATTATTAAAAAATATAAAGATTCACAAGTATATTCTTTTTTTCAATCTTTGGTCACTATCAAGTACTATTGCAAATTATACACAAAGGATATCCTTATGATTTTTATTTTTTAATTTCATGTATAAATAGTACAAGTATTAATTATCATATTATATTTATATTTTCTATATAATTTGAACTCCATTTGCATTTTTTTATATACAAAAAAATATAAGAAAAACATATATTTGGAACTCTAATTGTAAGGATATCTCCTATGAATGGGGGAGGGGTGGGGGTAGGGGGGGCTGAGGTGTTTACTGAGTAGGGGGTGGGACTGGGGTGGCTGGGGGTTGAATTGAGCCCTTGCATAAGTACTGGGCTTTCACTCTCCTCTCTTCCATCAACCTGAATTTCACGCTCCAATTTTTTTTTCTTCCCTTTCCTTCTCTTTCCACATTAGCATTTTCTTTTTTATTTTTTTCTTTTGTTTTTTTTATGATTTCTTTATTTATTTAATTTATTTTAGTTCTTTTTTTTCTTCCTTTTTTCTTTTTTTTTCATTTTATTATTAATTTCTTTTATTTTAATTTAGTTTTCTAGTTTTTTTTCTCTAATTCCATCTTTCTAATTTAAAATAGTAATTTTATTGTAAATATTCTATTTATTATATTAGCATTACGTATTATTATTATTATTATTATTATTATTATTATTATTATTATTATTAAGATTATTATTTTATTGTTATTATTGTTATTATTATCATTATTATTATTATATGGTGAGAGTGGTAATGGAAAAAAATGGAAGAAAGAGATTGATCGGCTGGACGAGAAATAGGTTGGGTCGGGGGAGGGGAGCCCGGGGGAGCCGTCCCGTCGACGGGGATGCTCTAACAAAACGTAGTTTTTGGACCCTCAATGGTCAAAGAATTAAATGGGTCAAACGTCAATAATATCAAACTTTAAGGGTAGTGTGCGTGATTTTCCAAATAGAATGGGTTTATATGTAATTATACTAATATTAAGGGGGCACGTGTAATTTATGCTAAAGAAAATACCAAATTTCACTAACAGTCCTTCATCTTATTATTTAGTCATGTTTTAGTCTCTGATGTCTCTATTGTCTCATTTTAGTCTCTCAATGTTACAATTCATCTCAATATAGTCCCCTAAATTTAGGGTAAATTACAAACACCCCCTGATGTATGGTCAAATTACAAAAATACCCCTCTTGTTTGGATAATTACAACCACCTCTCAACTCCTCAAATTTAGTGAAATCTTCGAGGTTATATGGAATATTATCACTTTTGTACCCGTTTTATCCCGTTCAAACTCTATATTATGAAGCAAGATGATCATAATATGTGTTTTTTAGCTTGTATATATATCAGTTTGTGGTGCATCGGAAATTGTATTTTTACACAAAATGAATACAAACTAGAGCATATTCCACTGAATCTAGATGATTATGTTGAATTTAACACCAAAATGGTGGAGATGTATGAAAAAATCATAGTTGAGGGGGTAGATGTAATTATCCAAACAAGAGGGGGTTTTGTAATTTAACCATACCTCAGGGGGTGTTTGTAATTTACCCCCTAAATTTATTAACTTTAATGGAATCTTTTCAAGATTGGATGCAATATTCCATTGTGAATTGTTTTTAATAAATTATGAAAAATTTAGTAAATATTTATTTTTTATAATTTGAAAATACTATTTACATAGAAAAACATAATTTATAACAATAGAACTTAAACAATTAAACAACACATTAATTTATATTTATATACAAACAAATCATTTATATTTATTTTGTTGACATGACAGAATTTTAGAACATATCAACTGATTATGAGATACCATCTACATCTGATTATGAGATACCATCTACATATATTCTTTATTTAATTTAATTTATGTTTTTATGAGTTTATGTTAATATTTATAAAACTAGTTCGATTATATATGTTCTTTTTTTTATAGTTTATCAAACATTATTTTAAGTATAAAATATTCCATTAACAATTAAAAAAATCCATTAAAATAACAAAATTATACACAGAATGACTATAATGATATGAATTGTAGAGTTGAAGGATGAAAACTAGACCATAGAAAAATAAGGGACTAAAGCGAAACTAAACAATAAGATGAAGTAGTCACCTAAAGAAAAATCAACCAAAGTGAAGTTGACTGAAAATAAGTGGAATTATAGGGGCAGAACTGCAAAGCAATTAAAAACGTCACTTTCAATAGGAACCGAAAGCTACTCCGAACAGATAACAATGCCAAAGCATTAAAAGTGGCAGACACCAGAAAGCAGATTCATATATATAATATAATAAAATATAATCATATATTATATATATTACTATAATTATATAAATTATTACCTCTTAAATTTCCCATTTATCCTATTTTATTTCTTTATTATTTATTATTAGAGAGAGAAACTATATAGATTTAAGAGAGAGAGCTGTGGAAATATCAAATAAGGATAAGAATGTCACCAGAAATTTGACCCACTTGTCTACATTATTTATATTACACCCTGATATTTTTTTATCTGTCATTAAATGCTTGTTCAAAATTTAAAATTTAAAATTATTTAAGAAAATAATAATTTCTCATTAGTTTCTCCATAATTATTATAGTGTTAAAAGAAAAACATAATTAAAAAAAAAAAAAAAAAAAAAAAGGAAAATTAATTTGTACTCATCATCATCATCATCAGCAGTACACGTGTCCCATATTATCTGCTTCCTTCCATCGACTTCTCTCACAGAATCACAGCAGAAGAAGACAATTCCATAATATCGAGGCCCAGTCTCAGTCAGATAGTCCTCTCTCTCGATATACAGTGCAACAAAGAAATATCTGCCTGCATATCCATCTGAATTAATCCTTTAATTTTAAGCTTAATCGGTGTTGAATTTGCCGATAATCAATCATCAGTAACGGATGATTATTTGATTCCTGGAGAAAAATATATAGAGAAAAGGGGGGAATTTGAATTTGTTGGGAGAAGAGAGATGTACGTAAGCGGCGGAGGTCCAATGCGGAAGTCTTTCAAAGATTCGCTCAAACTTCTCGAAGCGGATATTCAGCATGCTAATACTCTGTGAGTGATTTTTTTTTTTTTTTTTTCCGGGCGAAATTTTCTGCTGTTTATTTTTTATTTTTAAAAAAATTGTTTTTAAATGATCAGTGAAGCTTTTGTTGCTTGATTTTGTATTCAACGACTTCGTGAATTTTTATTTTATTTTTTGGGAGCTAGATTTCTCACTATCGAAAATTTAATGTTTGTGCCATATATGTAGGGATTTTTGCCGGTTTAATTATAAGAATTTAGGTTATGGATATTGATTTAGAAAATCTGAAGTTGAAGATAGTCTAAAGTTCACTTTATCGATTGCTTCAATTTGTGGTGAAAGTATCATTTTCATGTTCAACTAACTAGGGTTTATGAACAGTTTGTTCATTGTTTTTGGGCTTAATCGATTTTCCGTGAGCATAAGTAATTAACTGTGGAATGAAACAGGGGAAAAATCACAGTGTGCTCTTGAAAATTTATAGCAATTTCAGTTAGATTTTCGTCCCCGCATTATGTCGTGGAATATCTAACAGTTTGGTTTTAAAATTTCTCCATTTCCATCACTAGAGAAATTTTGAACAACTGATCTTGTAGGGCATCTGATTTTCCGAGGGAGTATGATGGAGCATGTCTGCAAATGAGAATGTCGTATAGTCCGGCAGCACACTTTTTCCTTTTCCTCGTTCAATGGACCGACTGTCACCTAGCTGGCGCTCTCGGTTTGTTGAGAATCCTAATATATAAGGTTAGTCCTTTGTTCTGTTACTACATTATCTTCCTTATGTCCAATTGACGAAAGCAAGACTTCAAACTCTGTAACGGGTATAGGTTTATGTTGATGGCACCACCACTATGTCAACTCACGAGAGAAAAGCAAGCATTAGAGAATTCTATGGTAAAAACTTTCTTGGTCCTAATAGATTACAATTTTTTTTTCGGAAGCCATTAACTGAATACGAAACATTATGTTGTGGCTAGCTGTTATTTATCCCTCTTTACTGCAACTTGAAAGAGGGGTCACAGATTCGGAAGATAAAAAGCAGAAAGCCGTATGCCTGGAAAGATACAGAAGAAAGGATGAAGAAGAGCACAAGCAATGCTCGGATTTAGATATTGAAAGGGAAGACGAATGTGGGATTTGCATGGAGATGAATAGTAAGATAGTATTGCCAAACTGTAACCATGCCATGTGCCTGAAATGCTACAGAGAATGGTACCGCATTTTCTTGTCTTTTAATCTTTCGTTCTCGAATTTTTTAAAATACAAGACATACTTTTTCGTTACCAGGTTTAAAATATGTTGCTTGTTTGGTCCACTATTAGTTATGCCAAGATATTATCACTGGTTACTTTCTTCTCTATTTGAGTTACTGCTAAAGCAATTATCACTTCTTTGAACATGCTTTCTACCTTTTTTGACTGGAATTTATTCGCAAACGTGTTTAAGCAGCGGTTGTTTCTAAATCGTGGTAAATTGCATTTTGTTGCTGTTCAAGTAATTGCACTACCTATGCGCGTATTTTCTAAGTTCATCTGTTCATTGAGAATAGCCCCTTTAGAGAGCGATCACAAAATATTGATGGGCATGAATGCAGCATATCATTTTGACTTATCGGATCTAAGTTTTCGTCACATGAATTGTTCTTCCATTTTTTGTGTGCCTAATAATAACGTAGTTTTTTTTTTCTCGGTGCAGGCATTCAAGATCACAGTCATGCCCTTTTTGCCGTGACAGCTTAAAGAGGGTAAATTCTTGTGATCTTTGGGTGTTTCTGGAAACCAGGGATGCTATAGACATGGTGTCTATAACGAGGGAGAATTTGAAGAGGCTGTTCATTTATATCGATAAATTGCCTGTCGTTGTACCCGATTCCTTATTCGATGCCTATGATACTCATGTCAGGTAATTTAATTAACTGGATGAGAAAGAAATAATCTCTTTATCAAATAGATTTAGAAACTTAAAAAAAGAAAAGAAAAAAACCCGACCCTGATTTATTATGGGCAGAGGTTTAAGTTAGTGGGATAAATGGGGGAAGGTAAAATGTCATAAATTTGTAAATGGTTGTATAGTTCGGAGTTTGCTTATTAAAAGCTGAAATGGAATTTGAGACGTGCAAAAGAAAGAAATTTACTGTTCTCGTATTATGAAATATCTGCATTTCGTTAATGAGTGCGTTTTCGGTGAATATTGGTGTTTTGAGGTGCCTTTGCTATTACCAAAGTCTGGCGTTAAATAAATAGAAAAAAATGCTGATCGAAATGTAACAAATTTGTCTATGAAGTGGTATTGTTTTCACGAAAGACGAGTATGTAAGAGTTTCATATTTCTTTAAAATAGTACATATTTTGTAAATTGCGGAATAATTTCAATTTTCAACCGATCCTGGAATTATCTCTGCCGAAAACGAGAGTTGTGGCCCAGTTGATAGCCACGTAAAATCTGTTTCTCCAGCTAATAACCCGAGTTAGGTAAGCAGATCGCCAGATAAACCAGCTTACAAACCCAGCTAATGATATACCTTCCGCATCCTGTCCACAAATCTTTGTATCAGTTTTTTTTTTCTCACAGATACTGTCAAATATTATCCGATTTTCTTTTCGATTAAACCGATTTTTTTTTTTTTTTTGAAAAAAAAAAGGTCGAATTACCTTGGACTGACGTAAATCGACCAAAGCCTTGTATCGACCCATAGATGCCATGCTACCAAGATGTTTGTACACAAACGGATCTCCCAACGGAATATCCTTCTTAAGAGACAAAGCCTTGCCCCCATTCTGTTTACCGATTCTGTTCAACATCTCTACTAGATATTTCCCTTCCCTTTCTGCTACCTGATTATTCAATTTTTTTAATTTTATTAAATTAACCACCAATATTTCAAGAAAAATAAATAATGGTAAAAAAACAAGAGAGAGGGAAATCGGAAACTAGACCTGTGCTAGAGCAGGAAGCACCGGCTTTTCGAGAAATCCAGCACAGTCTCCGAGGGCAAAAACGTCTTCTACTGTCGGAACTCTTAGCCATTCATCAACACCAATTCTGTGTAACACAATTTTTTTTTTTTTTTTTAATTTAGGAATTTCAATTTTCAATATATAATATTGAAATGTAGGTAGATATACCTTCCACCGGGGGCCTTGGGGAACTGGAGTGATTTTACGAACTCAGAGGGACCCACTCCGGTCGACCAAACCAAGAGGCCGTAAGGGACATCACTTCCATCGCTGAGAACTATCTTATTCGGGTGAACCTCTTTCACAACACCTGTTACTAGTCGAACTCCACACTGATTTTTCACGATCACCGATAATTAAAAAAAAATATATTAACCCAGCTAAATTAAAGACTAGTTTTTTTTTCTGTGGCTGAGAGTTGTTACCTTCGTTAGGTGCTTTGATGCGTACTTTCTTAATCCGAGATCAAACGATGATAAAATCTCATTCGCCTGTCCAGAGACAGGTGATAAACAGCCGTAAACTAAAAGCGAATTTTCATTTGAAAACATTAAATCAACAAAAACAGCGATATTACCTCGATTAAGGTGACTTTCATGTAGTTTTTCACATGAGCGTATCTCTGGCGAACATCTCTCATAATAAAATCACTTAGCTCACCGCTAAATTCGACACCGGTGGGCCCACCACCAATAACAACACAATGCAACAGCCGTTCCTTTTCTTCTTCCGATATTCCTAGAAATTATTAAAAAAGTTAAAAATTTAATTACCTCGACATTTCATTCTTTCCATGTCGACAAAAGTTCTATTTGTAAAATCCATATATAATTTAATTTCATCCGAATCGAGCACCAAAGACATAAGCGAAAAATAGTGAGAAAAAAATTCACCTGGATTTTCGCAGAGCATGAGGTTTAGGAGAAGCCTCTTCCTAATATCTTGTGCATGTGTCACATCTCGTAGAAAAAAGGCGTGCTCTTTGACCCCCTTTATTCCAAAAGTCAAGGCTTCTGCTCCAGAAGCAATGACCAGCTTGTCGTACGCAACCTTAAAATGGTACGGCGCGTTCGCAAGTCCATCATCGCCAACCGCCTCGCAGTACACCTGATACAGACGAAAATCGGATTCAACCCTCAAATTTTCAAGAAACGCGAGAATATATACATACACAAATACATATAGATACATAGCATGGGCAACTTACTTCATGCTTGTCTGAATCAATGCCGGTGCAAGAAGCGAGAAAAAAGTAAGAATTGGGATCGTTGGCCAAAGCTGTCTGAATCTGAGTGACGGGCTCCACCACCGAACGGAACTCCAAAGTTCCGACACAAGTTGAGGCGAGCAATGGAGTGAAGACCATGTGGTTCCTCGGTGAAATACAGACAACATCGTACAACCTAGTATCTATCCCTTTGAGGAATCTGCATGCAGCCCATCCACTTCCAAGAACAACCACACGAGGCTTTTGTCCGGGCTTTGTGGCTTCCAATGTGGGGTACTTTGTGCTTTCGTATTCGGAATCGGATTCCGCAACTCGCTCTGCATTAGCGAACTGGTAATGCGGAGTTGTTCTAATTCCCCTGCTTCCGAAATTGGAATTGGATAATGTCCGGATTGTGTATCCACTAGCTGGAATATTTTTGTGGGGGTGTGTAAAGAATCCGCCAATAGGTGAACGACACCTGTCCTCGGAGATAAAATCTTTCTCACAGTTAGCGTAATTGGCCATGGCGCTGCTTCCGGATCTCCGGTACCCGTTTCTTGCTATTCTTGCTAAGGCCATGGCTAATGATGTTTGATGTTATCTGTAATAATCGGTTATTTATACGACAATTCAGCGAAGGAAAACAAAACACCAAAAAGAGCTTTACATTAGTACCGCGAACTCCAAAGAATTTGGAGCAATAAAATACAAAATCCAACTAGTTTTATTCGAGCAAGACAAGACCGGTCAATTAAAACACAGCAGCAAACCATTTATCGTCAGCAATTTCAAAGGAGAACTTTTGTCAATACTCTAATAAGAAAATCTATTACCAATAAACGACACGTTGTATAGCCACAAACACGAAATGCTTGATGTGGGCAGGCAATTATTGTACAATATAATTTTCTGTTTATTTGAAATTCAATAAACGATACAAGTTACGGTTTTCGTAGTTCAATCATGTTTAGCTATGTAAATATCAAAGAACACAGTATTCATTAATGTACATCCTCTGTTTTACCTCTGAACAATTTGCAACATATAATGCAATAACAATAAAAAAAAATCTCTACATTTTTGAATCGGTTGCTTTACTTACAATAGGTTCGAAACTAGATCGAGTATGGAAAATGTTTGAATTAATCAAAAAACTAACGAACCCTCACCAAAAAAGGAAGAAATGAAAACATGAACAGAAGCAATAACTTCAGTTATACCTTGAGTAAATAGTAAATACAAACAAGTATCTGTATGTAGAGCTGATTTATTGCGCACTTTGCCTTGAACAAGGGTTTTGAATGGTTTGAAGGAGGGGTTTAGGGAAGACAAATCAGACATTGCACATGTAATTAATTTGACCAATACAAACAAAAAATGTCTGACAGTAAAAAAAAAAGCAAACTAGTATACTATTAAATAATAATATTTTAGTGTAGGAACGTAACATTAAAAAATGGTGAGAAGAAAAGCTTGCCGAGCAAGAAAAGTTAGGTGGGGGATACAATACAATACAATACAGTACAATACCTGCTCCGTCAACACAGCTACGATGATATCTGACAAAAAATTCTGGCCGTTGATTTAATATTCATATGGCTATGGAGATGTATGTATATGTATATACATATATATATAAGAAAAAAGTGGTGGGCAAAATCCCTAGTGCATTATATTGTTGGTAGTGAAAAAGAAGGTTAGAAGAATTAAGGGAAGGGAGACGAGTTGCCATATTTCGGCATTTCTTCCAAAATAAAAACGTTGTCAGTTGTCACTCACTCACTTACGTTTATGTTGCCGATTTTCAAGTTTTTAAGTTGAACCAGCCCGCCCTACTACTTTCTCTTACCAAACAATTATATCAATATGGTTAGGTTTTCAACCGAGAATATTCCAATTATTTTTTTTAACATTATTTTGTACCACATTTAGTGGATTTGGGCCCGGTGGCCACAAGAAACCATCTAACGCGAATTGAAATTCGACTGCCCGTATCTCGATCCTAAGATAAAAGATCTTGTACCATTTTACGAATCAGTTGAGCTCGATCATAAGATCTTGTACCAATTTACGAATCTGTTGAGGGCCTACATGGAGTTATCAATTGAGATCAAAATTGACATATTCGACAAAAAATATTTTTTTATTATTTTATTTTATTTTTGCAAAATAAAATAAAAATAATGGGAAATCAAGACAAGGGAAGAAAGCGTGTTACTCCCTCTTAACGTTTCTATCACCCTCACACGATTTCTCACTTTCTCTTTCATCTTTCCTCGGGCTAATATTATTGAGTCAGTTTAAACCTTCAATAATTAACCTCTCACCTTCTCAGAAATACTTTCAACTGTGAAACAAATTATTTTTATTAATTCATTTTTACCAAGTGAATTCTACCATCTAGATATTTTTATTTTTATTTTTTTGGTTAAAGAAAATGCTACAAAGAAGTTGTTAACATGATTAACTAAAATAAAATGTACAGGGACTGTTGAATTAAGTAGCAATTAAGGAATCCTCTTTGCTATCACCGAAAACCCGGTTCAAAATCATAGCTAAACGGACTCCACCCTGAGCTATGCGTTTCATAACAATCGGCAATCTTGAATTAAAGTAATCATCTGTCAACACACACACGGCTTTCTTATTAGTTACTCGTATTCAAAACCAAGAAATAAAGATTATTATATGGTAGAAAAGCTGTTTCTATTACCTGAAAGAGTGTCCCCTGATTTAACATCTTTGTAACCCCATTTGCAGGCCATGTTTATACTCTCAGCAGCATACCTGACCAGACACGATTACACCGTTATATAACATATAAGAAAATATCGAAACACTGCATTGTTAACGTCTCGTTGTCTGTGTACGTTTCTAATTATTTTACGGTTGTCGATAGTTGTTACTCACTTGTTGACACAAGAAAATATATCACTGCATTCCCTCCAAGAGGCAAGATCACCAGACCAGATTCCCTGTTTGTATAACAATTGAATGTGGCAAGTAAGTAAATTAGCATTTTGTGCCTATATATGAATATATAATATAATATATAGTATATAGGTAAAAGGGCATTAAATTCGTAAGCGGGTTTACTTACATCAGTGAAGTTTCCCTTAATGTCTTCTTGCAGGAGGTCAATGTCCTTTCCGTAGTAATCTGCTGCAGCTGTAAGAATTATCTCTCTGTCCCATACCTAAACGTTTAGTTTCGAGATTAATCAATGACTTTTAAACCTACTTAAATTGCAACTTTAAACAGGACTATACGACAAAATACGGTAATTTAAAGGAAGCATTATAAGGCAACACTCACATGGTGCAGATTTGACTTGTGTCTGAACCAGCGCAAGTCTATAGTGTTTCCTCCTTCGTCACTCGTGAATCCAACATGCAGTGGCTAACAAACGAAATCCAAAATTAAGACAAGCAAGAAAAAATTCAACAAGAAAAAAACAGAGACAAGATTTTACAAACGGAACTATCATAGTAAACCAAGATTTTACACAAAGAACTTCTGATGTTAATGTTTGCTTTAGTTACCTGATGAATATCTCCCATGAAGTGTGCCAAGAACAACAAGGCCTCTGTCATATTATCTGTGACGGAAAAAACTTTCCAATATTATAACCTGATTGCTTTTAAATTTTACTAAATAATAAATATATAACGAAAGAAGGGAGATTTCTTACAGCGTCGATCAGAGGTTCCGTGCCGATAATGCGAAAGCTGATTGGTGAAGTTCTGAATTGCCCCCGCTACACACATACCCTTAACACCATGTGGATCATGGCAATCCCCTTTATTAAAATTTCCATATTATACAATTAATTATAATAAGAAGAATAAATTTTTAATCAGAAAAACGAAATGATGGGATTTTTTTTACTCACTCTGATAATTGAAATTACAGGCTTGATCTGGTGTGTCTATGAAGTGAAGAGGGCTCGTCCAACGGTACTTATACCAGTGTCTTACTTGGTCAGGCCACACGCTAAGTGCCGATAAATCACCATTAACATTTTCAGGTAACAGCATTTGGACAGCATGCTTCGCCTCTGGTCCCAGCAAATCCTATGTTTTTTTTTGCATGCATAGAAACGAACTATGTCAAAATTACCGAGGGCAGAAAATACTGTAGAAAACTTAGGTTATTAGTAGTCGATATTTTAAAAAGAAAAAAAATAAATAGAAATTTCCCCAAAGTTAATGTTTAGTCCCTCTTGTCTGAAAGCCGACCTGAGCAATTTTGCATGTCATGGAATGACCTTCTTTACTCCATGCCTGGACACAAGGTTCATAAACAACACAAACACAAAGAAATAAAGCAAAATAAGAAACAAAAATTCCTCGTGAAATCGACATCTGCATTTGTTATTGGACTTAAAAAAATATATACAATCGGGTGGGGGTTGGTTTATATATATACACAAATTAATTGATACTTAATAGGATACAAATGCTTACAAGCAAAATATTCTGCTCATGTTTAAAGTGTAATCTAAGTTGCTTGTCAATAGAAGCAACATGGGAAAGACACACACTCCAGAATAACAGGGAATCCTAGCACTTAAAATAGTGTGTATAGTGTGATCATAGAGACATATAAAAGGCACAATAATTCTTAGCTTTCCAGCAAATATTGACTTTGCCCACAATCAACAGCTTAATTAGGCAGTTACATGTATTGACGTGAGGGGAAGTACAAGCCAAAAGGGATGGTGCAAAAAGCGGTCCCCACCAGATATTCATCTCTATCCTCCGGTTATATCATTCTTTGGCAGTTGATTTATGCTTGGAAAAAATCCTGTTGAGAAGAGCAGCCAAACGGACCCCACCTTGGGCCAATCGCTTTTCGACAACTGGCAGACGAGAGAGGAAGTAATCGTCTGCACGAGAAAAAGGGAATATTGGCACATACATCACAGCAGCAATTATTCACCAAATCCAAAACCAGAATCATACGCAGCATATATAGCATAACAGTCCAATTTTTACCTCCTAAGGTGACTCCAGGAGTGGCGTTTCTGTAAGCAAAATTACAAGCTAATTTGATACTTTCAGAAGCATACCTGAATAAGCACAACAAAATACATACAATTATTTCCCCGAGTGGTATACAACTGAGTGCTGACTAGTGCATGCAGCATGCCTAAACAGCAAAATAATGTTAAACATCGCCTTTACTTTTCAAATGAAAATTTTACTGTTAGTTTAATCGACCTTCTTTTCCTATTATGAATCCAAGAAACGAAGTCGTAGGAAGACAGTTCGCAACATCAAGGACAGAAATGAAAAATAATTTAAAGGGGTAGAGGGGGATTATGTACTTACGGGTCTGGACAAACTGTACCGTTGCAATTTTTCCAAGAGTATTCGTCAACAAAGGCCTCCTAAATCAAGAAGGCAAATATTACTTATACTAAATAACTTTATAAGTGCAGAATAATCCATAAATCTCTAAATTAATAAGCCCCAAATGACAATAGAATATACATAAACACACCGTGATGTTGCTCTGAATAGATTGGATCATTGTTGTAATATCTGAGTGGTAGAATGTCTTCAGGGCAGATTCGATGATCATATTGTCCCACACCTTAACGTAAATATAATAAAACAAGACATATTAGACGATAAACAAGTTCATACTTTCATCTAAATCTTTTTATTTTATTTTATTTTGTTTTGCAAAAATTATTTGTAACTCACATGGTGTAAATTAGTTTTCCTCCGGTACCAACGGACGATAATCGTGTTCCCACCTCCATCTCCCGTGAAGCCGACATGCAATGGCTGCCAAACCAATATCGACTTTTAGATCACAATAATCATCAAAGTGAAGATAATAATAATGGATTGCACATTGGACTATGAGATATTTGGAAGGAAAAAAAATGAGCAGACCTGATGAACGTCGCCGACAAAATGCGATAGGAACATAAGTGACTCTGTCAAGTTGTCTATAATTGAAAGAAATGTGTTTATCAATTTCCATTTCCATTTCCAGGGAGTAACCAAACAGTTAAATCTTGATACATACACTTCATTACTGAGAAATCGGAATCACGACTCTCTGTCATAAGCTGCATTGTGTAGTTGTAAATTGCTCCAGTGACACACCTATCTTTACGACCAACAGAGTCATGGCAATCTCCTATAGCATAAGTACAAGTCAGAAAGCGTAAAGGTACAACTGGTACCAAAACTACGGTGGTAAAGCTGCATAGGCACAATTATAGCGGCATAAATTCCTCGATTGACATAGACGATAGTTCTTCCTCTGGAAAAGCGATCAAAACAATCTAACAGAAGGCAGACAACAGAAACATAATAGATTAAAAAAAATTAATAAAAGAGAAATCCACTTACTGCAATACTGATAGTTGCACCTGAAGTCAGGTGTATCAATGTAATGTAAAGGACCACTCCAGCGATAATGGGCCTTACGACGAATCTCATCCGGCCACGAGCAAACAGAAGCAAGCTCACCTTCAGCACTGTCTGGAAGTAATGCTTTCACTGAAGCTAAAGCATCTTCAGTCAGAAAATTCTGTAACATCCAAAGAATACTCCCAACTCCAATTAATGATTCTTTCATCAACATATCAAAATTCCAAAATCTTCTGTCGGGAAAATAAAATGCCTCAAACATCAAAAAAAAAAAAAAAAAAAGTACCTCAGCAATCTTGCAAGTCATAAAGTGGCCTTGTTTTCCCCAACCATACATGCTTGGAACTATTAACAAGAGCGTTACCACCATTATTACCAACCGCAGCTCGAACACACCCATATCTGCCAAAATACAATCCTCAACAAACAGTTCTATTCTGTGCAATGAAGAATAAGCATTTCATAAAATCACCGTACCTGCAATTTGATTCGACAGTAGTTTTGGGAATGGCAGCCCGAAGAACCCTAAAATCGATCAATTGCTTTCAGTAGTACGCAACTGCAATCCAGACCTCAATTCTCTACAGTGATGATCTAATTTTTGTTAATTACGCATTAACCTTACTTATGTGCCTAAGTTGGTTGAACAAGTCAAAACAGATTTGACTTTTTTTTGAAGCACAAAATATTACCAGCGACTATAATGCAGTTGAAGAAACGCGACTTTAGCTATAAATTGACGAAAAAGAAGTTAACACTGGAGAGAGGAGAGAAGGCTGCTTTACTAATTTACTACACGTGTTAGCTTTTGTCTCAAAGTAATCACAGTAACAAATCGACGGTGGCCGAACACCAAAACCAGAGCGAAACCCTCGGTACCGAAAGCAAGAGAAGGAAGATTATGAAAACGATCGTGATCGCAGAAGCGGGTGGGCCCGAAGTCCTGCAATTGCGGGAAGTGGAGGATCCGAAAATCAAAGACGATGAAGTTTTGATCAGAATTGCAGCCACCGCAATCAACAGAGCCGACACCCTTCAGAGGCAGGGTAAGCACCCTCCGCCCAAGGGCGAGAGCGAGTATCCCGGTCTCGAATGCTCCGGCACCATCGAATCCGTCGGCAAAAACGTTCACCGTTGGAAGATCGGCGACCAGGTATTTTTTTAGGTTTCCTCAATTTCACACTTAATTCAGTTTCTAGGGGAAAGATGAATTGATTGATTTGTGACACTTGAATAGCGTGATAATTGTTACTTAACATGTCAAAAATTTCAATTAGAGAGCTAAAAATGTAAAAAAAAAAAAACAAAAACAAAAACAAAAACAAAAACAAAAACAAAAAGTATGAAATTCATCATATTGGAAGAATGGGATTGTTTGTTGATAATTGTGTTTTTAAATAAGGTATGTGCTCTTGTCGGCGGAGGAGGATATGCGGAGAAAGTAGCTGTTCCAGCTGGGCAAGTTCTTCCGGTTCCTTCCGGTGTTTCGTTGGAGGAGGCAGCTAGTTTTCCTGAGGTAGCGTGCACCGTATGGTCCACTGTCTTCATGACGAGCCGTCTAGCCAAAGGGGAAACTTTCCTGGTATTCGTTCCTTTCTTGATTTGTATAGCTAATGTTTGCTATGTATTGTGCCGTTTTCGTTGTCAAGTAAGAATGTCCTGTAGCTTTCGTATTATTCTTAAGGAAGAATTAATTATTCCGAAATTTCATCCACACTACATTAGGAGCTTTTGGACTTCAACATTGAATAATGACATCTAAATTTAGTATAAGATCTATTGGAAAGCTTCTTTCTGAGTGTTTTACTTGGCGTTTTCGATTATATATAGCATCTAACTGAAGATATTCACATGTAATCTCAGATACATGGGGGCTCCAGCGGAATTGGTACATTTGCTATTCAGGTTGCTAAATACCACGGCGTCAAAGTTTTCATCACAGCAGGTTACAACAAAGATGACATCATCCAATTGATTCTGAGTGACATCATTATATGACTGCGTTTCTTTTATTGATAATATAACTAATTGTGTCGTATAGGGAGTGAAGAAAAACTAGCTGCTTGCAAGAACCTAGGAGCCGATGTTTGCATCAATTACAAGACGGAGGATTTTGTTGAACGAGTGAAGGAAGAAACCGGAGGGAAAGGTTAAACTCTTACTGCAATAATTTGGTTCTCAACTCCAATAGTTTGTCTCAATCTTGCAAATGTTCGGTAACAGGTGTTGATGTCATACTGGATAACATCGGTGGTTTATACTTGAAGAGGAATCTGGAAAGCCTGAATTTGGATGGGAGACTATTCATAATAGGTTTTATGGGAGGATCGGTAGCTGAAATAAATCTTACCACTTTGTTATACAGACGCCTTACAGTGCAGGGTAACATGCTTAAGCCCACATCTTCTTCATAATCTTTTCCCCATTCTTTTTTTCATTGAACAGTTCTTCATTCGATGTTATTTTGCGAATTTTTTCATAGCTGCTGGGCTGCGAGGTAGGCAACCAGAAAACAAAGCTCTAATTGTGAGTGAGGTTGAGAAAAATGTGTGGCCAGCGATAGCTGCAGGGAAGATAAAACCAGTTGTGTACAAGAGTCTTCCATTAGAAGAAGCTGCTGAAGCTCATCGGATTATGGAAAGCAGCCAGCATATAGGAAAGATTATCCTCCTTGTTCAATAAAAAAAGATTTGATGCCAATTATGTTCGTTTCTCGAAAAATGGTTCAGATACGGTCTTCCTTTTCGTCTTTATTTCTTTATAAGATGAGAAAAAACTGAAATATGATGTGCTCCCTCTCCCTCTCTCTCTCCCTCTCCCTCCCGTTAAACTGACTTTTGTTTGAATCACCAACATAACATCTGAAATGGAGATCTGTGATGGTTTTGACTTGTGTTGGTAGAAAAGATTCGGTACCAAAATCATGAATATTCAAACTCCGCTCGACTTTTGAGCCCACCTCAATCATATTATGGGCGATTCGCTTCGAGAGTCGTGATTCCGACTTTCTTGAATTCATATATCATAGATCTGATATTACCTGGTAGTTATCAAATTTGAAGGATTCTCGGAGGATACTGTGATACACACCTTGTATATCATCTGAAAAAAGTTACATGGGCAGATAGATTATTATATCATATTTTTATATATGACTTATTGGCCAAGGATAAATTATTATGCCGTAATACATACAACTTATTTAGCTGGTGATCAGTTGCCTTGGTTATCACAGTTGCCCGCACAAGTGGTCGAAAGGTTAGAAATTGCAGTGGAAGAAGCCATTTCAATTTTGACAAAGAATTTCAACCGCCAGGCTTTTCCGAACATTCGGACAAGGATCTCCAACTCCAAGTGCGGCTGTCGAGACAGGAATCGAACATCCTTGCTTCCCAACACACATCTATAGGATAATTGAGGGAAAAAATAGTTATGTAATAATTCACACATGTTTTTACCTCTTTATCTTAAGTCTTGAGCATGATTCGACAGAGATAACCTTACTTTCCCGTTCATACTGGGTAAGAACTGGCTTTATATTCGCATTAAAGTACCTGCTCAATTGTTGATGAAACATTGGCATGACAAATTCCCGGATAAAACGATGCCCCACAATTCCCTCGAGGAGTACCAAAGCTAGCAAAAAGAACCGAAGCAATACGCCATCCCGTTTCACATTTCAGCCCAAGTTGTGGTGTTGTGGACCCAAAACCCACAATCGGTTCCCAAGTATCAACCGGTGGAAGATCCGAATCTGACACATGGTTGCATATACGTTGACCTTTTCGAGTGACAAAAGAGATTGTTGTGGGGTCCCCTCCAAGCTCTTCGTGGATGACAAGTAGGTTCTCACCAGGTTTTAACCAAGATCGCGGTACAAGATACCTAAATAGAATTTCGTTTTCCATAAGCATTCATATACATACCTAAAGCGGAATTAATGTATGCCTGCTTACAGTGTTTGAGCAGGCTGACCGCAATTTTTAAAACATTTTGATGCGTCATAGGTTCCTCTGTAGTCACAATCCTCAGAACAGCCACTTGATGGTGAGAGATAAGAAGACCAATATCGCCCTATACTCTGTCCGTTTACCCATGCTTCACCTTTCCCCATCCCGGAAAGATTCAACGACACGGGACCTTTTCCTTCTGGTGCGAAGAATGCAGTCTGATCATAAGATTGAACCCATGTTGTTATATATTTTATCAAATGATACACTTAGCGATGACTAAGTATGATTTGAGGCGCTAAGACAATTTACCTTGTACCATGTCAGAGTATGATTGATTGGTAAAACGCTCCCCTGAGTCCATATCGAACTATTTGCAAGAGATTCTTTCTCAAGTCCTAGGAATTCACCTTCGACTCCAACCTGAATGTATATAATCATTTGTAGTACTATTACTGGTTCGTATTAATGATGCAATAACACACGCCAATTATATTAATCGAAAGTATAAGCAGCAGCTACCTGATAGGTCCACTGCGCAGAAGAAAGGTCTTCTTTTGAATCTGTCAAACCCGTAAGAATGACGGAATACAGTCCCGCCCCTTGGACATCGAACCATGGTCCATAATTCTGAAAAAAAAATGATGTTTCAAACGATACAAAATCGTAAATTTGTTGATGGAAAACAATAATAACCTGTAATCCAATCATCATACTCAGCACGTCTATTGTGTTGCTTCCGGTACGAAGGTTGACTTTAGCAGTTAGCATGAAGCTGGCATCATCATGTATACCATAACCAAATCCTGATGTATGAAGTAGAAGAAACAATAAGCCAAAATAAGAATAACTTTGTGTATAAATAATCGCTTACCTACTAATCTCTTATTCACAAAGATCAGAGCTGCGTGTCCCAAGCTTCCGACGAACAGACCTACTTCTTTCGTTTCATTTTGCCCAATTTTTTCATCCATATTTATGCTGCCATACAGATCATACAAAGAAATAACGATAAATTCAACGCATAGAAATAAACATATGATTTGCTGCGAGGAATTGAAAATACTTGGGGAAATATACGAAGTATGTAGATACAAATATTTACAAGCTGCTAAAAGATGTTTACCTTGTCGTATACCAGAGAAAATCACTTGTATCTCTTGTTGTATTTATCTGCTCCAGTAACCCCGATGCGTCAAACGAGTTGTTACCCCAAACACCGACCTTTTCTTTATACCAACTCCAAGACGATGATGATGATAGAGAATAGTCTCTCATAGTGATGCTCCGAGTAAAAGCACTATTATCATCAACAGTGACTTGCGAAGTAACCTTTGACCGTGACGAATGCAAGGAAAAATCGATTTCAAAAATATAGTTCGAAACTTTAAATCACAAAATTCCAGATTACCTCGTAATATCATGCAAAAATTACCTTAGCTGTGTTGAAAATGACGTTCACACAGTCTGGAAGAATGCTCACGGACCACGGGGGGAGAAAGTAAGATTTCCCTCTGAAAGTGACAGTTGCATCTGAAGAGCTATCATAATTGGCAAGAAAAGCTGCACATTCTTTCGAGGATTTGTAGTACACATGTGCCTGAAGGCAAATACGAACATGAATATTTGTTGCCAAATAATTCGCGGTCCAATAAATAAGTTATTCAGATCACAGCACTGAGTAGTTCGAAAACGGGCGCTAAATAGTAACATACCTCGAGATTATCACCAAGAGATATTTGAGTTGAATTGGCATTGACCAAATGTTCCTCGCACTTTTTAATTGCGATATGAAGGTCGCGCAGATGGCCCCACTTTGGCTGATTGATTAAACCTGCATAAGTTACTCTAATATAGTTCTGTTATTCTGCCAAGTAATGCAATAAACTTCTTCTGTGCATTCGAACAAAGTCCTATACTCAATAGTCACCCTTAAGCTATTCCATCTTTTAAGCCAAAAAGAAAAAAAGGACATATACCAACAAATTATAATCCGTCCAGAAAATTTACCGTATTCATTTATTGGGGCGTCGTAATCGTAACTAGTCGCAATCAAAGGTCCTCCAGCTGTTCTACCGAAGTTGGTTCCACCAAAATACTGCAATATAGAAAATGTTCTACTAATCAGGTATATTGATTGCATTAACCAGATTATAAGTTGCATCAACTTTAAATCATCTGATGAAAGCTCACCATGTAATAGTTCTGGAAAGTGCCACCTGTTTCAAAAAAGCGTGCAACGGCAAAAGCTAGGTCTTCAACGGGTCGAAAAGGAACAGCATATCCAAAGGCAAGGAACCTATAAAACTGTATATTATTAGGGCTGGATGCTACAAAAAATAACAAAGAATAAAGATAATGAATATGTTACCATCCAACATAGTTTTCCGTCCACATTTTTGGCTTGAATGGTGAATTTGGAGCAAACCGATCACAATAAAACCCATTGCAAGTGTTTATCTGCATAATTACATCATTTCATTAATTAAGCAACACAAACGAAAAAATTAAAAAAAAAACGTAATTGGATCGATGAATAATTATACTTACAATTGGATCGGGTGCATCTGCCTGTGCACACATCACCCAAGGAACGGTAGTGTTAAGACTGACAGCTGTTTCTGCAGCCCAATTGACGTATAAAACTCCACCTACTCCGTAAGCCCCTTCAACATTTCCATATTCGTTCTCCACCTATAAAAATACAGTCTCCTAAAAATAATTGTATACAAACAAATAAATACAGAACGGAAAAAGTGACTGAATTACAACCAAATTAGTTTTGAAAACCTTTTTCCATTTAAAAACAAGCGAGTGAACTACATAAGAAGAAGAAACCTGTGCGAGGATGATTGGCCCTCCTTGTGATGCAAATAGATTCTCATCCTTCATCAAATTAACTATTTTTGCAAGAAAACGCTCCATTTCTTTCTGCATTGATGACAAAGAGACATGTTTTACATGAAAACTCGAACCTGTAAACTGATTCATCAAGAAACTACTAAACGGAGAACATTCGGAAAGCACCTTGAAAAGGCTATTTGTTGTTCGGAACTGTATTCCAGGAATAAAATGCAACCAAACTGGGAATCCCCTGTTCAGACAAGTTAACAAGAACACGGTCGAAAGGACTTCCAAGATTGTTTAGTTGACAAATGAGTTCTAGATTGTTTCTCTACGAAGCCAAAAGACAGAACTATAACATTCAGACACAAGAGTATAACTATGTAATGGACTGAGAAGACTGAAATGTAAGACTAACCCATAGTTCCATTCAGCACAAGCATAGGGGCCGATTCGCAAATGCACAAACAGACCGGCTTCATGTACTTCCTTCACGAACCGCACTAGATCAAACCTGCCTCCAAAATAGTACTTCACGTTGAAAAGAGTCAGTATCTGAGGTAACAGTTACAATGATAATGTAGAAAGAAGAATCAGCAACTATAGAACTAAGAATCAGCAAATCGTAACTTTGCAAATACTGTGAAAGATTTAGAAAATCTCAACTCTCTGTATTATTACAACCACGATGCGAAACTAAGGATGAAAGACGAGAATTCACAGGACAAGAAAATAAGTACTTAATTAGAAGTAGATGGGAACTTATATATATATATATATATATATATATATATATATATATATATATATATATATATATATACCTCTCCCCTCACAGGTTCATGATAATTCCAGAAGACATAAGTTTCGATCACGTCCAATCCTCCTTCCTTTGCCTTCCTAATGATTTCAGGCCATACCTTAAAATTCACCAAAACATAAAATTATTGCATAATTTGATTCAACAGACAATTTTTAAGCAAAATTAAAAAAAAAAATCGATTTCCATTGTGGACTCACTTCTGGCGTAGTACGTGGATAATGCACGGACCCCGATTGCAGGATTCTCCGCTTTCCATCAATTACCAGTGCCTTACTATCATATGTCACACTCGTTGAAACCACTGTTCTACAACAAAAATTACCTTCAAACAGTAAAATCGCCGAGATAAGTATACCGAACATGTTCTCCAATTTCCGAAACTACTACAGATTATCAAAATTAAAAAAAAAAACACTAACCTTATATGGTGTCTGAGTATGTCGATTCATACGGGGCATCGTCTTGGAGTATTTGTCTCGATCCATAATGACGGATAAAATACGAACAAAAATTTCGGAGAATTCATTGATTGAAAAAAATTGGGAGGATTCTGAGAATGATAATCGCAAGAAAAAATAAATTGTCAGCTTCCTGAAGTTTTGTTTATTGCAGAAATTCAGCAAATTGTAATGTTCGCGCCCTTCTGAATTAGAAATTATAGAAATAAAGTAGAGAGAGAGAGAGAGAAAGAGTTTATATATATATATATATATATATATATATATATATATATATATATATATATATATATATATATATATATATCATATATATATATATATAT